CTCAAAGGGAGATTTGGAAGCTTGGAGAATTTGTAAAGTAATTCCGTTGATCCATCAAGTACAAGTCCATCAGTGGAGAAGGGTTACCCCTGCAACATCCTGTTATATTGCATCAAACCGCTACCTCTTACCAGGATCAGTTCAGCCCCGGTGACTTGAAGTGGGTGAGATCCCAGCCTGCCTCACCTAATGGGTAGGGAACACGAGAAATAGCTTTTGATACGTGTACCCTGCTCCAGTGCAATGCTGACCACAGTCTAAATGCATTTATCAGAGAGATTTCTGCCCTCAGTCCATTTCCTGGCTTGTCCCTAGCACCACACACTCCAGAGTGGCTTCAGATAGCTGGCAGAATTGAAAACAAAGCAGCTTTGTGTTTTAATCATCCCTACCGAGCCCCTAAAATTGATGTTGGGCTGGAGGTTCCTCAGCTGATGCAGGTTGGCAGGAGCCAGTGGCCCAGATAAGCTGTTTCCAGCCCTGTGTAGGGATAAGGTCCAATATCTCAGCTGAAATGAGCTGAGAACACCCCTTCCAGTGGGGCAGTGGTTTTGATAGATTGTAGGAGATTTAACCTCACAGCTATAGCTGTAATGTATAGAAAAGCTACTTTTTGTTATTTCCAAATTATATTTGGGATCATTTTTTTCTCTCCCTTGGCAGTCTGATCAATTGGACTCAAGTTACTAAGCAGGCCTGGCTTTAATAGGAAGAGGAATATGACAAATAACTCCCATAAATGTGTTTACAGTTTTCGCTATCGTTTCTAGAATACTGTTTCCTACATTGACACAGAGGAAGTTCTCAGTGGTAGAGGGAAAGTTTTACTGGTGCCAAGTCATGACATCACCCCAAAAAACACAGTTGTGTGGCTACAGGACTAGGGAGTGCTGTATGGGGTTTGTGCTAGTAGGAACCCGATATCCAACCCCTCCAACTTTTCTGTTCTGTGAGAGATTACAAGTTTTGAGCAAAATCCTGGGGGTAATCCTGCAGGATTCAGCCATCAACAGCTGTGCTCACCACAGACTCCTCTGCAGGCCTTTCCTGTAAGCAGCTGTTATCCACATACCGTTCCATGCTGGGGCTGATCCGTGCTTCTCATAAGACATAAATTGCAATTGCCTCTGTGTTCCTTATCATCACTTGATATTTGGAGTGATGCAGAAAATAAGGATGCCCCAAGGGGGGTATGTGTCTCACGACAGCATCCTCAAGATAGGTAGTTTTCTGGGGAGCTGGTGAATGAGCCACGTAAATTGCAGCTGCTCTGAAGGAGGTCTCAGCTCCCATTTGGGGCTGTGGGAAATGTTTCTTACCTTAGCTTTTCCCTTAAATACGGGAAATGTGTGGCACAAAAGAGCTGTAAGAGAAGGGAGGTTAGATTTCTGTCACCTCAGGAAGGAGATTAGCAAAGGGAGCTGTCAAGTGAGCATGAGATATCCTCTCCACATGCTGTCATGCTAGATGCCAGAGGGACATTCCTGGCTCCTTGGTGACTGCTGCTAGCAAGACCTCAGCCTGGTCATGGATTTTCTGAGTTTCCATTTGTAATTGCAAAACCCACCCTTTTCTTCTCTCTCTCATTGTTTCCTTCTTCTTTCCTCCAGCTTCTCTCTTCTCTTCCTGCTCTCCTATCATTCCTGCTTCTGCTGCTGTAGTCCATGGAGGGAATTTGAGCTTGTTATGCCAAAAAGCCTCCTGCTTGTGCCTAGATTTTGCTTGTTCTTACCTAACACCTGCCTGAGATACACTGCTTCTGAAAGTATCTGAAACCCAAAAAGAAAAACTGGTTTAGATAGTCTGCACTTGAAAGCAGATTCATAGCCTGTTTTAATGTGTATTAAAAGCACACGGGCTGTCCTTGAATAAAACCAAGTGCTGACAAACTCATTTTCTAGAATAAGGGTATCCACGTATTGGCATGAATAGGAGGACAGCTATTACTGCCGAGCTCCTTGTGCAGACAAGTTAGTGCAGCTAGCGAGGGCTGAAAGGAGCCGAGGCATGACTGAGCCTCATAATTAGACCTAGATTAGACTTTTGCCGGAGGGGAAGGCAAGGCAAGAACAGCTCTGAACTCCTATCGTCGCCTGTAGTGTTTGAACACAGAGACATCCCTGGCTGTCCCAGTGAAGTCAGCAACACCAAGCCGGGCTGGAACGGAGCCCCATTATCTCTACAGGAACATTGCTGACAGGGCAGGTGTGGGCCTGTGGCGGGATGTACTCTGTGGGGTGACCAGCTCAGGATTTCTCCACAGCCACTCTTCTCCAGGAGGGTTCAGGGGGGCTGCCAGAGCCACACAGTGCCAGAGGAGGACCTGCAGTAGTTGGGTTCCCCTATTTCATGATGGTACAGACACCTGAGGCCCTTGAATCTGGAGAAGGTGCTCACCCTCCCTTTGATCTTGAGCCCCAGACACTGTGACCTTGGCCCCGTGCAGGTCCCCTAGAGCTACCCCAGAACTAACAGCAGGTGAACCCCAGCCTCCCTGTGTCTGAGATGCCATCAGAGACTGGCTATCAGATTTCCCCTGGTCACCAGTGCCCTCTGTCCGGGTGTTGATTGCCCAGCATTCCCACCCGGACTCCATGATGGCTTGGGCTTGCAGGGGGTGCATGGTTTGGGAGCAGCACTTTGTCTCTTTGGAGTCCAGAAAAGGCTTAATCTAAGATTTCTAGCATGGCAGAGGTGGCTTTGCTGCTGGGTCTTTGTAATCAGCATCACTCTGTTGTACCCTGCGAAGTCAAGGTTAGAACATACTCACAAACTGCTAATTTTGATTTAATTAGTGCGGCAGGCTGGTTGTGTACCTGTGGATCAGGCACTGTGAAGGATTTTCTGATCTCTGCCTTGTCTGTGGGCAAAGGATCACTGCAGATGGGAAGAGATTTCTTGCACAAATGCTGGTTTCAGATTTGCTTTCAGCTATGTGCTAAGCCTCCGCACAGACTTTGGACGAGGTTAACTGGGTGATACTTAGCTCAGTGCATTCTTTGTAAAATCTTGAACAAACCAGAAAAGATTGTCAATGGTAATCATGGTGATTAGATTAGATCACTTCAGGGTTTCAGCCTCCCCAGAGTAAATATCTACTTTCAATACCATAAATAGCAAGGTGCTGCACTTTAGGCAAACTTGGCCTCCATCCAAGGGAATGTCATTGTTTTACCACTTTTCCTATGAATCTTCCTTTGCTTTTCAATCTACACCGTGCTGTACTTTTGTGTGTACCCTTCTTCAGTTTCTTTTCAGCTATGTAGGAGTATGCATTGTGGTTGCTCAGTATTGAGTGTTTCTGTTGCTTGTTATTGAATGCTAGCTCTGGTGTCATTCCAGTTAAGCTCTATGTACCTTTTGTCTTTGAAAATCAATGGAGAGCAAATTAAAAAAGAACTAGTTTTCGTGGTACCTTTCATTTAGGAAAAAAAAAATAATTCCATTTATGTTTGCTCATGATGAGAGAGGTTTCTTGGGAGGCCGGGAGACAAAATATGGTTGGCACTTTTAATAAGCATCAGGAACCGCTTTTGCCTTTAGAAAACCTTGGGTGTTTCATAGCCACTCTCATCTAAACAGAAAAACAGTATTCTAGGGCATTGTTTTGTTTACAGCAGATGTTGCCTTGTGCTACAGAGTCTTGATTTGCAAACAAGTCAAGGGTCTTGGGAATTCTCCTGAGATCTTACAGAGAAATACGTAAGATTAGCCACCACAGGCCGTGTTTGTGCTGCAGGTGTGGCAGTACAGGTAGAAGGAAGCACCTGAGGTGGCCTATTCCTGTCGGGAGTGAGGGGTAAGGTTCCAGATGTATGATGATAGCAGGAAAAATCAGATTGCAGCAAGTTCAGACTCCTCTGGGACTTGGGAAGATGCTGAGATCTTGTTTGTTTAAACACTGCAGTGAGCTGGGAGCCTTGCAGAATTGGATTTGCCAAAGAGGAAGGTTTGCTTAAGTTCCCTTAAAATAGGGGAAAAAAGAAGCATACTGAAAATAATTGAGTTTCTGGTGCTTTAAAGGCTTCTTAATGTTCTTCAAGTTCTTTTTTTCTACGAAAGTATGTCCTTTTGATTGCAGTTCAGGCTTAGCAGAGTACAGTACATCTTGCCACAGAATGAGTAAATGAGCTCTGTTCTGCAGCTGCTATTGAATGACGATGTTGGAGCATGCCTTGGCTTATCAGTGAAGGCTGCCTAATGTATTCCACCCAGCCTACCTGAGCGTGCTCTGCAGCAGCAAACCCAATTAACTCTTTTTGTACCTGCTGTATGAATGGTTTTAGCAGTTACAGGGGCGCTTTGTTTTGTAGTATTTCAGTAAGACATGCCAGAGCATGCACTGGTCGTTTCTTGCGCACCTCTGTTGCTCTCTGCAGCCCAGAAAATGCACTAGGAGCTTGCCACCGCACAGTCTGGTGAGGCGGCTCATGAGCAGAATGTGGCTCATTAGCTTTACATTCATTATTTTCTAAAAGCCCTCTGAATCAGATTTCGGGGCATGAGGAAGAGATTTACAGTCTATCCTACCAGTGTGACAGAATGTTCCTAGTCAAAAAAAGAGAAAATGGGCCTCTCTGGACCATTCTAAGGGGTTTTATTGTTTAGCTGTTGTTTTTCAAGATGCCTCAAACTATTTGGCTTTGTGTTTGTCTGTTATCTTCAACTCGGTCCTCCCACAAAAAGGCAAATACCTGCTTTTACTGAATTATTAACAACAATAGATGGAGCTTACGTATCAATGAAAATTATGGACGTTTCCCAAGGCAATTGATTTAAACGGAGTTAAATTTAGTGGAAGCTTCTATTGGGGTAATGAATGCTCATTATAGAGCCTAATGTGCTTTAAGGGCTTGAAAACCTTCTCAGTAGGGAAGTCAGGCTGCTGTTTTCCAGCAGAGGCACAGATGCTGTACCAGGGCACTGCTGTCACTACAACCGTACACCATTGCTACGCCTGAACGTTTCTCTTTAACCTTGTGTGTTTCTTCCTCTTGCAGAAGACCACCTCCCAGCTGGCTTCCCGACCATTGACATGGGACCACAGCTGAAGGTGGTGGAAAAGGCCCGCACGGCCACAATGCTCTGTGCTGCCAGCGGTAACCCTGATCCTGAAATCTCCTGGTTTAAGGACTTCCTGCCTGTTGACACTGCGACTAGCAATGGGCGAATCAAGCAGCTCCGCTCGGGTAAGGTAGCAAAGCAAGTAAGCCTTCCCTACCTCCTCACTCTTCCTCCCTTTTCTCTTTACTTGCTGCTATTAATTTTTCAATGTGATGCTGAAATGCAGTTCTAAACACCAATGTCAGTTTGATTTGAACTTGTTTCTTTTGCAATATAAAAACAGTTTTTGGAGCTGATCCGCTCTGGCAGAATATCGTGGCTTGTCAAAAGGAGACATTAGCGTGGACATGCCTTTTGGAACAACACCTGGATTCCTTCTTCGGTAGACCATCTTGACATTGCCCCAAATCCTTGGTAGGCTCAGACATTCCGCTACCAACTCAACAGGTCTCAGATACTTTTAATGGGAGCACAGTGCAAATCAGGACAATGAGATACTGGTTGAGATTTTGCAATCAGTGGCCATGTACTACTTCACTTCTTACACAGACTCTTGAAAACAGTGCTCTGCTTTCTGTTGAGATCTTTATCATTTGTGCTATGTGACACCACAGGAATAAAGAAAAATCCAAGCAGCAGCAATTCTATGGATTGCAAAGGAAGGTGGACACAGTTTTGAAATACACCATTTCTTTTTTATTTTTTGTTTGATAATCCAAATACTAGCTTTTGAACTACAGACAGTTAGTTCTTGTGGGTGGATAAGAACGCACTCATTTTAGCAAGTAACTCTTGTTTTTGTGCTGCACTGTTTGTTCTCCCAGGACTACGAGGCCCATTAGAGAATTAAAGAAAATAAAACATTGCTTTATTCACTGCTGAAGTGCAGCACCCCAGCATGAATTGCAGTGGCTATTTAACAATGCACAGCAGCACTACACAGCAACTTTAATTTGGGGGAAAAAAGCCCACAGTATTCTACAGGAAGTACAGCAGGTAGCAGATCTGGAACAACATTGGTCTAGAAGGATCTCATGCTTAAATAAGAGGCAGACTGCCTTGCCTGGCCATGATGTAGCTCTAGGCACTCAAAAGCCATTTGTTTTGAGTGCTGCTGCCAGGGCAACACCATCTTCCTCCTAGCAAGGTGAACGTCTTGACACATTTCCCTATAGCAGGAGCCCTCTGCATAAATCTGATGATGCTTGGATGATAAGAAGTGGGCTTGTACTTGGGGGAGTGGGTAATGAGACATCACTCTCATCAAAAATAGAACCCAGCCTGACACTCCTGATCCCACCTTGATGTACCAGTGAGCACTAATTATACTAATGCATTTATAGCTTATGAAATTTCCCAGTGACCTTTAGCTTATCTCCCCCACAACATGGTTTAATCTTGATCTGTTTGTGCTGAAAGAAAATATCACACTTGTTAATTATTCTGAGAAGGTTTAGGAAGCAGCAATAGGAAAGTGCACATGGATGTGTTTCACTTGATAGCTGACTAAATCAGCATCAGAAATTACCATAAATGAGCAGCAAGGCAGCTCCTGATGCACTTGCTGTACATTCTTCAGCCTCCTTTTCACAGGCACTTGGCTGCCTCTTTACCAGCTGCTTCACAAGTTTAGTGAGATAGAAAGTTTAAAAACAAACTAGTAAACCCTGTCACTGTGTCCAAGTTTTGCTTCCTATTCGCTGTTCTTGAGCTACATCTCAATTGAATATTTCACCTGGGATTCAAACTCTAGAGCTGGCTGCTTCATGAAGACACAGTAATTACCAAGGGAGGTGTCAAGGGAACCTTTTAGAAATCAATGAGCAGCACACATCCTCAGACTCGCAAAAGAAATTGATTAGCTCTATAATGTAGTAAGGGAGGTTTCCACAGTTCAATGCAAAAGACTTCCAAATATGAGTGAAGTTTTATTTTCAGGGACCTGGTGATACAATGCTAAAATTCACCAAGGCTCTGTTCCACCCCGGCATGAGCGGAGAGCAAGAAGTTTACCACTTCTCTTGGGCCAGAGATTCAACCCCTGCTTGCATTTGTGGCTTTTTCCTATGTTTGTAGTTGATATAAAGTAAGGCCTGCGCTTTGAAGGGCCTGACTTACCTGACTGCAGTCACCCTATGTGAGCAGTGCGATGGGTTAGGCAGTCTCTGATCCATTCTGCAAGGTGCTAATTGAGCTCTCCAGCACTAAACCATAGTGGGGCAGAGTTGTTTTTCAAAGAAAAGAGTATTTAAATAGATACCTCATTATATGGCAGAGTTTAATAGTTTGCAAAGTCTCTGCTCCATTAAGATCATATCTTACAGCCAGCCTGGCATATCTGCATGAATGTCAGTTTATACTATCTCAATCTAAATATACGCTCATTTAATTTCATTTAATTAAAACCCAATAAAAGCTAGACAGATGTAATATAGTTAAAATAGCTACGGCACGGTATGAGCCCAATATTGCATATATAGAGTGTCTGACCTTCAACGAGTACATAATATATTATTATTCAGATGTACTAAATATAGGTCATAAAGGTCAAAGCAGCTTTGGATTCTGACTTAGAGAGGGGGTTGAGGGATGATTTCATTTCTTCAGGTTCCTAGAGTGGAAATAGCTAGAGGTAAAGAAGCAGCACGCCTGGGAAAGGTGCTCTCTTCTGACACCCACAGTTATGTGGGCTGGCAGTGCTCTGGGGGCTTCAGGCAGGTCTTTGAACTTGCATGCAGTCAGATCATGTGCCCAGGGGGACTTTGAACATCAGTTTCTGGAGGTCTGTTCATCTTGTGTCAAGGTATGAGAGAGTTTGTGGTTTAAAACAACCAAGCCATCATCTTAGGCTCTTTTAACCCCAGAGGACTGGTGTCTTTGTCAGGAGCAAATACAGTTTATAAATCTACCTTGTGTCCTACTGTCCCTCATTTACTAATTACATTTCTATGTATGTATATGCATTATACTCATTAAACCTTCTGACGGCATAAATCTTTATATTTAGAGGGCTTTTTTCCCCTTTCTCCCCAGTAACCCCAGTAATACATCTTTTCTCCCGAGTAATATTTAATGCTTTTTTAAGTCCAGCTCTTGGATAGTTTGGCCAGTACATGTTGGGCTAATTGCTCTAGAGATAAGAACAAAAATAAATACAGGTTTTCATCTCCATTATCACAGATCAAGGCAAAAGCAAAGTCTCTGACTCATGCTGGTTCTAGGAAAATTGTCCCTTGCTCATCTTGGTAATACTTCCCATCTCTTGTGGAGAGGCTGCTTTTCTGCAAATGCAGTGACTCAGGACAACTCCCTGTTCTCCCCCAGGGTCCGTAGCTTCAGTCACTGCCTCTCGGTCACTGACACAGGATCTAAGGCCAACTCTGGGCTGGGAATCCTCCCCAGCATGCAAACTCATTTAAAACCTGTTTGGCTGAACTGATTTTAAAACTCTCTGGACATTATAGTATGGCAGGCGATGTACATATGAATTCTGGCAGCAAGGGTCAGTGAGTGCTACACCTCTAAACGTGTTTTAAAATTAGTTGATGGTGCAGTGGAAACTTTCTCAATATAGATCAGGTTGTACCGATGCTTCCTAGTTCTTCCATAAAGATTCTTGGACTGCAAACGCCCAAAGATTTCAAAGCAACTCTGATAGTATTCATACTCTCAAAGCTTTTGAATGCTTCCATTGAGTTTTGTAGTTGAAGAATTGCTCTTTCACCTTGCTCTTCAGAAAACTTATGAACAAAATGTCAAATTAGAATAAATAAATATTCTGAATGTTAACATACAGGTACCTTGGCCATGTAAGGAAACTCCAGAAATTCAGGGAGCATTGTCATCTTTCATCTAGTAAAGAACTTGGTTCTTACAACAAGTATCGCTCTCTTTTAATCACCATCAATTAACTGAGTTATCGAACCTTGCCCTAGACCCTAGTGTGGCTTTCCGGCAATTAACTTCAAGTAAAGTATCAGAGAGAGCTCTGCAGGTGACTTCAGTTACTCTGGAAATGTGTAGGTCCCTCTAACAAAGAAGCAGTGGGAGCCGACTCACCAGATCACCTTGCTGCAGTTACACTCTCAGATTTACCAGCGTTTTCATTTTAGTCTTGATCCTATAGATAGAAGCACTATATATTTGGAAACAAAAAAGATACACAATGCACACAGAACAAACTTGCAGAATGAAGTGGTGCCTGTCCCGGTGAAATGGCACTAACGGCCATACCCTGCTTCATGGGTAATAGCCAGCAGTCAGTATGCAGCAGAAGACATTCAGCTTCTGGCAAGAAACAGCTTTGAGTCTAGATATCAGGTGAGCATCGGCTTGGGACAAGGTGTGTCAGAACAGCCCCAAAAATGGGGATTGGGGAGCATTACCCGAAAGGATCAGGATACCGGCACAAGGATGGATGCTTTCTCAGAGAGGACTGGCTGGATGAGAGTTGAAGCAATATCATGACCAAACAGTTGACAGCTGAAGTTTTACGTCCTGGAAGAACCTATACTACACATCCCGGTCTTGCTGTGTGAGAAACACACAGCAATGATGGGATCTACATGTACTCCCTCTTGCAACTGGATGCAAATAGCCAGTCTTTTCTATAGTACTTTCACTTCTGAAAATAGTTTCCCCTGTAATTATGTTAGGAAGTAGCTGAAAGCTGTAGGAGATCCCTGGGATTCAGTGTTACGCTGCCCTAGTGCCCAGTTGCAGCCAGCAAGAGCCTTGGTTTCTCTGTTTGGTATTGCTTTGGAGTGACTTTTTGGTGGTTTAGGTTGCTATAGGGAAGTGGTTTGTTGATAAATCTGGGGTGAGTTTGTGTCAGCAGAGTGAAGTCCTTTCTCCAACACTGAGACTGGAAAATACTGATGCAAATAACCCCATGGGATTTTCCAGTGTGTCATCCTTGCCTTGCCTTGGGCACCTGGCTGTGCGCTTCCAGTACACAGAGGATGTTGGGGTCAGCGTTCATTCCTGGCTGAAGCGAACGTGTGGGGCTTTATTCAGTGTCTGTTGTCATGAAGGGGAAATCAACTCTCCTTTATGAGTGTTTCAAACTTTTCAAATCACACAAAGAATTGGGTCTGAAGTTTGATCTTGGGATGCTCTTTGTATAAAGCAGCCTGGTGATCACAAGACACAAGTTGGCCTCAGTAACCATTGAAGTGATGGCACTTCTAGCACTTGATGGACTCTGTTATGTTGGCACTCTGTGGCCTCTGTGCTGTGATTTGGTCCCTTTGAGGGACACCCTGAAAGGACAACGGCCAGAGATGTGTTGTCATATGATGTAAAGGGTGAGTGGGAACTTTTATTTCTTCTGGACGAGGAAATCTGGAGTCCAACAGAAAAAGCCTTGTGCGTTCTCCATAATGGTCTCCTCTGAGTGAAGAGTGAATGTCTTAACTTTGCAGAGGTGAGAGAGACCCAGAACAAACACTGTGCTAAATACAGCGAGCCTCTGTGCTGCTCCCACAAGGGTTGTCTTACATTCGGAGGCCAGGAGGATTGGGATTTAATGCAGGAAAAAATGAGCTGGTCACACGTTTTAGGGAATCCGCTTCAACTATGCAGTTGCTCCTAGACCTCTCTGTAGACAATTGCATATTAGAGAAAGGGTTTAGCCTCTACAGGGAGTAGATTTAAAGATTTGCCTCAAATCTTTTCAGTTCTAGGGCAGAACAACAAAACCCATTTCAGCCAGATGAGAGAGAAGGAAGTTCTGTTTTCTGCCCCTTGGGCTCGTGCTCAAAGTCATTGCACCATTCCCATGGGAAGTGACACACTGTGGTGATGCTTTTCTTAACTCTGAGAATTGTGGAAGAGGATGAGGACGGGGGCGGGAGGTGGAGGGAGGCCCTAGACCAAACAGAACAAAAATATCACTTGGCAAACTTTCCAAACAGGCAAAGCGAAATAACCCTGTTTTCCATGGCTGTGCTGTTCCATGCAAGTATTTCTGGGTATAACTGTTCTGTCAAGGGTAGCGGTAGTTACTGAGATAGATAAATAAGCAGCAGATTTATTATTGCAAGAATGAAATTACCCACAACTTCAGTGACTGCAGGATCTTTCCTGATGCTTCAGTCATCTGTGGATAGAAAGCATCAGAAAATATAACCAGATGTAAAGTTAAAATGGGGTAATGTCATCTTGGCAGAGGAAAATGCTAAACAGAGTAGTTTGAATTGCTGCTCTCACTTAGAGAAAGGACTCTGCCTAAAGGAAAGGGTAGTTAGGAAAGAAAAAGAATAAGTATAAATATTGTAATTACTTTTTAAGAGGCAAGTTAAACATGCTTAAAATATGCCTTCTTTGTATTTACAGAAATTCTTTTCTGTCTTTCTTTCCCATTGGGTGATCATTGTTGTGGATAATGGAATGAGCTGTAAATCTGAGATACACGACACTCTTGTATGCATACTGGTATTTATTAATCAATACACTGAACATGATTTGACACACTGTGTCCTGTTTAACCCTGTTTTTCTGTCTGTTTAAACTCCTCAGTTTTCTTTGGTAAGTGCTTGGTATCCAGATCCTACAAATCTGCATAAAACCAACACATACCATGAACTGCCTACAGATTCAATCTGCATGAATCTCTCCCTTATACTAACAGCCTTCATATGTGCAAAATAAGACCAAGGGGACAAAAGTGGGGATTTAGAAGGGTTCCCTGCCAATTTGCCTAGTTGAAGCATTTTCCCTTCAGTCATGCTTCGTTATTGATTTTACGCTGAACTCAAGACACTGACCAGTGGATCCTCCACTTGCTAAATACATTGACCTCATAAAACAAACCTTTATAGATCATTGCAACAGCAAAACTGAACCTCACTCCCAGAGAAGCCCTCCTTATAAGATACTCTTCATTATAGCATGTGAAATTATCTCTAGTGCCTTATAAAGAGGGTAGGGATTCCTTTCTCCAGCCAACACCCAAATTAGGTGGAAACAGTAGAGGTCTGGCTAGCCTGCCACTGTTACATTACCAGAAACTACTTCGTTTCGAAATATTTCTGTATGTAAAGTTAATTCTGCATGACACCGATTTCTTTGCCAGAGGGAACCTGATGCAAGGGTTATGCGAATGCGGAGAATCGCTCAAAACTGATTTGTTACGCTCTCCCCCAAGTTTAATTTCTTTAAGCGAGCAGATTTTGTCCCACTGGTCATTCTAACCTCAAAGCAATATTGCACCTAGCGCCCGCAGCCATGCGCTTTCCACCCCTCCTGCCCAGCACACCCACGGTCACACAGCCCCCAGGACACCCCCTCCTTGTTCTGTATGAGGAATGAAGGGGCACTGCACCATCTTCCCAGCGTGTCCTCCATCTCAACTGCTTGAACAGTGGTGTGGGTGAATGCGAGTGGTGAGGCCAGCCAGCAATGCCACCTCGGCAGCTTAGTTCGGCCCCCCGTTTGTGAGGGTGGTGGCTTCAATGGCAAGAAGCAGGGCTTGGTGCTGCACTCCTGGAAGCGATGAGCTTTACTAACCTCCTGAGAGTGTCACTCTGACTTTTATTGCACATCAGTTTCTTTTTGTTTATTCCTGTCGCGCTAATACAAATTCTAGCTTTAAAAAAACTTTCTGCTTTTTAGTTATAATTTTCTTCCTTTCCTCTTTGTACTAATGCTTCTCTCTAATCTTATTTGCATTCAAATTACCTCACCAGGTGGTACACCGATCAGAGGTAAGAATGCTGAAATGTGCCTCCAGTTGTCACGTCACTCCATCTCCTGTCTGCCTTGTCCCTTCTCCTCCGGTGTTTCTCATCTCCAGCTTTTACTCTCAGCCCTAACTCTGCCAGCGCTCTTGCTCATCTGCACTCTCCCACTAGTGTGTTTATTTTGGTTGGTTTTTAGCGTGATTTCTTGTAGACTCATCCATTGCGATTTTGCACTGTTGAAAGGGGGTTATTCAACGGAAAGTTTGCAAACTGGAAAATGGTCCCTGGCTTCCGCCACCGGAGGGTTGATGTCTCCTGCAGCTCCTGAAAGTCTCTGAATTTCCCGCGCAGTTGTGGCCTCTGAGGTTTTGTGTCTAGGGGATTTTAGATGGATTGCTTTGGTGTAAGTGTAAGGAGGTAACATTTTCACAAGAGAACGGTCGAATTCTTCTCAGCTGCTGCTGACAGGCATGAAACTGTAATCAGAAGGAGATAAATTCTTGAAAGATTGAGCAAATCTGGCTCTGGCGTAAGGAGCACCTTTGTTTGTGTTCCTCATGTTTGCCTTTCTTCTGTGCTAACCCTTTAACGTGGCAGCAGAGCGGAGGACCGCTGCCCCAGACCCCCCTTTCTGAGCCGGACACGCCAATGTTGCTTTGCGGCACAAAGATTTGTTTTAAATAGATGAATCATAAGCACATCTGGCTGCTTTAGGCCTTCATTAATTATACCCGCCCCTGGTTTGACAGCCCAGTGTGCACAGTCCCTGGCTAGTTTTCACAGCCTGTATGCACCAGTAATGACTTTCCAATTGGAGTGTTGTCTTTTCTAGCCTAAACACTCAAAGCTGTCCCTTTAGATTAACTTTAGTGTGTTAATCAGCGTTACATGCTAAGGCCCTTCTGAATTCTCTTGTGATTTTGGTTACCCCTGTTGACTGACCCCTGGATTTCTCGACAGAATGACTACCACCTACAAATCAACACGACCTCATTCGTTCAGTTTTCCCCCTTCTCCCCTTTCCCTCCCCCTTTTCCCTGAATCACTGCTGGAAGTTAATAATCTGACTCTCTGGAACTGGTTCTGTTGCTGGGGGTTAATGTTTTCAGCTCCCGTTAAGTGATTTTAGAATAAATGTGAATTGCCGTTTGATGCGTATTTGCATTAACTTGACTCTGTAGCAAATCTGGGTCAGGGAAAAAGACTGCAAACCTTATTTTGATATGAATGGGCTTATATATCTGTCATTCCTCCCTTTGGAACGCTGGAGATTGACAGCTGTGATGTTACAAGCTCCTTAAACTATTTCTTCATCTCCTGTTTCTACTGCAAATCCTAAAATGAAATGACAGATCGAATGCTAACTAGCCGGGCGCTCTGAGCTGCCAGCCGCGCACGCCGAGCGCGCAGCCGTCCCGGGGCCTCCCCGCGCGCCCGCCCTGTCTGATGACATTAGTGACTCAGCACCAGAACCGCATGGATGCTCCATACGTCCTGCTTGGGAACCGAACACATTTCTGTGAAAAGAACCATCCATCTCATGAAACATAAGTTCCCCACACTCCCCACCCCACTTCCCACCCCCGTTTGAGTCCTGATGAGGTATTTTAAGAATGTTCTTGACATTATTTAAAATATATGTGTCCTGTTTGAATGTCAAAGATGACATTTCTGTGAGAGCAAACAGAAGCCACGTGCTGCTCTCTGGCTTCTCCCAGAGGATTTCTGTCAGCCTAATGCCTTTTATTTAAAACGGAGGTCATTGAATTTCTAAAGATAACGACAGATTAGATGAAAGTGCTTTTATGATGGTGAGGTTGTGTCCATGTAGAAGTGACTGTTCTGCCATGTTCTATACCCAGCTGCACTCTTGTTCCTCATTAAGGTAAGTTTGATGCTTTGGAATCCATTAATTTGGTCTGAAAGGAAGGGTGAACTAATGACTCTTAACGAACCCTTTTGGTAATAATGTTTGGGGGGAGGGATGGTTTTAGTTGGATTTAATTGTTGCTGTGACTGTGTCACTAGGAGTTATGTGTCTGGAGTACTTGGGAGGTTCAAACGTTGCCCAAGGCCTTTGTGGTGGAGCAGCAGGGAACCCACTCACAGCGAGCAGCATGTGGTTAGCGAGAGGATGACCTGAGAAATTCTACCATGCACCCCTCCAAACAGGAGATTTTTCTCTCTCAACACTTCATGTGACCTTACCCCCATGTATTTGGTCATTTCTGTCCAAGAATCTCTGGCTTCCCTGAAATGGGAGGAGCTCCCATCTATAATTCAGCATCTCAGTTTGTAGCTTCACTCTTTACCCCTCCAGGACTGTCCCAGATAGTAGTTTAATATTGAAATCCCTATTTGTTCCTCAGAAAGACATGGAGCTGGCAGGTGCTCATCAGATTAGGAAATAACTAGCTTCTTAAGGTGACCCACAGATAGTATCAGCAAGTCCATGTTTAAGCAAGTTCTGCCTCATTCCTATTTTCAAAGCAGACTATAAGATACTAATTTCCAGTATTTCTCTGGAATTGAACTCGCTCAACCTTTTGTGAAACTTGGCTGCATTTTCCTGCCACAGGCTGTAAGAGAGAGCAGAGCACTGTTGTGTTTCTGGTGGGTGCTGGAGTGAACAGGCCCTAGATCGAATGCACACGAGGAGGTAAAAAAATATCATCATCTCAGGCATTTTCCCTCTCCAGTCAGATTTATTTGTTACTTTTCTGTCACCACAGGAAATATCTGGGGTTCCTATACATAAGAGTATTTCTTCCCCGCAGAGGTCTGTCTGAATTAACTTTAGATCAGCTCACTTGGGTGTCAGAAGCTGTCTATCTGGGAAGCCAGGTAAACGCCCGCACCGACTTCTGTATAGCTGCAGCTAAACCTTTTCCAGTCCCCAGCAAACTGGTTTAAATATAGCTCCAGTATTTCGACACTATCCTGCGAGCTGGAGCATAAAGCTATCCAAGGAGATTAGAGGAAGCTAAAAGAATTTTGCTGTCTCTTTTTGAGCATGTGTTTGTACGTTTGATTGCACTTTGTATATGATAGGATTTTTTTCTTGTTTCTTGAGCTTTTCCAGTCACAAAAAAAAAAACCAACCAGTGAAAGGAAAACAATTTAGAAGTGTGAAGATATGCTTGCAGGAGCAGACAGTGTCGGGGGGAGGCTGGGTGGGGTAGTGCCTGGAAATGTTTGTAATGCCATGTTTCTTACTGTCGGGACTCAGATTGACTCATGTCCCTTTAGAGGGAACACAGAGGCGTTACTGTGCATTTGACAGTGCTGTAGTTTTGCTTCTGACGCAGAGTCCTGTACCTGCTGGTGAGAGATCAGAGCATCCTGAAACTCCGCTGTCTCTGAGGAGACCTCGTGCTGCTGAGCACATTGGGTCTCCTCTCCTGTTTTACTGACTCTGTCTTGGTGGCAGTGGTCGGGTAGTGTCCACAGCAGCCCATGGTGCACAGGAGAGTGATTTCTCCGCGGCGCTGCCATCCAGAGCAGGCCCCTTGCATGCCAATCACCAGCCTCTCGGGCATAATGACCATAATGAACACTAACAATGCAAATATATTTATGGTTGTCTTGTTTTGCATAATTGGCAGTGCTGATGGCTGGTGAAGGCTACGTGCAATCCTCTGTAACAGCTGGGTGGTGCTGCTGTTATAAATTACAAAAAATAGTGAATATGGGAAAGGCTTATTTTTGTTATTAGTGACTCTTGCATGGTTTTAATGCCTTTCAGTTTTTCACAGCTCCCGTGGCAAGTGTTGGTTATCTTGGGCAGCAGCCAGGGTGTGAAAGTCCAACCCCCTAGTTGTCAGGGCTTCACAGTGTCTCTCCACCATTTTCACACTTGTGGGTCCTTGTTTGGTCTGGGCTTGCCTCTGGCCCTGCTCCACAGCTGAATAGATTTTGAGGAGGATTGTCCTCTGGGAGGGAATTTTTAGCAGAACGGGGATTGGGACCCACACCTGAGCACTGGCTGAAGGGGTGACTAAGAATACTGCCTCAGGAAAAGTCAGGCAGTGTTTCTGTGGAGGAAGCTGGTGGGAGGCAGAGGAAAGGGAAGGGGGAAGGACTTGGGATAGTCATGTCCTCGAGTGTGCAGGGTGGGCAAAGTTTACTTGTTCCCTGAGAGGAAGGGCCCTAGTCAAGTAGCTGGGTTCATTAACATCTGCACTGCAAGTTCGTTCCTTAGATGAGTGCTGTGACTGCAGCCCAGTTTCCCTGACTCTTGGGTACTTACGGGAGCATTTCATTCCGTGTCTAATTTTATTACCAGGGCAAAAGGTCAGTCCCCACCTCTGAGCCAGGGGGGACTGAGGCTGTGAATGCCCTGCTAGAGAAACAGAGCTGCTCCTACAGCTGGGGATGGAGCTCCAACCTGAGTAGATGTGGAAGAGTGTCGCCCCAAGGGCTGCTGTGTTTAACTGCATGTGGTGCTCTCTGGGAGAAGATGAGCAACAGAGCAGGATTTCCGAGAGATCAATTTGTATGGCAGCTTGGAGCTTTTTACATTTGGTTTGTCACCTGGAGGAGAGAGTGACGAGCCCTCCGTGGCACAACAGTACCCCACGCTGCCAAGAAGCGGTCCTTATCAGGATCTGCCTTCCCCATCCTCTCCCTGTGCAGTGCACTTTTTAAATGCTTCTTTTAACCACTGTCACTGCAACTAATGATTCTGCCTGAGCACAAGTATATTTGAATAGATAAGTATCTTGGAGAGCTGCTGTCTGTGCCCAAGTTTAAAGAGCAAAAGAAAAATCTAGGAGAGGAGGGAAGGGACAGGCAAGGAGATACCAGCACAGAGTAAAGAACCTATAAGGGGTGCTTGTCAGTCAGCAGAGCCTGCTCCTGCTCTCAGCCCCAGAAAGCTCTGCCTTGTCACCATTCTCCTTGGCACTGGAGAGCAGCCAGGGGTTTTTCTCAGGAGCTGTCAACTCTCTGATAAGCTGAGATGTGTTATCGGGAACAGATCTGTGCCGCAAGCGAGATCGACATGACACCACAGCATGGTGAGGAGTGGCTGCCCCTCTTCTGCTGGAGCCCCACTGTGGTTCAGGGTGCTTGGGAGGCAGCGGAGGTCGAGTGGTGCTCAGCAGGGAGAGGTTTCGCTCTGATGGGCACGTACGGCTGCAGAGCCCCCACAAACTCCCAAACAAGCTGTTCACCATTCCTCTCTGTACACATATGAGCATCCTCATGGTAGATGGTCCTCATGCATCCGCTGAAGCCACGCTATGTGATTGCGCATCAGGACTCAGCCATGCAGACGAGAACAAGGCACCTGGCACTGGAGCACTTGGGGAGTCCATATGAGAAGTCTACAGTAACATCCTGTGTGAACAAGACCTTACTCAGCAACTTGTGCAACATAAATCCCAAAGTAATGAATAAAAGTAAATCAGCCTTCCTAGCCCTGGTTTGCAGAGGCGCAGAAGATTACAAGATGAGATGTTGACAGGGCTAGGAATAGAAATCAGGTCCTTTGCACTTGTCAAAGCAAAGAATTCACTGCGCTTTTGAGGGTTTTTGGATGCAGCTCCCATGAATTTCAGGGAAATGAGCTACTCAGGACTCAGTTCGTTCATTCTTTCCTGTAGCCCCTTGTGTCCTGTCCAGCCTAGACTTGAGCCCTCCAAGAGATGAAGCTGTTGCCTTTCTCTGGGATGACTAAACTAGGGCCTGGAGCATTTTACACTTAGGGAGTTTTTCCAAAGGCTCAGATGCATTTACGTTTCCAGCTTTCTGATGGCAGCAATGTCTGAGCTTCTTAACTTTATTCATAAATCTCTGTGCCCTGAGATACCCTGCCCTCTCCTGTATCTATCATTAGTTTTAGATTATCCTCCAAGAAAAGCACTATAGTCCTGCTGACTGCCATCCGTTTACCATGATCCCTCCACTCCCTGCTAGCTGTCAGCTATACTGGGGAATCTTTATGTTTGTCTAATGATGATTAATTGCAGTAACTGATATCTTTCTGGTTCAGCTGAGAGTTTTACATTAACTTCCTTCTGCTTTCTGGGTTTTCTCTTACTCCTGCTGCACCTGAGTTTGAATAGTTGTGCCAACCCAGACAAAACCAGAATTCCTTGCCCAGTGTCCCTCAACAGTTTGTAGGCAGTTGCTGACACGTGTTACATGTTTATAGTATGATTCTAGAAATTGGTCCACACTGGCTGCAGAACTGACAGGCACTAATAGCATGTAATCTGCAACTCCCCTCTGCCTTCATTTTCTTCATTCTCTTATACTTTCCTCATCTCTCTCCAGCACTGATGCTGAGGTCCCTAGAGATGAAAAATAGTTTGTCCAACCAGCATTTAAGATGTGTGGTGATCACAAGTATAAAGAGTATAAATACCACTGATACGTATTAAATGGCTAAAAGGGGCATATAAACAGGTACGTGTTCATGGCAGAATTATCTAGGGATCTTACTTTTTTCTAGGCAGACACCACTCCTTGTCACCTGAAGCTGGCTCTGCTTTCAGCCCTATATAGCTACAGGCTAAATCAGAGATAGGCTCTTTCTCAGGGTGATGACATCCACTCGTTTTTGTTGTTGTTGTTGTTGTTTTTTTTCTGAAGTTTGGGTATGTTTTGCAGCAAACAGCTTTTAGCAGCCAGGCCTGATGCAAGCACTCAGAATGAACTCTGCAGCTCATGAGTAATGAGCAGAAATTAAGAAGGGGATAATACATGGTGAGTTCCAGGAAAATCTTCCTGACAGAGAGCATAACCAGGCTGTGGCATCAGTTCCTTGAGGAAGTGGTGAAAGACCTATCACTCAGCACATTTAAAATGGGATTGGACAGAACACAAGTACATTTACAACAGGGAGCAATCCTGTCCTGGCCCCCAGGGATGCGCAAGATTACCTAATAGGTCTTTTCCATTTCTAGATTCTTTATGTCTTGTCAATGCTGGGAAGCTTCCTCCTGCTGCACTGGCTGTCATGCTGCTGTCTTCCTGAAGATGTTTTTCCCAGACAGCATGTAGAAATTCAGCGTTCTCCCTGAATTAAGCAGCAGTGGTCTGTAGGCTTTGGCCTGTGGGTGTCCAGAGAGCGCTGTGGCTAGGGAAAGCTGGCAGCTCCTTTTGTTAGTAAGTAGCAAGACTTCTGCAAACAAGCTTTCTCTGTCTAGCTGAAGCCTCATTTCGAGCACTAATGCAACAATAGGGAGGGCTCTGTACATCATTTTTATTATATGGCAGAACCCAGGGAAGTTCATTTTTCCCCATGACATATAGACTTATGCTACAGTCTCAATTTATCCTTCTAAATAATGTAGGTGGCAGTGGTTGATTCACATTAGTTTTTCTTCTGTTCTGATGATATGAAAAACTGAGTTTGACCTCTGCAGCTTGAACCAGCGAGAAGGGAGAAGGCAATTTCACCAGCTATTCTCAGTGCCGCTCTCAGTGGTCGTTTTGAACCGTGGCAGGCAGAAATGAGTTCAAATCCTTACAAGCAAAGGGGTTAATGTTTTCTTTTAGTTCAGTATATGGTTTGTGAACAGAGTTCCCTTCTTACAGGCAATCCTACCCAGCAGAATCTGAGCACTTGGAGGCACTTTAAAAATTATTTGCGGATTGCCTGGGGGAAGCAGGCTGAGCACCAGCCGCTCCAGTGTCTGGCCACCGGCCCTTCGCTCCTGCAGTGCCAGCTTGCTGTCATATACATCCTGCTTCTTTCTTTCTCTGCATCTCCGTCTTTTCGTCTGCATATGGGGCCCAGTTAAGGGAGTTTAGATGTGACCAGTTTTAGCAGTCTTCTGTGCTAGGCAAGAAGCTGGATGAAAGACCAGCCTCCCAAGCCAAGTGGTGCTCGACACCAGTGGAATAGGCTGAGATGATGAAAGAAAACCACCTCAGACCAGTGCTTCCTTCCACATCTTCCAGGCACTCCACAGGCTCCCCATGTAAATGGCTATTCTCTGTGTTCTGGTGCAATTATTTAGATGTGCCCCTCATGCCTCTGGCACTTTGGTGATGAGATCAGATCATGTCCTAAGGAACCTGCATTCTGGGCTAAGCAACTATTCCTGACCCAAAGCTGGAGGAGCAGACGCTGCCAGGACTAAGGAGAGTAGCTTTCTTATGAGCACCGGGTGGCAAAATGGGTGGATTGCATTGGTGTATATCTTTGGTGTCTCAGACTGAGTTTCTAATCTTTTCGTATCATATATAATGAAACCTGAAAGGACAAGGAGATCACTGACGTGGAGAAAGCTGACAAAAGGCAAAGTGTTTTATCAAAAGGGGATGTGGGTTAGAAGGAGGGGTGGTGAGGTGGGAGAGATGGGACTCTGCCAGTTTCTGCAGGAAGGTTGCAATTTGTTGAGCGTTTGCTAGGCTTTGTGTGCATCAGATAAGAAACAAACAACTACAGTTAGTGTGCTTTGTGCTTGGCTGTTTTGATTAAAGGCTTATTAAAGGTCCTTTTATTAGACAGGAGTCCCATACAAAGCTGTAATTAATATGTGTGTATGTGTATGTTTTTTTCCTTTATTGATGCAATGAATATAAATGGTTGGGGCGGTTGGAAATACATCAGTAACTGGTTCCCTGTACATTAAAAAAATAACAATAATCAATTTCACAAGCTTCTGACAAACAACAGACTGGGTACCTGTTGGCTGCATGCTGGTACCCTGTGGGTCCAGGGAAGAACATCGCAACATATTTATCCAGGAAGATACTTTAAAAGCCTGGGGCATGGCCTTCCTTTTCTGAGGCTGGCTGTTCAATTACCAGATTTGCCATAAACTGAATTGTCTGTGTCATCTTTTTTGTGTACAGGAGCTCTGCAAATAGAGAACAGCGAGGAGTCAGACCAAGGCAAATACGAATGTGTTGCAACCAACAGCGCAGGAACCCGCTACTCTGCCCCAGCGAACCTTTACGTTCGAGGTAAGAGCAGCTTCCACCCAAGGAGGTCACTCTTCTCCTGCCCAGAAGGCTCTGTGGCTTTCAGTGAAGGAGTATGTTCCCTCTCTTAGTGCCCTGATCGCACTTTGTGGTTTGTGTGACATGGCCTTTTGCTCAAAAAACGACAATATCTTTGATCCACGTTGGGTTTGACTCACATTGCTGGAAATCTGTTTCTGCTGTTTATACGGTGTTATGTCTAATGCTGAAATATGGGCAGAATGGGAATTCCTTTCTCCCTTGAACTCCTTAACTTTGTGTCATAGTTATTTTAATTGGGTACTTAATCCTCTTAGTATAAACTAAACTTTGGTAGAGTAGTCTAAAACCAGTCATACTCCAATGAGCGAGAGGCCCTCAGCTATAGGTGAGCTGGTATTTAGGCCTCTGCTTTGGAATGTGTGTCTTTAAAAACTGAACAGTTTTTTGGAGTTGTCCTAATCAATCTTGTATGCATCAGTGATTGAGCCTCTGGGTATTAATGGCTCACACTGGGAACCTACTGGAAATTAGCTGCAATTCATGTAAAGTGATTTTTCTAATGGTTGTGCTATGTTGCCGATTTAAAATTGTTTTCAACATATCAGAATAACAAGGTTTTACATTAAGACAGTCTCCTTCCAGTTTTCTTTCTCTACATTAAAGATGTTTGAGTTAGCTTGGAGAGAAGCAAGGGCGAAATTCCCTGTACGCTTTCTGTTAACTTCGGCAAGAAAAAAATGTGCTGCTTCATATGAAACACTGTAAAACCAGAGCCACTGGCCAGGGACCCCTGGGAAATGTAGTTATGGATTTTCCCAAGAAAAGAAAGAAGATTCTTGTGCTGGCACAGCCCATTGTTTGTTAGGAAGTTAGATCCAGATTTTATTTCCACTTAGTAAATCAGCTGTCTAATAATAAAATCTCATCTTCATTTCTTCCTTCCTCTGTTTTGAAGAAAGAAAAGACAATCTTTAAGCTGTACATTGGTTAGTATGGAAAGAGGACATGAGAATGATTAAGTCTTCACATTCTGTGTGTTTGCTTCTAGGGGTGGCTTCTAGCATTGTTTTCTTTGTTTATTCTGGGGGACTGCTTTTTTATTTTGCAGCGTAATTTGGATTATAAGAGTCTTTGGAAGACTGAAGTATCCAATTAAGCATATTCAGAAGATGAAGCTATATCTATGCAGTGGAATCACTCATTTCACTCTCACAATGTAATTATGGATGATTTTGAACTCCCTGTGTTCTTTCAAGTTCGTTTTTCAGGCAAGCTGTACTAAAACTCATCTGGGATTGTCACTTTGCACTCTGAGGGAAAGGATCCTAGTTACCAGGCTGGCTGTTAGGTTTGTGCAGATACCCGGCCATTTTGCTGCAGTATTTGGGATGCGTTTGCTTCCGGGGACATGCTCAGAGTCTCAATGTTCTGTTTTCTATAGAGGTGTGGTTCAAAAAAGGCACAGGAGCTTCAAGAGGTAGAAAAACCTTCTGTTAACGCTTTCCAATTTCTCACTAATGAACACTCTTTATTTAGCAAGTGAATCCTGTAGGATTCTGAATCCTGAGGAATGTACTGAATTTTCCACCTGCTCAGCCAGGTTCATCTGTCCTGTTTGGGGGAGGCATGGGCCATGGATGGTCTGCATGTGTGAGCTGATCCTGACGTTCATCGAAGAAAACATGTTCTTAGACATATGCTTTGCTGTTAACTGTCATTTTCTTACACATAAATTTTTGGAACAAGCCTTTTTATTGCACATAATCTTTACAATGTCAGGCTCCAACCTGTGTGATCCTGATAAAGGCCTGCTGTATATTTAAGACAGGATACCCCATAAATTATTATCAGATGAAATTCATTGTGCATACTAGGTCCTAGATGGTATTTGTGCTTACAGTTTCTGATAGCAAATGTTCCACAAAAAAATATCATATTGTTACTGTATTAGTTAATGACTTCAAAAAGATAGTCAAACCAAGAACAGTATTTTATTTCTTTAACGAGCAAGGAAAAAAATGAAAATGTGTTACTTTCTCAGGTCTGAGATGCAGAATAAAACAATCCCTGTTTTTTCTTCCTGCGATAATCCTTGAGCGTAGTCGTTAGACAGATCAATGACTTCCAGTAGGGTCTTCAGAAAGTGCCTGCATCTTTACTATAGGAGACATTAATTAATGCTACATTACAGTGGAAATTAAGTGTGTCGGCTGTATTGTCACTTTGTGGTGATTTCAAAATGATTGACCTCGTTGTGGTGAATGCCCAAGAAGTTGCCCACTTTCTCAGAAAGCATGGCTGAGTACTGAGCAGCGGCACTGATTTCCACCCTGTGTGGTTCTCAGGACTGCTTGTGCCTGCTCCCATTTACAGCCTATTGTTTTTTCAATAGTTCAAATGTTTATTTGTCTCTTGACTCTTGGGGTTTATGTTTTTGATCGTGTCCTCCCCTTCCCTAGCCTCCCAGGTAATCCTTTGTGCGTGTGCTGTTAGAAAGCACAGCCTCATTAGCATCTTTATCATAATTTTCAGTCTAACAAAGGAAGATACTGGGTACCGAGAAAGAGTATCCAGGCACTGCTCAGGGCTTCCTATATCAATGAAAGAACAGGAGGAGGAAGGAGCAGGCTACACCAGTGTCTTGTCTCTATGAATCCTTTAGAGCAGCACTTCTGCACAGATGGACTTCATTAAAAGTTAAAATGTTTCCACACCAGGGATTTGTAAAGGAAAATGGATGCATTTTCCTCGAAGCTATTATTTTCATCTTACTAAGCATGCTGGAAAGCAACCATCATAAGGCCTTCTGCTTCTGGACTGATGGGTCTATCTGTCTGCTGCTGCAGAGCTGGGATGGGGCTGGGGACCAGCACTGGGAACTGACTGTCTCCCACTGCTGCGCTTCAGCCCTCCATGCATGGAGAGTTGTAGAAAACATGCAGACCATCAGAGGAGCAAAAACAGAGTGAAGGCAGGAGCAGGGAGCATGCCAGGGCAAGGTGGCTATCTGGGCAATGGCAGGGACTTCAAAGGGGCCACTGTGGCATATTCCTATCCTGCCCTTTCAGCACAATTATTGCCAGTGCTGGTCTGGATGTTGTCATTACCACCATGAAGGACCGCTCATCCATCTGTGGTCCATGGTTACATGTACCACAGTACATCATAACAATGATTAGATTTGGGACTTGATGGTGCTGCAGGGAAAAGGGAAGGGAATAGAAAGGTATGGAAGATGTGATTCCTCTAATCCAGAGAGCTTACTGTCTAATTTAGCAGCAAAAATCCAAGAAGTTGATTCAAGAAATTGGTTTAAGAGTAGAAATCAGATTGGACCTAGTGTGGAAAAAAAAAGAAGGTGGTGTCATTTCATCATGCTCACTGGGAGTATGGTATAATTGCACTGATTCACCTAGGCTATTGGATTTTTATGAACATGTTTCACTGTTCATTTGCCTACAGATTCAGGGACATTTTCATAAAGAGGAGCATTTTCATACAAAACTCTTGTCCTGTGAAATGTCTGTGAAGGTGGTGGCCTGTGTGGTGCTCCCCTCAAATAGCGGCACTGTTATTTGACTCTTTTCCTGTACAAAAGGTTTTTTCTGCCCTTTCTCTACACACGGCATTATTTTTTTCTTACTTCAATGAAGCAGAAGAGCAGGAAGACTGTGTATAAAACTATCCTTATTAATACACTGTGGAGTTCACTAGGTGTGTTCCCCAGTGCTGCTTACAGCAGTGAGCAATGCAGATGCTATTAGAATAGCATTTATTGGAGCACTGGCTGCATAATTCCCATCAAATGAGAAATCTGCTGCTCAGTTTTCACTTAAGTGCTGCTTTTCAGGCCTTCAAGGCACAGTCCAGTGGAGCAAGTGCAGCAACTTTCCTGGCCCCAAATGCTACACATACTATTGAGAAGCACCTGCACAGCTGCTTTTAAAAGAAGACCATTTAAAACTGAATTGTCTCTTTTGTCCCCAGATCGCAAACTAGTAAATCAGACTGCAGTAAATAGAAATGGTATTATTGCAAAAAATTGTGCTCTCTTGATCTGCTTTTTGAAAGGCCAGGCTAGTATTTCGTTTGGCAGCAGGGAAGCTTGCTTGGAGTCTGAAATTTTATTTGCCAAATTTCACTAAGGAACCATCACCCAAAACGAAATTAGGTTGTAGCTTTGTCCCTAGCAGTGATTCTGTGGCCTCCATGGGGTTTTACACTTGGGGACTTGGCGGTGGCTTAGGCTCAGACACGGAGGGAGCTCACCGAAATGGCTACTTGCGGCTGTATGATACTTAACTGCAGTGGGGAACTTGTGTAAATAATAATAATTCTGAATGACTGACATGGGCCCCGAGCAACAAGACTTGAAGCCTTTAAAAAGGACATTTTCTGCTTATGTAATATTAAAACAGCTAAAATAGCATCAGCAGCCAAAGCTTGAGGGTATTGCCAGGAGAAGAGTTAAAGCTGAGGACAGTGGTCAAACAGTCAGTCACCAAAACTGGGAATGTCTGAAAATGGCTAAATAATGGGGAATACATTTATTTACAATCCAGCTACATGCACACTTCTGGCAATATGCTTCGTTAAACCTGCCTCGCGTCTGGGTTGATGGGGGTGACATTACTTGAGCAGCGAGGGGCACTGCCGGTGCTTGAGGGCCTGGCAGCAATCACAGACAAGCAGAGACTGGAGAGCCTTGTGAGGGAGATGCCTGGGTGACAGGAAACACAAATAGGCAGTTGAATCAGACTGGATGACCCAGACTGCTGCTTCGGACAGATACCTGCCCTGGACCGTCAGAAGAAGCAAAACCAGGCTGCGATAGAGGCCACAGAGTAACTACCCCTCAGCAGTTGGTACGTGGCTGAGGAGGGCTACAGGTCTGAAGGGCCATGTGTACACTCTGTGCAGCCCTGACCTCAAGATAATGCTGTAGTAGCGCAACGCAACAGAGCAATGACCCTTTGATGAAGAAAGCGCGCTCCTTTTTATAGGATTTCAGTATTTTTAACTTCATTTCCTCTGCCCCGGGGTGCTGCTCCGTGCTGGAGCTGCTGCTGTGGCCGCAGTCGGAGCAGCTGTGGTGTGGGCAGATGCAGCTGGGCGAGCTGTGGGCAGAGTCGGGGTGAGGGCAGCCAGCGGGGTGGCCGGACCAGGGCAGCACTCAACACCAGCAGACGTTGGCTGCTCAGTCCATGCTGTGGCTTGTGCTGCTGCCACTCTGTGTCCCCATACTGGAGCTGGCTGGCCTCAGAGCCGGAGAGGCTTCTGCCAAGTTTTTCTTCCCCGTATACTACTATGAATATTTTTGTCATGTTTTCTCCTGGGGTGAAGCGTGTTCACCGTCAGTATTTCTATGAGCACTTTGCTATGCCATAATGATTATAATGATAACGGTTTAATAAATAATAGTTCTTTGTCCTTCTGCTAGCACATCTGAAGATTTCAATGTGCTTTATAGAACTCAACTAAATAAGCTTAAGAGTTTTATTCCTTGCAAAGTCCTTTGATGGTTAAAAGTGCAACATGAGGCTCAGGTCTGGTGATTTGTAAAATGACCTTTATGTAAAATAGAAGGAGAGTGGCTGGTGGCTCAGTGCATGATAATGCAACTCAGAAATGGACTTGGAAACCTACTTCCCCCTCCTCCCCCTCATGACCTGCATAGACGTCTGTGGAACAATTAGGCCTGCGTATCTGTGCCGACTAAATGTCCGTTCCCTCCCCTTCCATATCCACTTGCACAAAGTGTTAGGAAATCCATCTCTGGTGCTCTGAGATTTTCTGCTCTTAATTGAATTCATGCATGCATGTGTGTGCACTATGAATGGGAAAGGATGGTTGGGCATCCTGAGCATCCTGTCTGTCTCTCTAGGATGGAATATACTCATCACTGTGGCATGAGAACATTGTTCATCGCATATAATGGGAGGTTGTCTTATTCTCATGTAATCTGGCGTAAAAAAGACAATCTGTCCTTTTGTTCCTCTATACCTCTAAAAGCTGTAAAGGATAAAATTTGATTTATGTGGAGTCCTTGAGACACAAGATGTGCTTTTGGAGATAAGCAGGAACAGGTTCATCCCCCTCTGGGTTTTTGTTAACCTCTCTGTTTTTTGGATTCCACAGTGTCTGGGTTTGCCTTTGTATTAATGCCTTGCGTAGCACCAGAGGGTTTTGAGCACAGGGCAGTCGCTGGCAGTTCCCAGCAGAATTACAGAGCCAATTGGGATAATGAACTTTCTTGTTGCTTTGAGGAAAGTATTAGCTTCCCACTCTGAAAGGCTTTAGAAATGTGTTCCTTTGTTTGAGCTAGTGATCTAAACTCTCAGACCTGTGCATTCATATCGTGGCCACAGCCCCCTGCCTTGTTTCAGGGAGCTAATGCCCAAGGATACACGAAAGCGGAGCCTCCCATAAGCCCAAATTCATTCTTTCTGAACAAGCTGCTGTGGTTAGAGTATTGCTGCTGCTGCGTAAGTTGAGCATGTCTGTGGCAGGGCGAAAGCCAAATCCAATCGGCATGGGAATTTCTGCCTACAGAGCACTGGAGCCATCTGACAGTCAGGACTGGCAGACACATCTCTGATACGGCCTCGCTCTTTGCTTCTTTGCTGTTTCAACTTGGATCTCAAAAGGAGCCCTGTTTTTACCTTCTGGGTTTGCCATCCTCTGGTGGCATTTCTGCTGTGACTTGAACTGCTTTGTCTCGCACACAGACTGGCATGTTCAGGTTAGCTGCCAGGCGGCGCGGGTTCGTGGGAAGACAGAGCGTGCCTAGTGAGCCGTGGTATTCTGCACAGGGGATACTCTTGGTAACCCCGGCCTTAAATCCTCTGTCCCTGCGTGGGGGGCAGATGTTATTTGCTGTCACTCCTCAGAGTCGTTTGTTTTGTAAAAAAGCAGAAAACCTGTTGGTAAAATGTGCTTCTTATCTTAGGAGTGACATGGTTAGAGAACTGGAGATAAGGGAGAATGTGAATGGGATCCGTAAGGAGATGAAACTTTCAATTTACAATTTATCAGGTTTATCTCAGATAAAGCAGCAGCTGTTTAAGCATTAAGTAAAGGGAAAGGGGAGAGAACTTTCTGCCCAGGTGTTCCCTCTTACCTTACAGCTGTTCCAAAATAGCCTGCTACTGGTTTTTATTCCCCATAAGCCACTAATATAATAAGAGATTAAGAGATAATCCAGCAATTAGTGACAAATAGCAAGCCCCAAACTTGTTCCTGTTTGACAGACCAGAAATTAATCTGTTTGAATTAGCGCGTTTCACATGTGTCTCCTCACCTTTCCAACTCTAATCTGAAGTGTCAACACGTGGGGAAAGCCGCTGCCGGAGCCTACTCCTGTCCGTGCACACTGATGCAGCACAGTCCCTGCCAGGCTTCCCAAAACAAAGCTCCTGGCAGTTCCCCAGCTGCAGCAGCAGCACCCCCCTCCCTGCCCATGGGCAGCCCAGGTGGCACCACAGCAAGTCCCCTTGGTATAGCTGGGGTCTGCCAGCCCTTCCCAAGGGCAGGGGCAGGCTCTGTGGCTGCTGCGCTTTTGCAGCAGGGATGGGTATTCCCATAGCTGTTTCAGCATCATCCGCCAGTCCTATGCCCTTCACTGGCTTTTTGCCCTTCAGTCACAGAGTCTCAACGGGTACAACAGGTTGGTCCATGTTTGCAGCACTTGGAGTTTGTGTTGCCCTATTGAGATGTTAGCACTGCTGTCCAGAAATGCAGGCGTTCACGGGTACGCCTGGTTTGCCAGAAGCACTGTGCTTCCCGGGCAAGGGCAGGAAACAAATCCTCCCTCTTGGGAAGCGCTGAGCAGAAGGCAGGAGCCCCTCGCCATCTGATGAGGCCATGCAGATGTGATACGCTCCATTAGATTAGGAAATAAAGTGGTGGCTTGGGAGCGGCAATAAAGAGGTTCCCTCCCATCGCAGGGTCTCGCAGGATTAAATGAGCCTTATGTTAATGTTTTGTGGACCAGGAGGTTAAATCCCCTGTCTGAAGCAGGCCAGAAGAAACCTGGACCTTAAGTTGGGACTATTTTTTTGAGGATGTCCAGGTGGAGGTCGTCACTGGATGTAGCCCTCGCTTATGGGCCAGTTAAGCTCCAAGTTGGCTGGTTCTAGTCCCCTGGTATCGGTTCAATTGAAGAAACGTAAACAACTGTTTTGCTGTTCTCCTGCAAGCTCCATTACACTTAGTAGGCCACTGTTGTAGTTGTTATTGGCAGTTTGTTGCCTGGTCTGTAGCATGTCAGTGTTGGTTAAAATCCTGTCCTCTAATCGCTGGAAATGGCTGACTGTACTGCTGCACTGTATAATGCCACATGCTGTTCTCTAATTTGCAGTGTTTCTGCTGGAAAGCAAATTCCTCCCCCCACCTTCTCCTTCCCCCATTGAAAATGTGACTCATAAGCAGTCTTTAACTATCAAATCCACTTCTGTATTCTCTCAGCGAGGGTTCAATTACAGCTGATACGCCACAGATCTGTAGCTGAAGTGAGGTCACTCCTGCTAGAGAAATAAGATCTCCTTTGTCTATAAGGAAAATGCAACTAACCTTCTACTGTCTCTCCCGCAGGAACAAAAACTGGGACCTGCTCAATTCTCTCTGGGTGTTTTTGTCCTTCTGATTTCTTGTCCATCTCTCACTTGCAGCACAGTGTACCAATAAGGCTCTCCCGAAACTGAGCCCAGCTGAGACTGCGCATGTCTGTCACTTGCCTAATACCTCTCTGCTGCATTTAGCTCTTTGTTTGGAGAGGGGGAGCTGCTCTTCATGGTAGAAGATTTTCCATTCACCACTTGGAACATTTCTTTCACACTTGATAAAATTCGGATCTACATATATGCTCTTCCCAGTGTGTGGTCAACGGGTTTAAAGTGCCTTTGCCATCATCTTTATGGCTGGAGTGGGTGCGTGGGAGGATGTCAGTCTGTGTGATGGCTGGAGTCCCTTGCTCTGTGCGTGTGTGTGAGCGTTTTGCACATGTAAACCTGTCTGTGCTTCCAGCATCTGGCTCAGTGCAGGGCCACCCATGCAGCACCCTCCATGTGAGTATGTGAGGGATGTTTGGTCCCTTCCACCCTGCCTCCACGAGCAGTGAGCAGGCCAGGAAGGTGGAGGGGCCAGCCCTGCTCCGGGCCAGAGCGGTGTGAGTGTGGAGCACTCTTGTCCACGACATGGAGTGGTGTGTGTGCATGGTGGGAAGTCATGGCTGACCTCTGTAGTCTTGTCTTGTCGTTTCAGTGGTGTGCGGACAGATGAAGCTTGGCCTGTTTTTACTCTCTGTGTTTTTCCTTGTCTTTTTTTATTCCCTCCTCATCTTCATCGCACTCTGCCATCAAACAAAACAAACTTTCATCTCTCAGATCAGCGAGAAGGTTGGTCCTTTTCACTTCTTATCCATCTACAGTACGCCACGTCAGATGAGACTTTTCCAGTAGATAGAGGAGAGCCATCCCGAAAAGGGGAGGGGGCCCTGCAGACTCTGGCTCCCTTCCAGGCACGGCCACAGTGTGCCTGATGAAATCTGCTTACTGTTTGCTGTGACTCTGGTGATGGCATTGCTACTTTGCTTGCATGCCTTTGTTGCTTGAGATTTAAAATGCACAGAATATATTTTGCATGCGAATACCAGCCAGGGCGGTTTTGTTCAAAGGTAGGGTGGGAAGAGGTGCATGCTACTGTATGTGGAGTCCTTCTCTAACCCATTACCTGTGCTAGGTGCCAGTCTAATACATCTAAACTGCTGCTGCTTTCTGGCTGGGGATCAAGAGCAGTCTTTGGGAGCAGGGATCACAACAATCTCCAGTCCCCTTGCAAGCTGTTAGGGAGAGTGGGTTCCTCAATTCGTCCTGTAGCTTTAAAATTTTTAACTTTCTCTGGAGGCAAAAAAGCTTACTTATCATCTCAGCTGGAGAAGAACCCAGCAAGCTGCCCTCCCATGCCACAGGGCAGCAGGCTGAGAGATGCAAGGCGCGTGTGCTGAGGCAGCTTCCCTGCTCCTCAGCAGTCCCTATTCTGGGGGTGGCCAGTTCTCCATGCTTGGGCAAGGGCTCTTTGCATGAGCAGGTCTGCCTCTCCTTTCTTCCCTGGGGCTGGGTCTTTCTCTTGCTGGCAGGAGAGCAGGGAGCTCTGGCAGTGGCCCCATCCTTACCTAGGATGGCTCAGGGAGGCCCATGGCAATGTGCGCAGGAGCTCATAGCCACTCAGCAAAACTTGGTTTGTGCTTTGCCCTGTTCCTTCCCGCTGCCCTCAGAGAGCCAGAGGTGAATAAATGACAATAGTGAAAGGCGACTCCAGCTTTTAAATTAAATTTAGCTCCAGACCTAGCTTGAGGCACTCCTGATTTCATGCTGAGGAAAGCTGGTGTTTTTGGCAGAAGTCCTGAGCTAGTTCCCCGAGATGACTCCTTCACCAAACAGGAACTGTGCAGGTCCATCCCTCCACACGTGCTGGAGGAGAGGGATGCTTACAGCGGCTCTCCAGCCCGGCACTGCTCCCGGGTGGCACCAGGAAGAGACCCTGGCTCCTCTCACACATGCCATCAGGTAGCTGCATGAGTTGATCTTATAATCATCACCGGAATAAGTTTTAACAAGTTGTCATAGCAGTTGTTCCAGTACACTGACTTCGCTCCCATTTCTCTCCCTGGAACGTGCTCTCATTTAGATTGTACTGAGGCACGAGGCCCTTGTTGTTTACCCTCTAAAAATAGATTTCATAGAGGATAAAATTACCTGAGCCCAAGACAATGATGAAAAATGAGAACAAGGAAGAAAAGAGAAGAAATTAAAGCCAAGGCCCAAAGCCTCCCAGATTTCAGTGAACTTGGAGCACCGCTGTGATGGCTCAGGCACCTCTGGAGAATAAACCTTTGACAGGGCACTTAAACGTTTTAGCCGCATGGTTTAGCTGAGGGGAGGCAGCTGAGAATGGATATAAGCCAGCAGGAGCGGATAATTTCTCATTCTTTGTGTCGACCCCTCCTCTCCGCCCCACCAAAAATACCCACATACACAAATATTTAATGTGGAGCCAGAAATTAGTTTCTAAATATTCCATTGGGATTTGCCGTGCTTATAATTTGTTTGGCGCTGATAATTACATCTTACATTTTTCCAGCTTTACTTAAAACTGTGTACTGCTCACCCATGCATTTAATTATTGCTCTGTGACTGCTACAAGGTTATTTATTAACGAGTTATTTTATCTTGATACAGTGGATCTTTTCTCTTATTCTCCTCCTTAATGTTGTGTTATTTTCATCAGAGAAATTTCAGAGAGTGAATGCAAATTGCATAGCTCCACAATCTTGCTCTCCCTTACTTTGCTATTAGTATGTCAGTATGCTGAATGCTGATGTGTCTCCAGTGCTGCACCACTGTAATGATATATCCTCTTTTATATGTGGTTGTCAGCGCAAATAATTAGACCTAAAAGTTATAGCTGAAATATAATCCAAAAATGGCAAGGCCCTGTTTTGGAAATTGTCTATAAAATGTCAGCACTCAAGGATGCATTGGGAGCATAAATAGTACAGCATTGTTTGAGCACAAGATTAGACTGTAAATGCATTTTTTCTGGTTCCAATTTTTCCTCTCCTGCTGTTGATTCTGTCAATAGATTGTGAGACTCCAGCAACTGCCTTTCCATTTGAAGTCCTTCCTTAAAATGATAGCGCTAGGGAGAGATGAAAGGTGTCTACCGATGAGTAAACCATGCAGACTGATGATCATGTTTGAGGATATCTCCTAAATTCACTCCTTCCAGACTTCCGGATGGTTTCTGAGTAATACGGAAGTTTTGGGCAAGGTAGCATTGTGGTGAGGGCGCAAGCACACCCCAGGTACCAAGGATACCAAAGATACCCAACAAAGAAGTTGGGCAGTGTCACCTTCTCAAAGACATGCCCCTGCATCACTCTGTACTGTTCACCGCTCGGGAGGTTAGTGCAGAGCCCTCCAAACTTGCCTTTGCTGTGCTGAGGGCCAGGGAGGAGCAGCACAGCCCAGGCAGTGCTGGTGCTCCTTCAGAGCGGACGGGACTTCAGACTGATGCTCCTGTGTGCAGAGGAAGAGCAAAGGTTAGAGGATGTCAGGACAGTGGTGCAGGACCACTGGGACCACAGCATCTGGGATCACCCCAGAGAGGAGCAGAGAAGCATACAGAGCACAGGCACATTGTCATGGGGCAGCACCCAGCGAGCCTGCAGTGGGGATGTCAGGAGGGGAAGGATGGAGCCTGGAGTTAGACGCCAGCTGGGCATGGTGGGAAAGAGACCCAGAAGCAAGAACAGTCAAATGAAGGTCCCTGCATCTCTGCGAGCTGGAGGGAGGGGTGTGAGCACTGTCATTTGCTCAGCTGTACTGTGGCCAAGACAGCCAGCAGGGAAAGCAGTTTGGTTTCCCCTTCCCTAGCAGCACCGTGCAGTTTTGGAAGCATGAGCAGTCCTCCCAGCACTGTTGTGTTTTCAGCAGAGCCTTGCCGTGTGCCAGCAGTGTCTCAGCGTGCGAGAGGGGGGCTAACAGCACAGGCCTGTGACCCCTGAGTACTCGTGCCCAGAGCTCAGAGCCTACAGCTCTTGCAGACAGAGGTGGGGGGAGGAATGGGGAGGGTCCCTGCTTCTCCAAGGGGGTAACATCACCCTCAGAGGGAACCTGAGATGTTAGGAAACAGCCACTTCTGTGGTGAAAGGAGCCGGGCAATCGATTCATGCTCTTTGCTCTCAAGGCAAGGACTTGCATTGGACGTGCACGTTAATGCATGCTGAATTATTAACGTTCTTAATCTCAACCTTTGTGGCTGTTGTGTTGCCTGCTCCTCTCCTCCCTCCCCACGGTCCCCCCAAGTGAGTGGGGAACCAGTCTCCACGCTGTCCTTTCTCCCTGTCCTGTGGGATCCAGGGCACAGGCTCAGGTTGCCCTGCACTGCTCACCGCTCCGGGGTTTCACTTCACTTCCCAGGGAATGCTCTCTACAAGGAGGTGTGCTGAATAGTGGAGCAGCACAGAGCCCTTACGATGCCTATTCTTGGGATGAATGACAATGAATCTCATTTTTGACAGTCTGCTGGTTTAACTAAACCTCTGTATTATACCATTGTCCACTGAAATCATTTTAATATTCACAGCAATTTTCCCTGTGCTGTTCTTGCAAAACCTCCAAACCACCTTCTCTGATCTTTATCCAAAAAGAAGATTAAAAAAAAAAATATTGCAAATTCTTGTCAAGAAAATTGTAATAAAAAGGGAAATTTCATTGCTGCAATAAATGAAGAAAAACAAAAATTTCTGGAGCACTCAAGGTAGCATCATGGGCTGTGCTAGCCCATGTGATTTGACTTGTAAATTGGACAGGAATTCTAAGAATGCTGCTTTTTGAGGAGTTATACTGATTTAAATTATTACCAGACTCTTATGCTAGAAAAGCAAGCGACTTAAATCGCTGGCTTGAGCCTGAGGAATGTGTTGATGGTGCTCTGCAAGCTGCTGTGAGAGCTCTGCCAGCTCTCACTAATGCTAACTGACAGCATCTCCCCTTCTCCCTCTGTACTGGCTGGGACGAGAAGCTGCCAATTATCCCCCAAGAGGATGGGAGGCTGATGGAGCCCATCTCTTCCTTCGCACATCCTCCTGCCAGAGTATCGTCTGGGCCAGATCTCTCACCGAAGGCATTGTCCTGACCCCCTCCTACCTCCCGTGTTGAGAGCTGACCCCTGCACATGGCATCCATTTTTAGCAGCCGCGGTGCCTGGGCACCATGGCTCTCTGGCGCGGAGCAATGAGCCCATCTTAGCAGCTCTGCCGGTGTGCTAATGAGGGGAGGCCGGCTCAGCCGTTCTGGGTCGCAAAAATACACCGCAGAGGCCTGTTTAATGGCTCATCTGTTGCCAGGCTTGGGAGCTGAGGCCCTGCACAGCTTCCTGGCGTGCCGCAGGCTGCAGTGTGCAGGAGGCATGGCCCGTGTCAAGGTCGGCAACGCCGCAGCCTGGCCACCTTCCTGTACGGTTTGATCTGCGGGAGAGTTTTCCTTGCCATTCATCCCTTCCCTAGGCATGGACAGGCCAGCCACCTCTGCTGCTCCCCTGTGGGTAGGAGAGGGGGGACCCACTTCTGAAGGGGCTCAGCCCTTCTCTTCACCCTGCAAAGTGCTGCCGAGAGAGCCCCCAGCCCCCTTAGAAGTGCATCTCCCCTGTGGGCAGCACAGGGGAGCAGGGGATGCTCGGCTGCTGGCTTCCCTGGGGAGAGGTGGTTGCAGTGCTCACAGGCACTGCCTCTGCAGGACACGTCGAGGGGGACACAGCACTGGTGGGGCTCTCGGGAGCACCCTGAGAGCAGTGCTTGGCACGGGGACACAGAGTGGGGTGCGGGGGAGACTGCGGTGGGCTGTGCTGCCTCTGGTCTCACAGGGCTGGGAGTCAAAATGTGCTTGTGCATGCTGGGCTCTGACATTCCTGCATGGCCTCCTGTCCTCCAGCCTCATCCTCCCATGTCCCTGTATGTGAGTTACTGTGCACCTTCCCTCTCCCCATCCTGCTCTTGCTCTGCTTTCTCTCCAACTCCAGAATGGCCTCCAGTGCCCGCCAGCCTGTTTGCCTGCTGCATGTGCGTGAGTGCTCTGTGCACACCTATGGCTTTATCCTCAAAGTTTGCTCTTTTTTATTTTAATACAGTGTGGGTGGGTGGGTTTGGTCCTTGGATGGGGACGGAGTTTGAACAGCTTCTACCTGAAATAATTCGACGCCATGTTCATTGGAAAACAAAACCTGACTCTTAACGAATGGTGCTGGGATGCTTTGGTTGGAAGTACACGCCATCATGTTAAACCATTGCCATGTCCATCAGGTTAACTCCGTATTCTCATGACTGTGTAGCACTTGAGTACACTTTCAGTTCTGTCTCATTTGGGGAGCGCTGCCCCATCAGTCAGGTAACGCCTCACTGGCGATCGCTCATGTAGCTATTGATTTGAGATTTAATAATTGATTAAAAGAAACAACCAGCAAGACTTTGGATTTAGACATTAAAAAAAAAAAAAAAGCAAAGCAAGTTATCCTTCCCCTGACTGGTAAGGAGCTAATGAGCCCTGTTTTGTCACCGAGACGATGTGTAGTACACACACGATGTTGACAGTATTGTCTAATTTATCACGAAGTCTTAGCTCTGTTGTACATGCTAGCGTGGGGGCTTCCGTGTTCAGTCTATTTCTGCAAGCCTGTTGGTTTGGGAATGAATCATCAAAGAGAGCACTAGTGAAATTTGATTTGGGGAGAGTCAGCTTGGCAAGCGGAGCTGACACCTCTGCGGCTCGCTGGGCTGTCAGCGGCTTTACCGTCTGCGGAGACGCCGTGGTGGCAGGAGCCGTGTCCCCCCAGGCCCCCAAAGCTCCTGGGGCCGGTTGTGCCTGCGGCTTGTTGTGAGCTGGCACCGCTCAGGCTCCTGCCTGATTTCCACCTGCCCCCAGCACCGCGGCTCCTGGCTGCTCCACCAGCCCGATGCACTGATGGAGGAGCATAATTGGCAGGGAGAGGCTCCTCAGGAGCCGGTCAGTCGTGAACCCGGCCGATGCTCTGGGGCTGCCTTCCTGATGGAGGAGGCTAGAGGAGAGCAGGGCTGCTGGGCAAGACACGTTTGAGCAGTTTCCCTTTTTAACTACAGACTAAAATAAGCTTGCCCAGAGGAGACAAAGATTTACCGAGCACAGTTGTTTCTCTACCCTTGCTTAAATAGGCCCATAACACTAACCCTGAAGAAGGGGCCTCATTTCTCAGTGTCATTTTCCTGACGGGAATGCATATGGCAGGCAGCTTTAGAGCTTTATTGTAGCTGAGAGTTGCTTACAAATAAGTCTTGAATGAAATACCCAGCAAGGGATTGATATGAAGAGAAGCTGTGCAATGAAATAAGGAGGAATACATCTCCCGAAGTGCTGCCACAAAGGTGGGGAGGGTTCTGCCAGCCCAGCTCTCTTCTGTCAAAATGGATATGATCTCACATCTGTCAGGATTAGTTCTCTCCTGCCCAGCAAGGTGATCTGTTCAGGCCCTGACAATGTCATGCAGCTCTGGTGACTGTTTTTTCTGAGCCAAGGTAGAACCTGAGTTACATTTTGAAAGGAATTATATTTTATTTAGCAGCACACGTGTGCTAATTCAGAAAGAAACCCTTCTGCTGCTCCTGCCCAAACCTTGTGAGGTTTAGAGGACGAGTTGCTCTACTCTAGAGCTAATAAATTGAGCAGGTAATTCCGTTTTGCAGAGCTTCAGTGGGCCCTGCACAGAGAGAGTGTGTGACTGGCATTTGTGCATGCTCTCTAATTAGAGGGATGTAATTTAAATGGAGGAATGTTTCATGTTAGTAATATGATTCCAAAAGGCTATGTTTGGAGGGAATGGATTGAGCCATCCCTTAATGAGTTGTTCTAATAAGATGCCAGTGGCTAAGGAAGGAGAGCAAAGTGTGTGCAATTTGGCAAAGCAGCGAACAGCTTTTGCACTTCATTTTATCTGTCCCGAGGGATAGACAGGCAAAAACGTTGAACCCCCCTCACGTACCCCTGCAATGCCACTGAGTGCTCTCTGCTGGTTCTGTGACCCTACTAGCTGTCTCCTCCTTGTTTCAGTGCGGCGTGTTGCTCCTCGATTCTCTATCCCTCCGAGCAACCACGAGGTGATGCCAGGGGGGAGCGTGAACCTCACATGCGTGGCAGTAGGTGCTCCGATGCCCTACGTGAAGTGGATGGCTGGTGTGGAGGAACTGACCAAAGAAGATGAGATGCCCGTCGGTAGGAACGTCCTGGAGCTGAATAACATCGTGCAGTCTGCCAACTACACCTGCGTGGCCATCTCCTCCCTCGGCATGATCGAAGCCACGGCCCAGATCACTGTCAAAGGTAAGGAACTGTTCCTCGTGGTTGCTTCTACTAGGGTTTCAACGGTGTAGCCCTTCGCCAAAGTGGTTTTGGGTGCACCCAACTGACCGCAGTCTCCTGTGTCTTTTCCACCTTGCAAGAGATGCTCCCAAACCCACAATTTGGGTTTTTTTCATGCTCACAGTATAGTACTTGCTTTGGAGGTTGTTTCCTCTCTCCCTACACGTGGCATTATGGGAGATGGGCTCGTGTCAGGCTGGGTCCCTGTTATGCCACGAGGGAACCTCATTGAGTCTGTGCTCATCCCAGCAATTTCTGGCTTGTTGCATGTATCGGGAGGATCAGTTCAGGGCAGGGTCTGTGGATGTCTGCAGTCAGAGAGCCATTTGCACAGAGGTCTCCTCTTGCAGTAAGGGCAGGACAAGAAGGTTAATCCCAGCAATGTAAAGTATCTGTGGGGCTCACCAGAATGAGCATCCTGCCCCCATGCAGGGAGGAGATATACTTGTTCATTTTAAAATTATTGCATATTCCTCTGTCAGTTTTCTCTTTTTCTCTCTTTCTCTTTCTCTCTTTCTCTCTCTTGTTGCTGTTCTTAAGGCATGCTTCCTGCTGCCCTTTCACAGGTAGCTTTGCCACAAAGAGGACATTATTGCTGATTGCTGACCAATGGGTACAGGGCAGCCCACCCAGACGGCTCCCTAAAGGGAGGCTGAAGTACATGTTCTGCCTTTCCCATCTAGGGCCAAGCAGGTCCACGCTATCCCTTTCCTCCTCTCCTTGCAGTTGATTTTCCAGAAATATGTCATCTTTTGAGTCTGTCTGTTCTTGCAATCCCCCTCCTGCACTATTGCCACCTTTAGCGCTGAGTCCCTGCTTGAACAAATCACAGAATTGAGTGTTAGCCCTCTCTGACCTGGAGATTAGCAGCAAATTCTCTTTTCCCTGACGCTAGTCAGAGGATGCTTTTAACCTTAGCTGCATACTGCTCCCTTTACTCACAGTGCCTGCTAGTCAGTACCTTTTCCAGCCCCCGTTTTCTTACAGAGCACAGGGGTTGCCTTGGTTATAATATACACCCAAGAGTGTATGGAAGAAAGAGGCATAACAGGAAGGTGGTTTGGACATGGAGGGAGGAAGTTGGAACTGCACCATTGCACTGATGGTTCCCAGTATTTACCTCTTTGTACCTGGGACAACTCTGCCTCGCTTTCTCTTTAGCTGACATGATGCCCACTGCCAACCCAGGACTGCAGAGGCCACCAGTCTCACCAGAGCTCAATTCCTTTAGACCTTTGCTGTCTTCCTTGTTTCTCTGTCTCTCTTTTCTGCACCTTCACTCTGGATATCTTACTGCCTCTGTCCCTAACTCCTTCACCTGGTGTTGCTTCTCCTGTGCTTGCTGGAAAGTAGACCATTTACAGGAGAGACAGGAGATGCAAGATGACACAGAGCTGATTGCAGTAAGTGCATAGAAAGTACCAGACCTGCCCCTTGCTCACATGCAGGCTGCACACCCAAGAGCTGGCAAGAGTCAAGCTTGCGGCTTTCCAAAGGAAAGGGTGGATGAGTGTCATCTGTCCTTGAAAGTCTGAGGGAGGCTGCCAATTTCTTGGATGCTCTAGGAAATGTTTTGCTCCAGGCTGTAATATTGGGCAGGATGCATTTGCCCTCCCCGACTGCTCCATGGGTAGCGGTGTGGTGACCTTCCCTCCCGTACCAGCTCAGCCCTTGCCAATTTTCTCAGTATCCACGTTGCAATAGCACTGCAAAAGGCATCCTACCTGGCAGTTGGAGCAGGCATGTTCCTGAGCTAAAGAGCCTGTCCTCCTCAGCTGAACCACGTGGAAACTGGAAGCCTGATGGCTTTGCCAGAGTGAAGTACTTGAGGATCTTAGTTTGGGCTGAGCATTTTTCCTAATTCCTCGTCAAGCATAAGCTGCATTACAGATCACTAATGACTTTAACTCGAGTGATTCATAGGAGGTTTAAACTTACTGTAGACATTGTCTTAAAGTATTTGTGTATTCTGCAAGTCTCTCTCACTCATTCTTTTTCTTTGTTCTTTTGGTAAAATGGCAAATCTGGAAATGTTTGCTTGCAGTAGTTGCGTTCTCATTAACACTTCAGAGATGTCAGTGTCTCAGAGTTCTTGTGTAACAGTTTATTGTCTGGTTGCAGTTTGACACACCACCCAGTGAAATAGTGGATGTGAAAGTTGGTAATTTCTCTGGCTGTATCCCTCCTGCATGTACTATAATACTTACAAGGCATTCCCCCATCAACCCATCTAACAGCACTTCCATGAACTCCCAATGGCCTAAGATGCTGTCTCTCTGGAAGCAGGAGCAAAGCTCCAGATTACCTGTAGTGCTCTGATTGCTTTACTGTATCCCTTTGTAAATCAGCTACACACCTGGCTTCTGGGGCCACCCAGCCCAGCAAGCACCTTCCCACTGCCAGCTGAACCCCTATGACAGAAACATTCCTGCATCCCCGTTGAATTACCTTTATTTAGCCTGCTGCTGGTAAGTGCGTCAAGCACGTCTAATAACATGATTGCTCTGTTTATCCTTCCATTAAGAACCACTTCAAGCAATATATGGTAATATAAAAATGCATGTTCTAGAGTATGAAATGATTTCTGCCTTTTAAAGAAGAATGTTAATGGGAGGTGGCAGCTCCATTTTTATCCCCGTGCACATTGCAGGGTTTGAGCTGACTGAATTATTTAAATCACACCTCTCTGCCTTCCAATTGCAGCACTGCCAAAACCTCCAACAGAGCCATTAGTGACTGAAACGACAGCTACCAGCGTGACCCTCACCTGGGATTCGGGCAACTCCGACCCCATTTCATATTACGTCATCCAGTACAAGCCCAAATCCACGGAGGGTCAGTTCCAGGAGGTGGATGGTGTGGCAACAACCCGCTATAGCATAGGTGGGCTCAGCCCCTTCTCGGAGTACGAGTTCCGGGTCATTGCGGTCAACAACATTGGCAGGGGTCCCCCCAGTGACCTGGTGGAGGCCCGGACAGGAGAGCAAGCTCCTTCAAGCCCACCCCTCAAAGTCCAGGCACGAATGCTGAGCGCCAGCACCATGCTGGTCCAGTGGGAGCAGCCAGAGGAGCCAAATGGACAGATCAGAGGGTACCGTGTTTACTATACCACCGACCCCCATCTGCCTTTGAGCATGTGGCAGAAACACAACACCGATGACAGCCACCTCACCACTGTGGGAAGCCTCATCACAGGGACCACGTACAGCATCCGCGTCCTGGCTTTTACTTCGGTGGGCGACGGGCCCCCCTCGGACATCATCCAGGTCAAAACACAGCAAGGGGGTACGTATGGAGTGAGGTGCTGCAGATCCGTGTCCAGCCCGGTGGTGTGCGGCTTAGCCCTGTGTCTGATCTGCACCAGGCATCGCAACTGCTCTTGGTGTTCAAATGGTTGCATGTCAGAGCAGCATCCCCACCCCACAGCCATCAGATTTAAGCTCTCAGCGTGTCCTGGGGAGTTGGTATCAATCTCTGTACAAGTAATACAGCCCTCAGTTTTGCCTGAGATACAATGGCTAACAATGTGACATGAGGTCCTGGGGGTGAACCTGTGCAAGGGTGCCGGGCCCACCTGGGGTGTGGGTACGTAAGTGGAAGGAAGGGGCTGGGATGCAGTCAGGGGCTGGAAGGGAGCACAATTCCCGGGGTCCCAGAGGTGCTTGCTTGTTGCCTGGGCTGTTCCAAGAGCACAATACTGGGGAGAGGGAAGAAGGGAGGGTCCAGAAGGAATGAAAGAGGATCCTCACAAGGTGAAACAGACTCTGCAAAGCTGTGCGGCTCCTCTCCCTGCATCTGCCTCCTGACGTTAACCATGTGTTTGGTCCCCAGTTCCTGCCCAGCCAGCTGACTTCCAGGCAGAAGCAGAGTCTGATACCCGCATCCTGTTGACCTGGCTGCCCGCCTCTCAGGAACGCATTACCAAATATGAGCTGCTCTACTGGGAAGGGGAGGATGGCACTCAGGTGAGGATCCTGCCTCTGTTTCAACTGCACTTGGGGCCCCACGTCGCAATTGGGCAGCTTGGGACAGGTGTCTGCTTGAGTAGGGTGGCAACAGGACTGTTTCTTCTCCATGTTTCTTCTGTCTCATGGGTGTGTGATACGAGTATGGCAATCTCTGTCTGGCTTCTGTGTAAGTGATCTCAGCAGTGCTCGTTGATGCCCAGCAGTAGCTAGCGACTGGTTTGGGACTGGAAAGGCTCCAAGAATACCATGACACCTTCCCTGAGGCATCCTTACTGCTGGTGTCTTTATACTGTTGTGCAGGCCAGTAGGGCTTCCAAATGGGTCTGAAGTGGCCTCCAAAATGTGTCTGCAGCTCCAGGACTGGTTAGACTTAAGGAGCAGATTGAGGGTGGCCTAGAGAGAGCCCTTCCATGTTTACTGTCAGGTCCCTATAAGAAGTCCAGCTCTAAATATATCAAAAGTAGTGCTGGCTGCAAGGCAGCACAGTGAGAACTGTGCCATTGCAGCATCACAGTGTCTCCTGGTCCTTTCCTCCTCCTGCTGTGTTTATAGTGGCATGAGAGCTGCCAGACATAAGTGCCCTCCAGGTGAAGTGGCAGCAAAACAAGTCCTTTGCCAGCACTGTTTAGGTGCATTACAGGTGCCGACTACTCCAGGACAAGGGCTTTACTCTGTTTCACAGACAGACATTGTCTGTTGGGAAGAAACAAATTCATGTGTCCTGTGTCCCTTGTCTGAACTGTATAGCTAGACCCTGTGTTCCCACAAAGCTGTCAGACAGTCAGTGCAGTCTGGACACCAGGCAGCATAGCCTGGTTTTCAGAGAGGTCTGCTTCCCTGCAGAGTCCTTGTATTTCACCCAGGATGCTTTGGAGTCCCGCAGGACCGCAGCAGGTTTGGCAGTGTGGCTGTGACTGTCTGTGGGGCCAGAATGGGTGATGGGGCTGTCTATTCCTTTGGCATTGTGAGCTGAGCACCAGCTTTTCTGTATTCTCCAACTACACCAAATAATCTGTGTTTCCCTTTACTTGCTAGCAAAAGGTGGAGTTTGACCCAACGTCCTCGTATGCTGTGGAAGGTCTCAAACCAGACACGCTGTATAAGTTCCGTCTGGGTGCCCGCTCAGAGCTGGGGGTAGGAGTCTACACCCCCATGATCGAAGCCAGAACTGCCCAATCCAGTAAGTGTCTGACACTCTGCACTCCTGAAGACAAAGCAAAAGTCCAGTTTCCATCGCCCGGGCATGGAGAAGCTCGGTGCCTCTGCCCCTGTGGGCCTGCAGGGATGCTGGCGTGCAGTTTGCTAAAGGGTGTAACGGGGGAAGTCAGCTGGGGTTTTGGATCAGGGCTCTTTGGCAGAGGGGGTGCACCCAAGTGGTAAGTTCTTTCTTCGTGTCCCTTTGATCATGCTGTCTTTTCCTAAGGGTAGATTCATAAAAACTGATGGAGGAGTGAAACAGGCTGGGAAATTGCTTTGGAGAGATTGATTTGAGTGGGCTTGTGCATCTCTATGAATTCACTCCCATGCAGACAAGCTGTCTGGACAGGCAGCATATGGGTGTTTGGCTCTAAATGTGACTGTCTCCAAACCATTGGGGTTTCACCCCTTCACTCCCCATTCCAGCTGCCTCGCTTCCACAGGAGGCCATCCCTGGTCCATACACTTGATTGCAAGGTGAGGCCAGACGTGCCTGTGGCTGTCAGGCAGCTGGAGGAGACAGTTTGAGAAAGTGGCTGTTTCCCCGGGTTGTTTGAGCAAGTGAGGCTGCTGCTTCTGGGACTGCAGCTCTAGGGGAAACCAGAACAAGCTGCAGCCGAGTTAATAGAGAGGCTAGATAATGAGGTGACCCAGGCAATATCACTTTCATCCTCGCTCTGCCCTGTGTGATCACAGAGCAGGAGTTCGCATTGCTCTGATTGGCAGCTCAAAGTGCTGCGCATAAGCAGATTAGGGCTATCAAAGGGCCCTGCGATAAGCTCGTTTTCACTAACGATTTTTGGGCTTGCCATTATGCAAAGAGCATTAAAAGGGGGGAAAAAAGACATTTCCGTTAGCACCGTCTGTCTGGGATTTACTAGCTATGTGGGGTGAGCAGTTGGCAAAGGCAGCCAGCCTTCCCTGCAGGGAGGGCGCCAGCATGCACAGCAGCTGAGAGCCTGAGATGGCCATTAGAAAGGAAGCTCAGGCAGGGAAGAGAAGCTCTGCTCACTACTGGAACGACCTTCTCTTTGAGGAAAACTCAGCTTCATTAACATATCAGTCGCAGGGATTCCTCCACCTCGTTAAGTGAACTAATGGTGTCTTAGTGCGGCGCAATAGACAGGTATGAAAATGGAGAGAGGTTCAGATCATGCAGTTATAAATATTTGAACACTGAGAACAAATTCTGAGTGTGGGGATTTGTATATCCATTTCAGATAGCTTTTGTATTGATAGGCAAAGGTTGAAAAAACTCTCCTGCCACTTAAATTAATTCCATCAGTGGATGCTCTTATCCTTGAACACACTTAATCAGAGACAGCTCCATGCATAAATGAGTCCTTCAGAGTCTCACAACAGTCCAAGTAAGAGAAACCTTTGCTTCATGGACTCTCCAAGGCAGACATCTTCCCATGGCCTACTCCATATGCTGTGTGCTCACAGGGGATCTCATACGGGTCTGTTTTTAAGGTTGTTACTTCACTGGCCAGTGGAGCAGTAGCTGACTGGTTCTGACATTTGTTTAGTAAGAGAGATGTGCATGGGTTGGAAGAGATTTGGCCAAATGCCACAGGAATACCTTGCTTTGGCCAATGAAACCCTCCTTACACTGAGGGACCTAAGAGTTCTTTGATTTATCCAAGACTGCTGGGCTTTTCGTGTGGTATCTCTGCTCAGGAGTGGTAGGAATGCTTGTCCAGGAAGGCCAGAGGTATGCAGTGCCCTTTTGTAACTTTCCAGCAGCACAGCTCAGAAACCCATCTCCTGAGATGACAGCTGCCTTCTGGGCTGTCTTCCCTGCTAAGCTGCTGGCTTAGTTGCTGGGCACCCTGAAAAAAAGTACAAGCAATGCTGCTTTGAGGACCTGAGAAGCACGGGGGAGTTTTCCAGGAGTCTGCAGTGCCTCAGGCAAGCAGTATGATGCAGGAGAGGAGCGTCAGCTCTGTGCCTATCAGGCCTCAGCATTAAAATGCTGTTCTCACTTGAAATACGAAGGTGGGTCTTGAGGCTGCCTTTTCCCTAGCTTAAGGAGTGGGTGGGCTGGATGGGCACACAGGGCTGCTGTGGGCCGGCGGGGGAGGCTGGTGTGAGCAGCCTGGAGGCAGCAGAGGTTTGCACAGTGTGCGTGTGGGTATACATCTGTGTGTGTGGGTGCATGCTGGTCACCCAGTCTGCTCTTTGCTGGCCCCAGGAGGGACACTTCCACTCTTTGTGCATTTTAAGTTGATCCTGCTCATGTTACCAAATTTTATTTTGCTTTCTTTAAGTGTTAATCTGAGTTTTTGCCTTGCACGTCATGTGTGTGACTCTTACCCAGTCAACAGCCAAAGTTTGACCTGCCCGTGCTGCCAGCCAAAGCTGACTTTGGAGAAAGGAGCTCACTGCTGTATCCCAAAGGATGCCCAAAGCCAGAGCAAGTCTCTTCTCTGAAGGGCCTCTCTGCAGACAGTGGCAAAGGAAAGGCTTGCCAAGCTTCTTATGTCTCACCTGTCCCCTCTGAGGGATGCTACCAGGTGCTGTGTCTACCTTATGCCCTCCCTGAATTCACTCTTGATGTTACTTTGGTGCTATATCTTCCTACTCTCTTCCCTGCCACTTCTCTGCTGATTAACCAAGAGAGTGTGAGGATTCAATTTCTACCCCTGCTCCTTTCCGGTATGCCAGATGGCAGGGTCGATCCCACTCTGCCTCCCTCACGTAGGCAACTGTTTGCTTCCACGCATTGCTTTGACTTCTCTTTCCTCCAGTGTAGCTCCCATAGCAGCAGCCTGACTCTGCTCAGGCATCATCTCTTCCAGTTCCGTCACTGCCCACTCTCCCTCCATCTTTTCTCTCTCCAGGCATCCCAGCCCAGTCACGAGGGATGGGCCCTACTCCCTCAGAAGCAAGATACCTTGTACTCTACTATTGCTTGGCCAGACAACTTCCTAGCCTTAGAGCAACTGGGTGTGCTTTTTTGGTGATGGTGCCCTGCCCTATCTGTTTAGGACTCTTGCCTTCTTAGGGCTCTTGCAGCTGCTGCCATGAGAGGTGTCCCATACTGCTGGTGCCCTGTTGCAACAGGACAGCAGTTCTGCAAAGCTGGAGAAAGGAATGAACCAGGCAAATGTCCTGGAGATGCTCTGCTTTGTCCAGGTCATCTCTCCTTTCCCGATCCCTTTCCCCCTCCCCAGATTTGTTTCACTGCTCTTCCCCAGCAATGCTGTGTGGAGGAGACTGCTCCTCATCCTGATGAGAAGCGTCTGCTGCCCAGATCCCAGTTCTCCCCCTGGGGTGAATTAATGCTGCTGGAGCTTAGAAGTTAATGAAAACTGCAGGTAGTTTTGGTTTTTTTACCTGGGAGGGCATAAGACCTACCCACCTTCCCCTGTAGATCTCCACAGGCCAGGAAGCTACTGAGGCAGGTGTCCAGTTTGGCAGGCATGAAGCAGTCAGTCCCAGGTACTAGGCACACGTGCAGAGCAGCACAACCATGTTGTCTGCTCTTTCGACATGGTGACTGGCTCCCACCTGGGTCAGGGTGCTGCTCACAGCTGATAGTTGTGATTTCAAACCCCGCCTGGACACACTCCAGCCAACCCCAGTCACCTGCTTTCCCTACCCTCTTTTGTTTCCTCCACTTGTCTTGGAGCAGGTTTTTGCAAGCCTTCGTACAATCTGGTGTGTGAGCTTCCCCTTCTGCCACTCTTGCCTTCTGTAGCTTCCTACCTCTTCTGGTTTCCATCTGTTTCAGATCTTCACTGAAAGCATCTTTCTTCTCCCTACCAATCTCTCTCTCTCCCCCCTCCCTTCCCTTACTGCCATTTGTTGTGTTTGGTGAAGTGAGCGTCCAGAACTGCTTTGGGAAGAGGTGTTCTCTGATGCAGAACAGCACTCCTGTCTCCATGCTGTTCATCAGGCTTTCAAATACAAATTGCCCCTAGTGTCATCTTTGATGATCTGCGAGGAAGGCAGGCGGTTGTCCTGGAGGCTACTGGCTGAATTTCCATGTGTGTTTTCAGTGCTCAGTTGGCTGGGTAAAAGTTCCCTGTGCATTTTGGTTTGTCCTTCCACTCATTTCCCTTCATCTCCCCACTTCATTTATTTATCCCCAGCCCCCTCCGCCCCACCCCAAGAAGTCGAGTGTGTAAGCACCAGCTCCACTACCATCCGGGTAAGTTGGGTGCCACCGCCTGCCCAGAGCCGCAATGGGGTCATCACCCAGTACTCCATTGCGTACCAGGCAGTGGAAGGAGATGACAACACCAAGCATGTGGTGGATGGCATTGGACGGGAGCACTCCAGCTGGGAGATCAAGGACCTGGAGAAATGGACCGAGTACAAGGTGTGGGTAAGGGCTCACACCGATGTGGGGCCAGGACCGGAGAGCATCCCCGTGCATGTGCGCACTGATGAGGATGGTAGGTGTTACTGAACAGCTTCTTCATCTACCGCTTTGGGGTAACTGGGACTCTCCTAGATGAGTTGCTGGAAAAGGGAGTTGGGGATATTGGCCTGGGGGTACTTTTCAAGCAGGATTGGAGGCTGTCAGGACCAGCGCTGTCATCAGCTGCTCCCAAGAGTGCTGCCCTGGCGTGGGGTAGGGGAATTGTTCTGCTGGCCCTTGCTCTGATACGATGGTTGCCTCCAGGCTGTGGATCAGATGTCCTGGCGTGGTCCCACAAGGGTCCTGCGTGTGTCAGCAGTGCTTCCTGCATGTATGAGGAGGCATTAGGCTGATTTGCCATTTTGGCTTTCTAGTGTTTGGTGGTTTCCATTTTACTGAAGGTAACGTGAGTTCTCCCAGCCAGAGGCTTCTCTCACGTTGTGAGATCAGGACTTAAAGTTTACTTATTGACCTGAAACCCAGCAAACTAAAGAGGGGAAAAGAAATCCATTTGAAACTTGTAGATATCGCAGGAAAGCTGCTTCCTGCCCCAGCTTCCAGGCAAGCCACAGCTTATATAAATCTGCTCTTCTGCTCAAGAGTCAGAATATCGCGTGTACAGAACACTTTACTGGATACGACAGCTTTAAAGAGAAATTGCTTTGTATTAGCAGGGCTGTCAGTTATGTCATCATGACTTAAGCCTTTTCCTTTGAAAGTGCCAGAGCTCAGGGTGACAGTAGGAGCTTTCCATGGCTTCATGCTGACCCCAGAAGCTGCAGATATAATGGGAGAAGAAAGAGATGCAGCGTCCAGGCAAAGAAAGGATGATCTCTGCATTGCCCAGTCAGCGTAGCAAATTGAAACCAGACATGTTACAGTTTCCCTAAATGGGCTGCCACTGTCCCCCACGTCTCCGTGGCTCTGGAAGTGGCGTCTGGGAATGCTCACTGACTACATTCCTGGGCTGGCAAACACATCTGTGTTTGTCCTGCTGCCTGTATTGTTTGCTTCAGTTCTCATTCAGCGAAGTTGTTTGTAGCCCAGGGGAGGCTGCTACCCCAGAAATGTCGGAACAAGCTCTCTCAGTTAGTTTTTGGGCACCATGGTTGGACATTCCAGCTTAGCTGTCAGGAGTGATTTCATATCCCTCTGACATGCTGATGCTCAATAGGTACTCAGGATGAAGGAATGAGAAATGCTAAACTGTGATCTGATAACAAATTGAACTTTCCCTGTTTGGGTCTCAGATGCAGCACGCACTTCCCATAATGAGGTAGGATAGCGTTCCTCGAAACACTGTGATCTGCTCACATGCACATCTTTTCTTGTCCCTGCAACGTCCCTATATCACATTCTGCCAAGGCCTCCCGCCTTCTCTTGCCAGCAGAGCTTGACACACAGCTTCTGTCTGGTTCTCAGGGAGTATCTTGTTTTTCGCTTGGACTCCCAACTGTGTGTGTGGGCAGGTGTCTTGCTAGGGCAGGAGAGCCCTGTGGCTTGTGCAAGGTCACTGCACTAAGTGAATTGTGGATTATGGCATAGGCTGCTCCAGCCAGAAGGTGGTAACTATTCAAGCACAGCCCCCTCCGTTCCCATACCTTGAGCTGGTCTCATGGTGCTAAAACGCTCCTTTCCTCCTTTCTCTATTTTATTTAATTATCTACAATTAAGAAGGACATCTGGGGAAAATAATGAATTGCCCTGCGGCTTAAAAACTGTGCTTACCTGCTGGGTAGCTGTTTCTTCCCATTTAGTTGGTTGAAGGAGCAATACTCATTATGTCTGCTTGTCAGCTATCCATCCCTAATTATCTAATACTGATTATTTCTTGCTGTGTTGAGAATTGGGGCGTACAGGGTTCCAAACCCCTGGATTTTCCCCGGCAGCGGAGGGTAGAAGGGGTCCTTCAGTAGAGGTGCTAGGATGGAGCCCAGGCCCTTCACTTGGACACCAGACACTCATGTAGCAGCAGCATCCTCCATGGGGAATGCACACCTCTGCTCCCAGCTGCTTCAGATGGAAGGAGCTTTCCAGGAGCAACTGAGAGGCTAATTTTTTAGCATTGACATTTTTGTCACAGTCAATGCAAGAGCAAAAAGTAATAAGGAGGTAATTTTTCCAAATGGTAAATAGGGTATAAATACATTTTTAAACTGGCCTCACCTTACAAGAAAATTGATATTTTCTGGGCAGTGTAATTTTTCATTTTATTATCAAAAAGCATTCAGCTAGCCATGCATGAAATACAGTCCCCAGAGCTGTCACAATCCCCACGGGCCCCTTTATCTGGCTGAGTTCAGTGACTGCTGTCTCTGAGCTCTGGGTTATTGTTTTAGGATGGTGCTTTTCCCCCTCATTAACCTCTTGCTGTCACAGGGGAAGAGCACGTGTGCTCTCTGGCTGGTGGCAGGTACCAGGGCTCCCCGCAAGGCAGCCTCGGCACCCAGTTGTGCCACCTGGGGCTGTTGGACTGCATTTGGATGTGTGCAGAGGGATCTGAGAGGAGGTGTTCTGACAGGCAGGATGCAAAGAAGGCTTCAAAACACCTGGCGCTGCCTCAGGGCACCCTGAGCTGCAGGTGGTTACCATATTCTTCATATTCTGCTATGTTCTTGTGTTCTTCCTTGCTCCTCTACTGCTGGAGACAAGAGTGGGATGGATGGACCTTGGGTCTGATCCAGCACAGTGGCTTTTATTAGGGGTGCTCCTGCATATCACAGTCATGCTATTTCCTAATGAGAGTAGCAAAAATGCTTGGATGCTGGGAAAGGGTCAGGGATACACTCACACTGGAAAACAGCAGTGTGACCTGCTGGGCAGACATAAGGAACTTTGTGCCAGCAGGGCTGTCCTTGCGACGAGGTGGAGGGAAGGTAGCAAAGGAGTGAGAGGTAGCTGACAGTGGTTGTGTGGTAACCTGCTAACTGTCCATCCTGTGTGTGTTACAGTGCCCAGTGCCCCACCGCGGAAGGTGGAGGTAGAGTCTGTGAATTCGACTGCCATCCGGGTGAGCTGGAAGCTGCCCATCTCCAACAAGCAGCATGGGCAGATTCGTGGCTACCAGGTTACGTACGTGAAGCTGGAAAACAACGAGCCCCGAGGGCAGCCAGTGATCAAGGACGTCATGCTGTCGGAAGCACAGGTACAGTGTGGGGACCACGGGCTGGCGGGCATGGCACCTTCCCTCTCCACAGAGGGCCAGGCTGGCTGGATCCAAGTATTTCTTGGACCACTCTTGAGGCTTCAGAGTGTGGGACTCAGCCCTGCCTGAACAAGGCAAACAGTTTGTCCCAAAACTGTGGCTCACAAGTGGGTAAAAGGTTTAATCGGGAAAGGATTGATGTAGGAAAGATGATACATTGGATGATGCTCCTCTCTTACCCCTTCTCTGACGTGTACCTCCCTCTGCCTGCCATCTCTTGTGCAGACTCCAGCTGGAGCAAATTATGTTTTGCCAGTCAGGTTATAAACTGTCAGAGCATTTTAAATAAACCTTAAATCTGCTTCTTCCATGCTGTTGACTGTTCAGGGCAAAGCTTCTCTCTTCAGCAGAGTCCTTTAGGGTGTTCCCTGCTTGTAGGGAAGGGGGGTGGCTTTGAGGTCCTGTTCCCACACAGCGCTCCAGACATGGTTATGCACTCTGCTCAGCCCAGCAATGTGCAGTTGCCTCTGTCACAGGGCCCAGGGAAGTTTTTGATGCCCTGTCTGTGATGAAATACAACTCTTCTTTGGAGCAAGGGTCCTTCGTCCTGGATGACCCATGCTGTTCTCAACAAAGATAATCGTATAAATGAAGTACAGGATCTGCTGCTGTTGGAAGCGACGAGTAATCGATTCAGAGCTGGCTTGCTTGAATGATGCCCAATATAAATACTGGAGAGCTGCAACGATTAATTGATCTGTCTCCTGAACGCAGCTGTGAATCATTTATACGTTTGTCAGTGGGGAGTGCAGTGCACAGAGGCGGCTTTACTCCCCATTCATAGTCTGAAGGATAAAACTCAGTAATAATGGGGAAGGGGAAAACTTTAAAGAGAGAAGATGCTTTGAGGATCCTTGCAGTGTTGTCTGGGGCACGTCTCTGTTCATGTTTCAGATGTTGCTTTATTTTAATTGTTAAAAAAGCTGCTTACTGCCCTTTACTTATTCCAGGAGGATATAATCTTCTGTGTTGTTTGAACAATTGATGCTGTGTTGTTCAGCTAGAGTTTGGAGTTAATGGGTTGGTCTCAAGCGTAGGTGGGCGAAGCTGGCAATGTTGTTCTTGTTGGTGTTTTCAAATATTTTATGCTTGCCCAGCCAGTTCTGCTTTCATTCCTTACTCATACATTTCAGAGAGAGAAACCCCATGCTAATGTGCAGGAATGAGGATGCCAGAGCCAGAAACTTTCCAAGGAGTGCTGGATTTTGCATTATTTTGAATGTGTGCATCAAGGAGGCAAGTTGCTTGAAGTTTCCTGGCCTGTCAGACCACTTACCAGTTTTTCGTATTTGGTGTATTTACGTGGGAAAGTTCTTGATTGCTGTGATACTTTTTTCCTGGTGTGCATTGTGCTGAATTCATCCGCTGAAATTTTTGGATGGAATTGAAGGCCAAAACAGTTGCAGAGAAGTGACTACTCTGAAGGAGTCATGTCACTGTTGGCATAAACTAATGATGACCCTGCAGGGAAGAGGTTTCACTGACTTGGCAGAAGAGATCTTTATTTCCTGAAAGAGTGAGAAGCCAGGCATGACCTGTACTTGTGATGAAATACATCTGCTCCAGAAGCTGAAGAACCCTGTAAGAGCTGCCATCTTTCAGTACAGCAGTGCGTGCCTTTGCAAACAGCCAGATCAAACTTTAACGAGTAGTCTTGGAAGAGTTGTTTTCTATGGAAGAAAGCAAAAAGATTCATTGGAACACCTGTCCCTGAAGGTCAGAAGATGAAGATGGCCAGAATATAGCCACAGCTCAGTACTCATAAACATTTATACCGGTGCACAAGGAGAGAATTAAACTGGTTGAAAATCTGAGATCAGAGAAGAAATTCTCTAGATAAGTAGACAGAGCCCATCCTCCTGCCCAGCCAGGCTGTCTGCTGATTTTGAGTAGGTATGTACCACATAATCTGCTTCCTGCAGATGGTATGAAGACACTGGTATTAAAGCTGACTCATGATTTTTCCTGATTGAAGATGAGAAATACAGAGAGAGTAAACGAAGATGAAAGGAAAAAGGAAAGGGAATGGAGATGTTAGCTATGCAGATAGTATAGATTCTGAGTTTTCAAAACCATTTGAGTGGAAAGGACTGAAACATCAGCAGAGAAGCGGGGGCCCTGGTGCTGGAGAGATCACATTTTATTTTACAGTCTCTTGCCTAGGGAGAGTAATCAGTTGTTAGGAAGGTCCTGCGATGGAGCTGAGGCCTCTCCCTCCCATCTGTGGCTGTGCTTGTGACTGATTACCTCCATCAGACTTCTCTGTGCCTTCCAGTCTGATGGATCTCTCACCTCCTACTGACAGACTGATGGACAATGACCATGCCCTGTGGAGAAGCGCCCAGGGAGAGCTTGTGTATTGCTGCAGAGCTGGGTCAGATCCCTGCACCACCTCCGACATAGGCTCTGCCCATTGTGGTTCACTGAGTCCCGTGGTGGGTGATGGCAAAAGGTTTGTTTCTGTGCCCTGGGTCTTGTGCACAATGCATCCAAGCACCAAGAGAGCACCTTTGAAAGGAACAGGGACACCAGTTCAGTGTCTTGGCTGCATTCTGCCACTCTCATATGAGTCCTCAACGGCTTGAGGGAGTTGGGGATAGCAGAGCCGTGGGGCACAAACATGAGGTTCTTTAGGGGAGGTCAGGTCCCCACCCGCTTTCCTTGGTCTCCAGTCCTTGGGCAGCTGCAGCATGCCAGGAGGACCAGTGGGTTCAATCCACTCCACCCCTTCCCAGGTACCAGTCCTGCGGGTCCTGCAGAGCTCAGTGCTGAGCAGTGCCAGGTGGCAGTGCCCAGTCTGGAGCACTGGCCACAGTGAAGGCAGCAGGTACAGAGGAGCACAGACCTTCCTGTTTGGATTCCTGTGCAAGCATGGCTCTTGTTTGCTCTTCCCAAGACAGGCAGCTAGACCCTTCATGAATCTGGCTGTTGATCCATTGTGTCCTGCTCCCAGCCGGTTTGTCCTCAGCCCAGAATGGAACACCTTCAGGAGAGTCTTTCTTCCTGTGCTGTAGTGTGGCTTTGACAAATGCTCCTGCCCTCAACTGTGCAGCATATTTTCTGGGGAGCCTGCTGCCTGCATCACTCTGGGGATGCAGCATGCACATTAGCCTGGCTGCTCACAGCCCTCCGCAGATCCAGCCTGCCCAGAGAGCTTTGCAGGGCTTCTGCTGCTGGGAGTTGGCTGGGTACATGGAGGTCAGGCTTTGTGGAGGAGGGACTCCTGCCACCTCCTCCTCTTCCTGCTCTGCAGACAGAGTCATGGCAGGGGAGAGGTGTGATTCTCACAAGAAGGGCTGCAGGCTCACAGGAAGATTGTGTGGTCTTTGCATGCAGCACTTCTCCATCCAGCGTGCAGACCAAGTGCACGTCCCACCAGCTTGCTCCAGAGGAGCAGGAAGAAGTAATGGCAAGCACTTCAAGCTCTTGGATTGAGATCAAAGGACAAAGGAGAAGCAGACACTCTATCCTCCCTGGGCAATGCCTACCCCAGGCATAACACAGAGGAATTTAGAGCCTCCCTCTTTCACTGGGTGATAGTCAAGGTTCTTTATCTGAATCTACTTGGAACAACTCTTCAGGCATGTGTACTCATCTAGGTAAGAGTCTGGTATGGAGGTGAGATGTACTCTGCTTCATAAGTGGAACAAAACTCAGAAGAATAATTCAAGAGGTATTTCAGTAAAGGACAAAGGTGAAGTTCCAGAGTCCTCGGACCCCTCTGCATCCCACAAGCCGAGTACCCAAGTTTACATTTGGACTTCCACTGTTTGCCACAGTCACTGAAGGACAGAGGAGAAGGACCTGCAGGAAAAAACCACAATATCCGCTTCCCATAGCTTGAGTCTGCCTTTAGCAAGAGCCATGGTCAGGGTAAACAGCCGTTCCCTGGTGAGACATGACTACGCTGTGCGGTGTTGAAGTGTAAAATAAAACGTTAAGGCATTGCAGCTGCCATAAATACACACTGTTAGCTTTAGCACTTCCCTGAGCCATGCTGCCTCGTGCACACAGCACTGTCTTGAGTTCTTTTTATGACAGCTCCTGGGCTTTTCAGATCAATTTGTCTTACTGACCAACCTTAAACAGTTAAGAAGCAATTGAGCTAGTTTAAGGAAGAAAATGTTTTGATCTGCAGATTATATTTTATAATGAAACTGAATTTATAGCAGGGTATTTATGCAGGCCTGGCTTTTCCCTGTTCTTCCTCCAGCACAGATCTCAAGGCGTTTCTTTGCACTCTGATCTGATGCAAAATTAAAGTCCACTGAAACATAAGAGCAAACAGAGTTTGAACATTAAACGGTTGGTCTAAAATCCAGTGGGTGATAAACTCCCTGCTGTGGTATGAGAGGCTGTGAGATGCATTAGCCTCCTCATCTGGGGTCTGCTTCACTGTTGGTTCCAGTGGGGTGCCACCTTCTGCTCTTGCAGCTACACGGAGGCAGGTTGGGGTGTTACTATCTACATGGCCTCCATCCAGCAGGGACATGGTCTTGAAGCACAAGTGTACTTCTGGGATAAAGAGCTACTATGCCTCGTATCCTTCCTGGAGCAAGACTTTTGCCAGGTTTTACATCAGCAGGGCATAGTGTGTGGCTGTTGAACATGGTGTGGGCTGGCTGGCACAGGTAGAACATCTACAGCAGTGGGTTGGGGATTGGGTTGAGCTGGGCATACAACACTGGAAATAACACCAAGATGTCTTTGGAAAGAGGGCCTTTAGTGACCATGATACTCGGTGAGAGCCTTCACTTTATAGGAAGTCTTTAGGGACAACTTGACCTCTTCACTGAAATTAAATTTTAAGATGGTTTAGGGGGATAATTCTGCTGCAGTCTCATGGCATCAAATAAGTGAACTATAATAAATTCTTAGAGGAACATTTCTCTAATAAATTCTTCCTGAATTTAGAGAACAAAATAACAAATATTTTGAAGGTATGCCATGCATTCTACTGCTGAGGAGAGCACTCTGACACTGTGGCAGGCTGCAGTCTGTGAAAGCCACTAGAAACAGCTTGAGTACAAAAGGCAACTTGTAGCTTAAATACCATTTAGTATTTCTACCACACTTGCAGGTTCCCAAGCACTTCAGCAGTGTTAGCTGGGCTTCCTGGTGTCCTAAGGAAGTCAGTATCTGAGCGCCATTTCACAGCTGGCAGCTCAGGCTCAGAAGCAAGGCTTGCCAAGGCTCACACTGTGAGTCAGGGGCAATAATGCCTATCTTCCACTTTCATCTCTGCGCTTGAACCCATCGACCGGTGCTTCCTCCAGGCAGATTTAGTAACCTGAGATGTAACGCATCACCTTGGCTGAGAGAGCTTGCTGTGATCTCTGCAAACCTTCCTTTGGTGCATCAACCACAAAGAATAGTGCTACGGGCATGCGTTGCAGCAGCCAAGGTCTGCTAAGTCTCACCACCCCAGTGTAGCTTTGATGCCTTAGAACCCCAAATCCAACCAGAAACCTGTGTGTTCCCTCTCCAGAGCCCTGATTGAGCTCACATGGCTGGGAATTCACGTGAGCTTTTGCTGGGAAAGGGTTTGTATCGAAGTCTTACCTGCAGGGCTGCTCTTGCCAGATGAGTGTTTGGTGTTGCGTAATTGGGAGTCAGAAGCTGTTTCCTCAGCACATGCACCAGTTTGAATCTCTCTCCAAGCCGCGCAGCACCGTTGGAGAGGAGCAGCTTAGTGTGGAGCTCTGTGTAAAATCTCATCCTCTCTTGCACTGCTACAAGAGAGGGCACTTCTTGGTTTTCTGAGATCCCCAGAGCATTTTCCTGCAAATGACACAGGAAAGAGAAGCTCTGTAAATGTTGCATTGGTGTTTCCCTGCGGAGAGTGCCCTCTGAGTCTTGTGTGTTGACGTCTTTGTTTCTCAAGAAGAGATGGTGGCTGGGGGTTCACTAGGACAGAAACTGTAGATTAAGCCACAAAACTGTTGTGAGCGACTTAGGCAGCAGTCAGGCCCGGAGCCTCGTTGATACAAGCTGTCCCTTATTGCTTCTGCTCATGGAAGAGGCAGAAAAGTGCAAACAAAGCCAGAAGGGGAAAGAACTGCAAAGTTAGGAAGTGGTGACCTCCCCATCCATGTGAGAAGGAAGCTCTTTGCCCCTTTGTGTGAATGATCTGAGACCTACTGTGCAGTCTAGCGGCATGTAGAAAATTGCTCTATGCCATTTCTTCCCTTGGCACAGCCTGTACCAAGTGACCCTCTGTGTATAAGTGTTGTAATCCCCCCAACCCAGTCCTGCTAACCCCTGGCTGTTGTCGTTGTCATCCCTTTCCTACACGTTGCCCCTTAAAATTCTGTGTCTCCATTTTCTCTCCTCCTTCCTTTCTCCCCCGTCAGTGGAGAGCTGAGGACTCCGTCGATCATGTAAGTACCACTTGTGTGTATTCCAGGTTGGAAAAGAGGGGTTTGGTAAATCGATTTGTGAATTTTGTAGACACAGTGCTGTCAAAACATCCCTTTCACTCCCTTAATGAGGCTGGAGAGTTACATTGTGAAACCTTCCACAAGCAGCAAATGCAGAGAAAATTGGCATTTAGATTGCTACTAAATGCAGAAAAGCAATTGACATTTCCTATAATCTGTATTTCCAGCTTGTTGCAGTGCAGTTCTAGGCAGGCTCAAGTGATCGACTCAGGAGGTGCATCCTACTTCCTGCAGTAGTTGGCCCACCGAGTTACATGGTAAAATTAGATATCTAATCTTTAAAGCACATTGATCATAGTCATGAAAAATAACCTACACTCTCAACCGTGACCTTTGGCTGAAACACAGATAGTAACAAGAAAACAATCACATTTAAACAGTTAAATCCAATTTTTCCCACATAATTTTGAAATATAAATTTGGAGGAACAAACTAGAAAATGACCTTTTTAGAGTCAGCAATTCAATTACGTGCCCTACTGTGAGCTTCCCCAGCACGGTGCATTTCTCCTCCTGCTTTATACAGAGGATTCTCCCTCGGAGTGGCTTTGTCATGACAGCACTGTGTTTACATTATGCAATCAGACCTTCTTTCATCCATCCCTCGTCTCTCTTCCCTCCTCCCAGCTCGCTTGCTTTGCTCTCGGTGGCATGCTTTTGCGTGAGAATTTCTCTTTGCATGGTTTTGGGAGGAGTGAATTCTCTTGGGATGTTCAGAGTCTGCAGGTTTTGTGTGAGTGCTTCCCCCGCGGGTCCATTGGCACCGATCGGACTGCGCGTCCACTCACCCGCACACACGATCTGCTGCAGGGGCGGAGTTGGGATCGGACTCTGGTTCACACGGTGATTTTGGCGGGGTTCTTGTTGGTGCTTGTTGATTTTTCTCTGGGCTGGCTGGTTCCGCAATGGTAACACGGTGATTTTGATGAGTAAGCCTGGGCAGGTAACCTGAACCAGCAGCACTGACTGGAAATCAGACGGTTTTAATAGTGTGGGTGTTAGTGCGAATGAGTGATGGGAGACTGGCTGCACTCTGAGAGCAACCACAGGCGCCCCTCGTACCCCCAAAGCTGGCAGGGATCCCCCAGGCAGATATTGGACCCCTGGAGCAGCCTCTAAAAGTGCTCGTGCTGCCTGTCCTCAGTGACTTGAGCTTAAACCCTCTCCATCTCTGCTCTTCTTGTCGGAAAGGGTAAATAACCAACTTGGAGCCTCTGCCTCCTTCCCAAAAGCTTCCCCAGCTCCCTATCCAACCCAGTTGTCCCTTGCTCCCTGACCTGGTTAGTGCTAATGGCCCTAGTCCTTTTCACAGCACCCGCAGATGAAAACAGTTCAGGGATACCTGCCCTGAGCTCACAGAGAGCTGCTGGGAGCTGCTGAGCTCGCTGTGCTTGCTCATCTGCAGGCCTGGCCAGCCAGGCTTGGCACGAGTCATGTTGCCGCTGGAGGCCAGGAGGGAGGAGTGATGCTCCCCTCTTTGATCTCAAATTGGAGTGCGGAGCCATGCCCTTCTCCTGCCCAGAAGAAGCCAGAGCTTGCAAAGGTGCTAGCACCCTGCCGAGTCCGCCCTCCTCCCAGACCTCCCACAGCGCAGGGTTTTCCCTCCAGGTCTGCCAACGCCTTGCACTGACCCCATCCCACGCCTGCAACGCCGTGCCAGGGATGCTATAGCACTGCAGGTGCTCCTTGCCCCGGGCCCCCTGCCTGGTGTGGCCATGCCACTGCCTGCATTGCCTCTCTCTGCTCCCTGCGGCTCTGCTGCAAGAGACAACTTTAAAAATCCCCAAATTAGCCCTCAAGAGGTTTCAGCAGCCGGCTGAGCTGGCTTTTGCTCTGGTTCACAGCTCCATAGTCCTCTTACTCTCAGGCTTGCTGTGGCAGAGTGGCTCTAGCTTCACACAAGACCATCTCTGGAGCAGATCTCCCTCTGGGCAGAGGCCATGGGAGCATGCAGCCACTGACTCAGGTTGTTGGTGGGTCCTTAGGACAGCCAAGTGTCAGGGGCAGGGGTTGAAACAGGGCAGGTGAGCGTTGGAGTGGCAGTGATCGTTGTTTGCTGGCTCTGTGTGAGATGCGTGTGCTTGGGTGCAGTCTGTGACTGTGAGACAGCGAGTGTGTTGGTGTGTTGCTGTGGGAGACGCTGACCTCAATGCCCTCCTTTTGCTCACTCCACTAACAATTATTTGCTCTTCTCGTTTGCCTCTTCTCCACCTCATGGATGCGCTCCCAGGAGACAGTCATTGGAGGCCTTCTGCCGGAAACCACCTACTCGGTCACGGTCGCTGCCTACACCACCAAAGGAGATGGTGCCCGCAGCAAGCCAAAGGTCATCACCACCACAGGGGCAGGTGAGTGTGGGCAGCAGATACTACAGCCTTGTAGGGGTGGTGGTAAAACCTCCCAAGAGGTGCACGGGGAGTATGGCTGAGGCACCTGTGCAAGAGGAAGCGAGGGCTGGAGACACTGCAGAGGTACACACTCTTGTGATCTCCAGCCCTTCCTTACAGGCTTTGCCACTGGATCACCTGAGCCAAGTGCAGCAAGCAGATGGACAGACACTGCCGAGGCCTGTGAGAGAGCAATGAAACTCATGGGTCTGAGCTCATCTGCATAGTCCAGAGACCTGGGAAGAGGAAGCCTGAAAGTCCAGGCCCTCCCTCAGCTTTGGAATCGTGGCCTGTCCTCACGTTGTTCCCATAGGCGAGTGCCATTTCTTGATTCCTGCAGTGACTGCAGTGCCACCTGGGATGGCCCCTGGCACAGAGGGCTCCTCAGAGGTGCTTCTCAGCTTCCCCCTGGCCGTTGCTACTGCTGCCTCCCCAGGCTTACATAGCTGAGCCCGGCTGCTCCTAGAGCCATGGTAAAATCTGGAATCCAACAAATCCTGCCATAAGAGTGCTGCGGATGCAACTTCTAGGTCCTGGTGATCCCAGCCAGTTTGGTTCTTCTGTCTCAGTAGGCTTGTACCCAGTGCCTAGTGCAACACAGGAGCCTCAGCCTGGAGCAGGGGCACCCAGGAGTTCATCAGGTGCTTTCCTCTGGATGCAGTCAAGCTTGACTTTGGTGGTTGACATTGTCTTGTCCTCGATTTCCACTCACTAGACCTGTCCTACAACTGATAAATCCTGCTGCTTCCTCACACCAGCCGCAGGAACAGTATTTACCACTTGTTATTATGGGAATGCAGCTTGTGCAAACAGAGCGTTTGTTCCTGGTGCTTTTAAACAAGGAACAGCTTGCCATCTCTTCCGTGCTGCATATGGGGAGCTCCAGAGGTAGTTTCCACTGTCACAGTCTCAAATGCTGTCTCCCTTGTGCCTCGCCATGATGTATGCTCTGTTCATCAAATTGCTACAGCTGTCCTATAAACAGGAAAAGCTCCCTAAACATCCCAGTGTTGCACTGTAAGCCACAGTGGGTCTTCCCATGTTATGATGCACATTTAAAGTTAATATTTGGAATCAGCTTTGAAAATAATGCGTCTCTTAATACTAGCTGCTGTTAGACATTGTATTATGAGTGCAAGGAGGATGGTGCTGGCAGTGGATATGCAATTGTATGTCTTAAATACCTCCAAAACCACCCCCAGAGCTGCCTTTGTTAGAGGCTCGTCTGCAGGCTTGACCTCAAAGGGGAGTGTTGGTATCGCCCTCTGATGGCAAAATCGGGGCATAATTCTGTCAAATACGTTTTTCTCTTGTGCTCATCTGTAGGCTCATACATTCCAAAACTGTGCAAGGATATTTAACTAGGTTTGGCTACAATCCCATTTTCGTTTTCACTTCAGTGGCCCCATCCCTTTGATTCTGAGTATCTTCCCTATCAGTTGATTTGTTTACAAATCTGAGCTGATGTGAAGTGAAGACACATCCTCTTTTTTAACTGAAGGAGATCAAGGTATTAAACCACCAATTTAAAGCCATCAGTTCCTAACCAGTGACGGCAACACCCCTTGACTTGTGCAGCATAAGCAAAAATCCTGTGGAACGCTTGTGTTCACCTCTCACATCGACACTGACATCACGAATCTGCTCATCAGCTAAACCAAAATGTATTCTGATGGCAAACAGCCCACCCAGCTCTGCTCGCTGCCTCTGCAGATGGTAAAACTGCAAGGTTTCAGGATGAAATTTGTCTGCCTCCAGACAGATCAGGGCGCTGGACTTGGGCTTCTGTGTGTCTGTTGTGGTACGGTGCACTGGGACCAGCGTGGCCTGGTGGTGCACACTAGCTGGAGTGTCTGAAGACAACTGATTGGGAGGACGGGATTCAGATCTTCTCTGAGATAAATATGATGCTTTGAGGTACCTTAAACCTTTCCTGTAAAAGGGGATGAATTTTGGGGCTGGATGTGGCTGAATTTATTCCTTGTTTAGATGGCAGCACATGGGAAAATGGCAGTCAAGAGCTGGCTGGCTCCAGCTTCCCTCACCACTGGATTAGGGTCAATCTGCCTCTATCCATGTGAATTGTCTGTCGTCCTCTTCACCCTGTTGTCTGAACTTTCCCACTTTCCTCAATCCTCACGGACTGAGCAGCAGAGAAGCGGTCCTTCCTTCCCCTCCTCCCAGGCTATAGATGGTCATTGTGTGTTTATGTTGCAGTCCCGGGGAAGCCCACCATGATGATTAGCACGACAGCCATGAACACAGCCCTCATCCAGTGGCACCCACCCAAGGAGATGGTAGGGGAGCTGCTGGGTTACCGGCTGCAGTACAGACGTCTTGATGAGGAAAAGATGAACACGATAGACTTCGGGAAGAGAGACCATCACTACACTGTGACCAATCTGCACAAGGGGGCCACGTACCTCTTCAAATTGTCTGCCAAGAACAGAGCTGGCCCAGGAGAGGAGTTTGAGAAGGAGATCACTACTGCAGAAGATGTGCCAAGTGGCTTCCCACAGAACCTGCGTGTGGTGGGTCTCACCACTTCCACCACAGAAGTTGCATGGGACCCCCCGGTCTTGGCAGAAAGAAACGGCAAGATCGTCAACTACACGGTGGTATACAGGGACATAAATAGCCAGCAGGACCTGGTTAACATCACCAAGGACACAAGTATCACTTTGACGAATTTGAAGCCCGATACTACTTACGACATCAAAGTGAGGGCCCGCACCAATAAAGGGGCTGGGCCACTCAGCCCCAGCATCCAGTCCCGGACCATGCCTGTTGAGCAAGGTAAGTGCCCCTCTAACAAGCCCTAACAGCAAGCTCTGCCTCCAGGACAGGGACCTTTGCTTCAGTTCATGAGGCTACGCTTCCCTTTGCTCTGACTAATGAGATCAGGTACCGTATGGCTCCCGAGTCTAAAACTAGCTCGGTGAGGCGAGGCTCAATGAAGGTTTCCTTAAAGTTGCCATTTGAGGGGGGAAAGGGGTGTTGATGGTAGCTTAATTGCCTTTGTCACTCCACAGTCTCCCTTTGCTGTTTTGTGTGTACATGAAAGGCTCTTGCTTGAACTGGAGCAGGCGGCTGGGTAGGATCATCTGCAGATCCAGTACCTGAGCACCACTGCTCTTTGATCATGGCAAAGGGCCAAGAGAGTGTGTGTGGAGGCGGGTGGAGAGGAAGGCTACAGTTCAGCCTGCAACTTCCTATCTATGGTGCTGGAAAAGTATAGTCAAAAAGTGAAACTCCACTGGAGACTGGAGACTTGGTAAAAGGCTGCTGCTCTTTTCTCCTCATCTCTCTCTTCTCTGTTGTAGCTGAACTCTTTGACCTCTGCTGCTGAGTTAGACAAAGAGAGACTTGGAGCCGAGCTGCTGCCTGGCTCCCTCCTGACTTGGCCTTACAGTGCTCAAATATCTTGTTTTTCATTTCAGTGTTTGCTAAGAACTTCCGCGTCAATGCCGTCATGAAAACGTCTGTGTTGCTGAGCTGGGAAGTGCCTGAGTCCTATAAATCTGCAGTGCCTTTTAAGGTAAGGGCAGGATGCAGAGGACAGGGAGCTCTGCCTGTGGCAGTGAGCAGGACAATGGAAAGCAGCATCTTGACCTTCCACATGAAGTTTTCAGGCTGTCAGACAAGAGACAAGCAGAGTAGGGTCACGTTTTTCACTGGCTTGGGATCTTGTGGAACTTAGATCTCCAAGGCTAGGCTAGGTAGCTGCTCTTGCTTTTGAGCACCCATGTGTGAGCCACACGCTAGAGCACTGCTGCTTACTTTTCTTAGGCCAGAATGTGTTGTAGTTTTGTTGATTTCTTTCTGTTTTGATCAGTTGTGGAATAGTCAGTAAGCACTTGGCTCACAGTGACAAGAGTCAATAATGTTGGCTGAAGCACCCCAACAGGAAACACCAAGCAGTGAAGACATGCGCTGGGCAGAGGCATTCAGAGAACGGGGATGTCTCAGGGATCATAATACGTATTTCTGGCTTCTCACCATCCAGCTAGAAACCAGCTTAGGAACTTTCTCTAAGTGTACCCACTCCTCCCTTGATATAGTGCCCCTGAATTACTTGCCTTTTTGAAGGGAAATGAAAACTGGTCCCTCACCCCAAATCACTGATGCTTTTCCCATGAGTGGTTGCGGTTGTGGTTCACGCAGTCCCAATCAGTGCTTTCCTCCTCCATCAGCTTTCTCAAGCATCTTGTTACCTGGTATCACTTGGCTGGGGCCTACCAGTAGGGCTGACCTTTGCAGCTCTCTGACAGTGTTTACTCAAGCTTGTCCTGATCCCTGACTTGGAGTTGAAGCACGAAAAGTTATAAATACAATTTAATAGCCAGAGATCACCAGGATGAAGTGGTCTGAAAACCAGCATGTGAATCAAACTAAGAATGACTCTTTCTGCAACATGTCCTGTCTCTAACGTCGGGATTGCCTTTATGAGTTACTTCAGAGCAGATGCATAATCTCAGGGAGTGAAGGAGGGAAGCATCATCACCCTTCCAGAAGGTGTTACAGGTGTGAGCAGCACGTGTGCCAGTGCAGAGGGAACTCTGGAGGAATGGCTGCTGTTCTCTTTTCTCCAACACAGTTCTGGACGTAGTGTCAGGCTGCAGACAACACTGATGACCCAATATCTTCCTGCTCTTGTCTGTCCCCCAGTGCAGATCACTGATGTGGATAAAAGACTAGCATGTGGTGGAAATTTCTGCAGATCTCAGTGCAGCTTCTCTCCCTTAAGAAACAAGACCAATGTGTCACATTGGCAAGGATAATCTTCCACCCAGTCTCAGAGGCTGTCTGCTGCCCCTGCAAAGGTGGCCAGGGGTGGGAGCAGCGTGATTTGCCTTCCTCCTTGCACATGCACCTTTGCCTGAAGAGCAAATGCGAGGCTTGCATGAGCTGGAGGGGATCCATGGCCAGGGGAGTGAGGGGAAGGCCTTGAACTGCATCCACATCAAAGTGTGTGAGCACCTCCCCTTCCTTGTTACTAACTCTCCTGGTTTAAATCCTGCAGCTGAATTAGCATGATCAATAGCAGGCACTTGTTAACATGCAGAGTTTAGCTGAAGCAGACAAGGCTTCTGTGAAGACCTTGTGGTATTCAAAGCTTTCCCAGATGTAGGGTGCATTAGGATCAGTGTTCAGACATCTGGCCTCAAGGAGCTTCACAGAGCTCTATTACTTTGCGCTCTGCTGAGGAACCAGTCTGCTTCATCTTGCCTTATTCTTGTGGCACAAAGCCCGCATCTCTGTCTGACGGTGCAGTGCTAGAAAGGGACAGTGTGACCTTTGGAGCATTACTACCACACACGGATGGAGGAGTGGTTGGAAGTAGCCAGGAGCCAAGGATGTAACGCTGATGCCTCGTCCCGGCCTCATAGCTGCTATTGCTTACACAGACAGTGACTCAAGGTCTGCCCCTGCTGCGGGTTAACCCTCAGATGACACAGGAGCAGATGGCAGTAGCCACTTGCTCACTGAAGAGCAGTCATGCAAATGAGAGTCTTACAAGGATATTTCTCTAATAGCGTCTTCTTTCTATTAATATTCCCAGACTTGCAGACACACATGAGTCAAGGCCAGGAGCTAAGAGGGTCAGCTCCAGGTCGTTGATTGTGCCACTTGAAGGAAATCCTTAACCTTCAGGATTTTGTATTTTAATAAACAAGATTCACCTCTCTCCTCTAATTCAGGCACATGGGATGCTGAGGCCAGAGCCTAATACTGTAACTAGCATAACAGATAAATCTCCATGGGAACAATTAGTATTATCTACACTTGATAAACAGTCTCATGCTAAATCTATGTCCCAAAGGGTGTCATATTCTACTTTAACAGATTTAATTAAAGTAGATATTGTTCTGACAATGAATAGTGAGGCACAGGCAGGACTTGTGCTTTTTTTTTTTTTCAATAGGGGATGAGCTGAGACCTTAGGAATTTTCATTGCTACCAAATCAATAATGAAGGTTTGAGTTCTCTTTGGGGAATTTTCACAGCTGCTTCTGGTCCAGGAGATAAATTCCTTGTAAAATGTTGCTCAACAGTTGTGGTGGAGCAGAGGCACTATTCCTTTTCTATTCCAGTGTGCTTGCAGAAAGCTGTTCTGGAGCTCTCATGGAAAGTGCAAGATAGATACAACCTTCTCCTTAGGGAAACTGCATTTTCCTGAGACACATTCTTCAACTTAAAAGCAGGACAGAGGATATATTGGTTAAAGGCAGCATCATGAGGTATTTTGCAAATGGGAAGAAGGAGCAGCACTTTTTGAAAATTATGATGATACAGGTCTAGAAATAACCCCTAAGAATGCTGGGCAGTGCCTTCTCACAGTGTGTCCCATGGAATGTAGTAATTACTCCTGCCTGCAAAAAAAGGTAACCTTGTCTACTTCTCCATCGAGTCATTATCTTTTCCAGTGTTGCACACGATGTGTCTTTTAATCTTCTAGTTCAATACATTCTTTACTGCCTTGAAATCAAGCAGCAGACCTTCAGCAGTGACATTTGTACCCACGTAGCTTTGCAAATCTTCTCTTGTGGGTAAGAGCAGCACAAATGACATTTTACAGCAATCCATGGGCTAGTCAGCAATGTTTGGCAGTTCAGAGCCCTTGGGCCAAATTTGCTGCTGACTTAAGTAGTTACCAGTGGGCCATGATGCAACCTCTAAATAGCATTCCTGCTCGAGCTCCCGGGCATCTTCAGCTGCACACAAATGACTGTTTCTGAGCCCTTACATTATTGTAGGTTTTGTGTGGAGGCCTTAACTAATGGTGCATAGCATTTGAAAAAAACAATGTGTTATGGCAGGTAAAGGAACGTAGAACTACCACTGCAACTGTGAAAAGGGGAGATGGCAGAGAATGCTTCACAAAAGCATTGCAAATGCCAATTTCACTGTCTTCGGGCACAAATTTTTGTGCATGGCAGTAAAAAACATCATCTGGTGTCAGGACTGAATCGGAGACTGTTTCCTGGCCAATTCCAGGGCAGAGCAAGCAGGGAAACTCTGAACAGAAGTGCTTGATCATCTCTTCTGCCTCCTCTTGCTCCAGGAGAACAGCTATGTCCCCAGCAGATGCCTTACGTGCAGGCAGTTGGTGGGCGAGTGGCTTCCCTAGAGCATACGCAGAAGCAGTTGGTGATACCTTTATGAGGGAAGAATTCATAACAAGGAATCTCATCAGAGAGGCAGCAGAACTCTCTCTGGGCTTTGCATCCTTCCAGCATAGCTCTTAATGGTGGAAGTTTGGTTTTGTTGGAGTCTGTGCTGTAGCACGTGAAGTGAGGTCCCGCTGCTCCCCCAGGACACTCCCTGAGTTGCTGTCATCTGGAACATCTGCACCTGTACCATTGCAATATCATTCCAAGGAGTGGTGCTGGGATAGACAGCAAAGCTGCTAAAATGACTTGAAGTCTAGCACTCCTGTCTTTGTTGTGCCTACTTCTGTGTCAGAGAAGGGTGAAACCTGCCAACTAAATATCTAATATTGCAGCACTATAAGAAGCATTTCTTCATTTTACCTTTTTCACTCACTTTAGCACCCATCTGATATACATGTCTTTGGAGAAAGGGATTAAAGCTCCAGCCATCCTACCTTTGACAGCCTTTCCTGCATATGGGACAGCCAGCAGGAGCTTTGTCCCTGCAAACCTCTGTTATTTCAGTATATGGTATTTATTTCTGCAGTTCATCCCTGATGATTGAAGCATGTCAACAAACGAGACTGATTGCAGTTCTCCTGCATTGCTGGCTTCTCACTGCTGCTCTGTTAACTGTTGGGAGTGTCTTAGCAGCAAAAAAGCTGGGACTCTTTTCCTATCCCAACCTCCATGTCAAGTGACCTGAAAAGGATTTGAAGCATGGTGTGGGTATCGCTGTTTAGATAACACAAAAGCAGAGCTGCAAATTCCAGACCTGGCCTGGTCCCTGTGCTCTCCTGCCCTTCAGATCTCTTTCCAGGGCCGCCCTCCTCCTCCTCCTTCCAGCTCCAGCGCTAAATATTAGAGCAGTGCTAATCAGCTGCCCTTGTCCCAGAGTGCTGGCAGCTTTCTGCAGCTTTCCACCACCTGCTAAAAAAGGTGACTTGGAAGGAAAGTTTGGTCCCTCCCTAGCTGCCTGTGTCAGCCTTACCGGTAGGCTCAGCTGGTGAAAAATCTGTTTTACTTCAAGTAATTTTTCTTCCACAGAGCTGTCTTCTCTCTCTCAAGGCCTCTGTTGGAAAGAGCATGTTTTACTGTGTGGGCTCTGCCTGTGGCATGTAATAGCTACCGTGGTTTAACATGCTCCAGCTCTACCTTTGCCAGTTTTTGGTATGCTGTGCCTGCACTGCTATCAGGAATCCAGCTCTGCCCTGCCACGCTGGATGGTCACCCAGTGGAAGGAGACATGCTGGTTTATCACAGCTGGGGCACAACCTCTGATCTCTCCAGTTCTCTGCACCCCATTTGTCTCTGTCTCTGGGAACTTTGTAGAGGCAGCACCCAGCATTTCAGGGTACAAGCGTTGCTCCAGCAAGACCCAAATCAAAGTTCCCGGGGTAGATGGGCTGTTTGGTGCAGCTAATACAGCAGTGCCCATGGCTGCTGTGCCTTGAGGGAGGTGGGGGTCCTGCACATTTGCAACAGGGCGCTGAGAAGATGTCATTAGCTGAGGGGCCAACAGGCCCAAGGAGAAGCTGTGAGTGGAGGCTGCCTGATCCCCTGGGCCACCAACGCCCCTGCGCTGCCCAGCAGCCCCTTGCTTCAAGCACGGCAGGGAAAAGCAGCACTGATCTCCTGCCCACGGCTGGTGCGGCATCCAGCATCTGTTGTCATGGCAACAGGGTGTCACACCTGCAGAGCCGCTGTTTCGGGTACCAATTTGTGAGCCCTGTGTGTGGGATTTGTCAGATCATTGGTGAGGCGTGTAACCCCCTCCCCTCCCCAGTCACATTGCTGGAAGGAGGGATGCTCTGCATTAACCATTCGATCAGGCATCAGCTGGTAGACATGGGAGTGGCACCAATTAAAAGCAGACGGGATTTTACACCAAAAGCATATTGTGTATTATAGCCTCATGAGACAAGAAACAAAGACCCATTCATCTCCACGCGAGGGCAAAGCACAGCCATCTGGATTCCTGCCCCAAACCGGCGCTGAAAAGCAGCGTGTGTGGCACCACCAGCCTCACCGCTGGCACCGGCCACCTGGGCTTTGCTGAGATGACCCTCTCTGCTCCATTGCTGCGAGGCGCAGGGAGCACGGTTCAACCCTGTGCTGGGGGTTGCTCTTCTTTAACTAAAGATTTATGGCTGTTTACGAAGCGCACAATAGCTGAACCACCTGAGGGAGGGCCCAGAGCCAAATTGTTGTCTCTAACGCTGCTATTTTGAGTATGAGTTTTCATCAGCAGCTGTCAGCTGCATGAGCATGTCCTTTTCCCGTTTCAGATTCTGTACAATAGCCAGAGTGTGGAGGTGGACGGCCACTCGATGAAGAAACTCATAAGTGACCTCCAGCCAGACACGGACTATTCTTTTGTGCTAATGAACCGTGGGAGCAGTGCTGGGGGGCTCCAGCACCTCGTCTCAATCCGCACTGCTCCTGACGTCTTGCAGAGCAAACCCATCGCCACAAACAAGTACATACAGGAAGGAAAATTCACGCTCACCCTTCCCAAAGTCCAGACCACTGTGCCGGTTAGGTACGTGCTGTGCCTGGGTGGAGAAGGCAGGGTTGGGAGGCTAGACATGGGGAAGAGGGCAAGGCAGACCTCTGCCAACCTGTGGATTTTGTAACCTGGGAGTGAATTTCTCAGCAGGCTGTGGTACAGAGCCAGGCATTTACCCGTAACGTGGGATCACGCTGCTGGCTCTTTCTGAGCAAATATTTATGTGCAATAAAATTAAGACAATTCTCTGACAGTTTGCCCTCACCCTGGTGGGTATACTCCAGATGCTACCAACAAAAACGCAGTTGAGGATCAGGAGGGACTTTCTCTGACACTGTATAATATCCTTTAAATAAATAATGCCCAAAGCCTCGAGGAGATTAAAAAAGCGAGTTTGTGGAAGTCTTATTCGTTACTGTGGTATCCTTGTGCTGAAGCACAATTCCCCCAGGGTTCTTGCTACAATCCGATTATATAAATGTCCTTCTCACAGCTCCTACACCACCCTCTGGAGCACAGTCTGTAGATCTTCATTAACCTAATGAGTGTTAACGGGAGTATTCTCTTCTCCAATACAGCTGGAAAACCGACCTCTTCGTTACCAAATCCTGTTGCTATTTAGAGGGCAGGGAGAGGAGCAGGTCATTCTTGGGAGGCATATGGCTTGTGTTATTTGGTGACCTGCCTGAGAGACAACTTAAGGTCCAGTGCTTACACTTTCCTTCCTTCCCAGGTGGTACTACATCGTGGTTGTGCCAGCAGATCAGAGCACCAGCAGCCCGACTGCTCGCTGGCGGACACCTGATGAGATGGAGCTGGACCAGGTAGGACTCTGTAGCAGCTGCTGTAACAGAAGTGGCTCCCAGGTGGCCCAGCACGCTTTGCCCAGGCCTCCTGGCAACGGCATGGGTGCACTGAGATGGGGGCTGTGGGACATGCAGTGCTCACTCAGCCTTTCTTGGCGGGTGACAGCATGTAGAAGGAAGGCTGGAGTCAAGCAAGGGAGGAGCCACCTCTGAGAATGTCCTCTATTGGGAAGACCACATTTGAATGTCTCAGAGCACTGACCAGGACAGATCCTGTCTTGGATGCTACGCTCTTTGCAACCTTTTTCAGCTGAAGCAACCATGCTGATTTTGAAAGCAAGCTAAGAGAGGGGGTATTGTTTTCAGTTTATTAAGCTGTTCTGTCAGGAGGCTTTTCCCTCTCTGGACGGACCTAAGCCCACAGTATGGATAAAAAGTTCAGTCTAGCATCTCACAAAACCTGCAAAGCTCCCTTCACACTTCCTTGTCAAAGGCTTTCAGCATTCACCAGCCCCTTCACCCTAAGATGCAGCTTATTCTGAGCAGGAGTCCTCCAACACCAGTGGTGTGGTACGTGTGTGGGCGTCAGAAGAGTCCCACACAAGGGCTTTGTGAGCCCTTCCACACACACACCACCACCCACAAAGTAATAAGGAAGAATTCCAAGAAATCACACAAAGGTTCCATTAAGAGAACAAAGTTGCAGGCTTGAAGAACTCATAAATTGCAAAGTGTTAGAAGCTGTAAATCTGCCCCTGCTTATCGTTAATCTTTAATTACATGATTGCACAGTGTTTTCCATGGGGTCCCTGCTCACACCGTGTATGGGTGGATCTGTTCTGCGCATGAAGCACAATTCTATGATGGAGAACCATCATCTATAGGTCTCCTGCATCATTTCATTGCAGAAATTGGAAGATGTCACAAGAAATAGAAGACTAGGGTGCGAAAGGATGGTTTAGTTTTGAACTTTAGGTGGTTGAAAGTTATTGAGAGAACTGGTTTCTATCTCTGTTTCACCCAGTTCTGGGCAAATGATTTGAGAAAAAAATTTCATTAGCAGACTGTGTCTTGCATGTTCTGCTTTTTTTGGAGTGCTCAGTTTGAGATCTGGAGCCTCATTTGCACAGCCTAAGCATCCCCAGCTGCAGAGAAAGTCAATAGAAGCTCTGCTGGATATAGTCAGTGCTATAAAAAAAAAGCTAACTTTTCTTTAAAAACAAAACAAGCTGATGTCTTTTCAATTTGACATTCAAAATTAGTGGACATTTTTTACATTAATGTCCCTGCGTCTCTGTTCTCTATCTGTAAAATTAGGATAATCACTTTCATCTCACCTCATATGGGTGTTTGGAAGATAAGATCGTTAATGTTTGTGAAGCACTTGTAATATTATAGTGATCAGCACCATAGAAAAGCCCACGAGGAAATTATTAATTTTGTCTTCATAGCTGGATTTGAATAGTAAGCAATAAACAAGGCCTCAGGCTGCATAATGCAAAGAAGAAAACAAAATATGGAATAGCTGCTCTTTGATTAAGCACTGTCTGTCCTGTGTATTGAACAAAGCAGAGGAGTTACAGAAAAGATAGTATGTGACCGTGCAGTCAAGGATTGTAACACAATGCACCTACGTAAGGCAGCTGAATTAATTTTTCACAGGCAATATTAGTTTTCTAATTTTTCAGGATCTGGACTTTGCAAGCCTAGCATTTCTTTTGGTGCAGTCTTTTGGGGTGCATGTTATATATATAGGTGGCAGTAGCATCCAGCAACCTTAATCACAACTGGATCCCTATGGTTTCATGCACTGTGCTTTCTGCTCCAAGAAGTTTAGCTGTAATTGCAGCCAAGGTACAAGAGATGTGTGTAAGGATCAAACTCCACAGTCCAAAGACTATTTCTGCCTTTTTTTCCCTGTGGTTGCAAGGATATTTGTGAAACTGAGATTGCTCCATGCCTTTTTTTTTTATTTTTCTTCTTTTTTCTTTTTTTTCGGGGGGGACGGGTGATATTGCAACGAACAACCTATAGCTTTCCTAAATTGCTCCAACAGGAATATCCATAAGAGGACAAGGATGGACTGTTCTGTTGAGGAAAAGGAGCAGGGGGTGCCTTACCCAGCTTTTCCTCCTCAGAGGGAGTGAGCTCAGCTCAGCAGCATAGCTTTGTGTGCACATCACTGTCCCCAGCCCCACTGATGTTCCCTGTCTGCCCTAACAATGCTGCACTGATACATTCGTGTGTGAAATGTATTTCATGCCTCCTTCTTCATTTTAAATTAGAATTTCTGTTCCAAGCCTGATATTCGTTTTTATTCATTAGAAAAACATCTTTAAACATCTGAGAGTCTTTCTTACCAGTGTAATTGATTTTTTGTGTGTTTATATCCTTTTTCATGAATTTGTGGCTGACTATGAAATTTGCCATTTTTACTCTGAACATCCCATGAAATCTGTTATCATTCTGTGTGATTTACACAAAGCTCTGCCTGCAACCCAGCAGCAGGTGAAATATCGCAGCACTGACAGAAGGGAAAGACACAGCAAATGTCACTTTTTCCCTGTACATCAGCGTCAGCTATAATTCACATCCAGTGTCCGTAGAGAGCGTGCATCGCTGTCCAAACCAACATTTGGGCCACAGAACATGGTCCAGTTCCCTCACAGCTCATCGGGATTGATTAACACAGGCTGTCTCAGCCCTGACATTAGCCCTGTTGGCATCTCAGGGCTCAGGACCCTCCCAGAGCTGAGCTCCTGGTGGAGATGGTTGCAGTGAGGGTCTGCAGACGGGTTCCCCAGCAGTTCCTAAATGGATAATGCATCCCTCTGGTTTCTTTGTACCACCACCATGTCCAGATCAAGCCCAGTGTCTTCTCCTCCCCTTCCCTTCCACCCTGCTGAGTCCTACAACCGGTAAGGTAACAGGGTGAGGCGGTGTCACGCCGGGCGAAGCAATAGTGATGCACCTTGTTTGTCCCCAGCTGCTGGAGGCCATAAGCCAAGGGAGTCAGAGCAGGCGCCAGCGACGCCAAGCAGACAGACTCAAGCCCTACATTGCTGCTCAAGTGGATGTTCTGCCTGAGACCTTCACCCTGGGAGACGAGAAGAACTACAAAGGTTTCTACAACAAGCCCCTGTCTGAAGACCTGAGCTATCGCTGCTTCGTGCTGGCCTCGCTGGAGGATGGAGACACGGTAAGGACTTTCTGCTGGGGAGGCACAGCCTGTCCTAGAAGAGCAGAGGTGGGCTCAGTGCAGGCACGGTGAAAAACTACTGTGAGCTGGGAGGATGGAGTTTTGTCTGAAGAGAGGAGAGTGAGGCTGCATAGCTGGTCTCAACAAGCTCGGGCAGCCGTGGGAGTTGACTTGATAGATGATGTTTTTGGAGGGAAATGGCACGTATGTTTGACATAACAGATGAGAGTGGAGGGCAGTGTCAACACACACGTTCTACACAAGCTTGGTTGTGGCTTGCTGGGCTGGGCCCAGAGCAGAGCTTGACACATGGTTGGGTTGGGATGGGTTCTCATTCTGCTTTAGTTCAAGTGATTGACTGCAGAAAACAGCCCCTTGAAGTCCTACCCTGCACAGTGGCTGCTGAGGCTCTGCAGTGAACAGGGTGCTCCCCCTGCAAACCTGCCTTCACAGAGCCCTCTCTGCCCAGAATCGCACCTCCAGGTGATGTCTGGGGAAGCAAACAAACCTACCTCCCATCGCAATGGGTTGTCACCTGGGCAAAGCTGTGCACGTGCCTGCTGTGTAGGGATTCTTTCTCCTGTGCCTCTCCTTGCTAGAGGCAAATGGGCCGTGCCTTTGTGGGCAGCGTGTCGCCATGCACACGGGGCTGGGCACGTGAGAGGGAAGGGAGTAGCTGATGCAATAAGCAGGGATCAGCACGGCAAGGCCTGTGCATCGGTGTCCAGCTGTAAACACAGAGGGCAGGAGGGATGGTGGAGACAGTGGCAGCGGCCAGTGTGTAAATAATGGAAATAATAGAGATGCACAGAATCCTTTGGTCAGCTTCCAAGCCACGGCTTCCTTCCTCAGACTCGTTTGCTTGTAATGGCTCATTAGGGCTGGTCAAGTTCTTCATTACTCATCCAGCTCACATGTTCTTGTGGCAAGATGTGCACACTGGTGAGGGAAGGAGAGTCGCAGATAAACAACAAGGTAAGGCAGAGGCCTTGGGGTGTGCTGTCCTGGCAGTTCCTGTCAAGAAGAGATGACCTTAACTAGTTGATCCCAGACTATCATTATCATCTCCTCCCTAGCATAAATCTGCCACAGCCACGGTGAGCCACCAGCCAGCAGAGTTATTACACCTTGCTCCTAGAGACCACCTTTCTGCATCCCCCTCTGCATCGCACCCATTTTCATTTGAAGCATGAGGCACTCTGTCCAGGACTGTGCCCTATCTCCCCCACTCAGCTCCTTTTAAATCGCTTGCTGTGTCTCTAGTGTCAGCAGGCGAGCGTAACGTCGTCATTCTTCAAAGGCAAAGGGGAGTGTGGTTGAAACACCATCTCCGAGAGCAGGAGCCGCCTGCACCTTGCAGTCTGCCTTTGGAAATGCCACTGAGATAACAGTCCTTCTGATCGCTTCTGCTTCTGTCTTCTCTTGGAAGGAGGCATCTCCAAAGGGTATCTGCAAAAATACGATTCTTGCCCCTCGCACAAAGCTTTGGAGCTGACACACGTGTTACCTTGCTGCAGAGATCAGCATGCCCCCACACACACCTGATGCAGCTTGACCTTTCTGCGGAGTCACAGGCAGAGCCTTTGTGCTCTTCTCACAGAGTAGCCGCTTGCCCATACAAAGGGGAGCCCCAGGCCTTCTGCCCCATCTTCTCACCATCCTCTTGTTTCTGCCATGCTCAGACAGAGCTGTTGCTGACTCCTTGCCCTGTTGTTTGAACTGGACAAGGGGGCATAGGAACAGAGCGACGGGTTGCAGTGATCTCACGCAGACTTGCTCTAGGAACAGAGCTGAACCAGGAGCCAGCAGCCATTTCAGGGTCATTGAAACAGGGTCTCGTAGGGCTGAAAGGTTTCACGGACAAAGAAGCAATGGCTCTCCCCCAGCTCCTCCTCCAGCCAGTGGCATCTCTGACCACTGATAAATCTGAGGACAGCAGCTAGGATGCTGCACCTGCGCGTACTGCCAGAAGGATGTCACAGATAAGAGCATTTTCTGTACTCCGTGCATGTTTGAAACTAGGCTGGCTGGGATCAAGGGCATCTGTGAGAGGAGATCAAGATGTGCATTTGTGTGACACCAGCACGCTTGATTTTTCCCTTTCTTCTCCTCACATGCACACAGACATGAAGTGTGTGTTTAAACTTCGACCTTAAAGCAGGCGATTTATAGATCCACAGGCACCTCTTCAGTGACCGAAACTTTCTATGGCAGAAGCAGAGCATTTCTGGCTCCCTAATGCCAGGCAGCAGGTGCTGCTAAAAAGCCACAGGCACTGAACTGATACAGCTCTGGCCCTCTTTAATAGGGGGAAAGGATTTCTTTTTGCAGCATTTAACCCTTCTGACCCAGTGAGGCTGAACTGTGAAGGGACAACACAGCTCCATAAGCCTTAGCCACAGCAGCAGAACAAGCCAGGTGCACTCTCATTTTTCTGCAGGAAGGGTTTGGGTCTCTCTTAATCCCGTCTTGCTGGTGGGGCTAGAAAGCTGTCCCTTTGAGTAATAAATCACTGGGCTGCCAGATTGCAGAAGTCTCTGGAAAGGAACCTTGTAAGCATGAGCCCCTTTCCAAGGTCTGTTTATTAGGGCTGAGACGTCAGGTAGAAAATGTTCCCCTCATTTCGTTCCTTTAAGAAAAGCGCCTCGCCCAGCAGGGGTTTTCCTAATATAGCCCTGTCCTGGAGAGTTGTGTTGATATCAGCACAGCAGGTATTATAAACCACTTAGGAATCATCAGCCAGCCCCACTGTGCAATTGGTTGGGATTCAAAAGCTTGCGATTTGGCACCGAGAGAATCCAGGGCTGGCAAGTGGCTCTTAGCTGGGCTGCTCCAGTTTGGCACCTCGGGGCCAGGTCTGCTAGCCAGAAAGTAGTTGGCACTGGGAATGTTTCACATCAAAAAAAGACTGTTTCCACAGCGTGACCTCCACTGATGCTGAGGGAGGGAGGATCCCATGGTGTGCTGCTGGGGTTTGAGAAGCATGACTGTTCCCTGCTAGCCAGAGGCAAGGGGAAGCCTCCAGATTTCAGGGATGAGATGTTGCTTTAGCATAATGGACACTTGCTTTTCTGTCTTTCTCCTGCCGGTGCTGTTCAGAAGAGATATGCAGCCAGTCCCTACTCGGATGAGATCGTGATGGAAGTGGCTTCAGCAAAGCAGCAGGATGAACCGGAGATGCTGTGGGTGATGGGACCTGTCCTGGCCGTGATATTAATCATCATCATTGTCATTGCTATACTCCTCTTCAAAAGGTGAGATCCAGTCGAGGACACACATTTATGGGACAAGCACTACAAGTGGTGGCACCTTAAAGACCTTCCTTGTAGCCTTTAGATAGGGATGCTCTGATAGACGTTCCTTGATGGTTGTGGGGAGGAGGAAGGTCTCCACCTGGCACACCAGAAGGCTGCTTTATAAAGAGAGCAGAAGGGCTGGGTATGCAGAAGGTAATATCAGCCTCAGGACACAGAGCTGCTGTGGGTTCTGGAAACGTGTGAGCAGTGGGACAGAGGAGAGCCGCTTTGTCTCTAAAGCCAGTCTGACTGCTCTCTGGTCTCACAGCTTGGATTTGCAGCCTTGGGAACTTCTCTAGTACTGGTTTTCTGTGGAAATTGCCTGCTTAATCTCTGGCAGGTGCCTCCACTACTGTGAATTTTTACTGAGGAACATAGTCTTGGTGGTGGAAACAGGGCATGGATGTGAGAGGCTGAAATCAGAGTAGGAGCTCTCTTCTTGGGAGCTCTCAGTCCTGGCTACCGGATTAGGACCATCCCTGTGCTCCCTGCTGAAGCAGCCACCTGCTTTTGCGTAGCACAGGAGCCCTGCTAGAGCTGTTAACTGTAGTGTGAGATGATTGTTAGTCCTCCCGAGGAGCCACAGGTTGCATTTGCATGTGTTCGTGTAGCCTGTTCAATTACAGTAGGTCATTCTCTATCAGCTCAGCTCCGAGGTTCTGCTCCTCCTGGACTCTCTATTTACATATGTATCTGTACCTCGGGGAAGGGAACTGGCTTTGTTGTCTGATTAAATGGAGCTCTGCTGTGCATGTGCAGTCAGTGCCTTTCTGTCTCAGTGATCATCTCCTTTCTTCTGTTTCTGCTCTTCCCTGGATCTAGTAAACAAGAAAGGTAGGAATCCATTTTATCTTCTTGTTTTGCTAAAATTGCAAGTCTATTTCCCTTTTTAAAAATCAAGCCTGAAGCTAGTAAGGGGCATCTTTGTTTTTGGGAGCGTGGGGGCATGACAGCCCTGGGGGTTTACAAAGACTTTGTTTCCTCAAAGGAATCGGCCTTCCAGCAATCGTGAGCCTCTCACAGCTCTTAGGGAGACAGTTCCAACATAAAGACTCCCCATATTGTTTTTACAATTAAATTAAAAATCAAAAAAAAACATCACCAGGAGTTATAGGTGTTTCTTCGTTTTCTCAGTCTCTTCAGACTGAGAGCTGTTCCATCAAGAATACAAGTGCATTCTTGCAGTCTGTAACGATGAAGCTTCCAGGGAATGCCAGGCTGTTGTAAGAAACAGAGTGTTCACTGGTCTTCAAGAAGAGAAAATGGTCCCAGGGGGATTCTGTACCTGAGCCCTATAAAAGCTATGTCCAGCTTGGCTCAGCTTTCCTTTGTCCCAGAGTCTGGTGTGGGTGGAGCACTGGGAAGCAGCACCAGCCCACTGTGCTCAGATCTGACATTCATGTCCCTGCTGTGTCCTAACCTGTACAGCAGCAGCATATCCTCTTCCAGCACAATCTGTGTGCTCGGAGCGATGCTGTTATCCTACAGGTTTTTAGCTGTCCACCTTCTCTTTGGAGGCACTTTCTCTCAAAGGTGTCCGTGCAGCATATTCACAGTGTCAAATCTTCAATGGGAATGGATTGAAGCTGAATAGCAGAGGATAGCTTGGGATCTGAAGGTTTGTTTAGCAGTTGTCCTGATTAGGCTAATGAGAGATACAAACATTAATTGTGTGCTATGCCCATTCCCCAGAAAAGCTGGGCCACTTTGCTCAAGGGCTCAGGGACTGGTACACAGTAGCACATGGTACATCCTGCTGTGCTCCTGATAGGAGAAACACTACTTTAATTGTTTGCTGTGTATTTTCCTTTCTTTCTATCAATGCTCTCAGTCCTTCAGCTCTTTTGTCTCGGTCCAGGCAGCTAGAAGGCTTCTGAGATGTTGAGATGACTCAAAGGCTCACAAGCTGGTCCTCCCCACTGAACAACTCCAGTGTTTGATGCAGCCACAGGCTGCAGATGGAGCTTGCTCACACTCTGGGCCACAGCAGGAATGCAGGTTTCACTTGTGATTAATGCGCTAAATTTTCCCTAATTTCTTCTCCCTAGTGCCAGCCCAGCATGCACAGCTCCCTGTGGAAGTGATAGCGCCCTGTGCCTGTGCAGAGCATTCCTAATCACACATGGATCAGGGTCACCACCATCCAGAGATGCAGCTGCCTCTGTGCAGAGCCTGGCAACCCTTCAGAGTGCTTTGAAATGCCACACAAAGTGGTAGAAATCAGAGGCTTCTGTTGCAATTTGCAGGATGGTAAATGTGCTAGCATTCGTGTGGACTAGCAGTGAAGTAGCTTCCTCTCTCCCAGAAAACCCCGCTCCCAGGTCAGCAGAGGGGTTCACCATCAGGCAAAATCCATTTGGGGGCTGTAGCCAAAAGACAAAGTCTCTGTGAATTGCTGCATGCTCAGCACATTGGCAAAGGGTCAGGGTCAGCACAGACAGAGAAGCTACTACTGCTGTCCTGCTCCTGCCCAACACCCCTCTGCATGGGTGTTTCCACTATATTTGTAATATAAGAGCAAGAAGTGGGACTTAAAGAATTGCTAGAAACCCTTCTTGCAGTATTAGATTTTCCTTAATATTCACTTGTCCACTTTTTGATTGGATCTGTCCCTGCTCTGCCTGTGAATTCCAGCAAGAGCCTGAGGTGGTGGCATTGCTGTAGGCATAAATATAGCATGAAGAGACAACAGTGTATTTTATTGTTCCATTAATACACGCCTTGGGTGCCTTCAACCATTCAAGACATGTATTAATGGCCCAATAAAACACACCCTGAAGAGCCTTTACACTATTATATTACAGCATTCTATATTTAAATATTTCTAATACTTGAAAAAAAAATTTATTATATCCTTCCACTACAGGAAATAGTTCCTAGAGAGAGTAAAAGGAAACAACATCTTGCATCTATCTGCTTGTTCTCTAATAAATATTACACAGCGCATCATATTTCAAAGTGCCTCACTAATCAGACCTCTGCCACCGCTTACATATGATCCTTCCTGTTTCATAAATGGGAAATTGGAGGCACGGAAGAAGATGTGACTTGCCCAGAGCCCCAGGGAGCCTGGGATGGAGCTAGGTGTCTGGGACACAGGGACCCAGACTCCTTCCCACGGTGGTTCATGGTGGTCTCTGCCAGACCTCACCTGCTTGTCTCTGTCCTCTCTGTCCATAGGAAAAGGGCACACTCCCCCTCTTCCAAGGATGAGCACTCCATCGGTCTGAAGGACTCGCTCTTGGCCCACTCCTCTGACCCGGTTGAGATGAGACGACTCAACTACCAGACTCCAGGTAAAAAGCAGCTAAAACCCTTGCACCCCACCTCCTCCAGTTCTCCTTCATCAGGTCCCCATGACAGAGAAGGAATTGCAGTGCTTCCCACTAGCAGTTCTGTGCCTTCTCTGTCACAGTGACACAGAGCGGGCTTACACCAAGGATACCCAGGTGTTCACTCTCTGATCTGCAGATCCTTCTCCCTGGCCCTGTCACTGCTGGCACACCAGGCTGGGGAACTTGGGTGGGGGACAACCTAGTGTGTGGTGTGTATGTCAGACCTTATATGAAGCTCACTGCAGTTGTCCTGAGCCAGGAGAAGCCTCCATGCAGAGTTGGGAGAGCTCACCAGTGCCGGCATCTGCATTGCTCCCAGCTCCTGCGCTGGCTCGGACCAGGCTGAGATTTCAGCACTGAGCACCACTGGTGCAGTGCTGGCCACAGGGGCTGCCACTGGGAGGATCAGGAGGTACAGAGAGCCCTTGTACTGCTGAGGGTGTCCCAGCACCTTTGTCCCAGGATCTTCTGTGTGCTGACTTTCCTGCTCTGCTCAGCTAAGGCCAAAGAGAAGCAGCCTACGTTGCTCCCCAGTCACTGCTGTGGCCCAGGGAAGGGCACTGCTGGTCACAGTGGTCTCAGTGCAGAGGATGATAGTTCGGTAACAGCTGTTGCTTTCTGCATACAACTGTTTGCTGCAGAGCATCTCGTCATGCCTGCACTGGCCTCTGGTACCTCGGGATGTAGCTGGTTTGCCAGCCCATGGAGGCAACTCTACTTTGCACTACAGAAAGGTCTCGTGCTGCTGCTTTGTGTCTGTACGTCCCTAATGGCACTGAAAGCACAGTACCTGTCGTTGTAGCAATCAGAGACAGGCTCACCCCAGCTTATTCAGAGCCTTTCAGAGAGCCCAAGTCCTATATGAAGTGGGGGAGCACTTGGGCTTTTGTGATGGAAGGAGCAGTTCTGCAATAAATGAGGCACATACAGCTGTCTTCTAACTTGCAGCTCTTCCTGGTCTGTAACCTACTTTCCTTTTCCTCCTGCTGCTCATTCATCTAAGAGCTTTCATCTAACAGGAGAGTTTTGAAAGGACCATTTCCTGATGTAAACCTGCTGTGTCCAGGAGGGAGGGTAAGAGAAGTTCACAGCAGTCTGGTTCAGACCTGGGGTGGGTTTCAGCAGCACTTCTCCCTCTGTGCCAGAGCAGCTGTCACAGATCCATAGTTAGTGCATCTCCGTCACAGTGACACAGAGCGGGCTTACACCAAGGATACCCAGGTGTTCACTCTCTGATCTGCAGATCCTTCTCCCTGGCCCTGTCACTGCTGGCACACCAGGCTGGGGAACTTGGGTGGGGGACAACCTAGTGTGTGGTGTGTATGTCAGACCTTATATGAAGCTCACTGCAGTTGTCCTGAGCCAGGAGAAGCCTCCATGCAGAGTTGGGAGAGCTCACCAGTGCCGGCATCTGCATTGCTCCCAGCTCCTGCGCTGGCTCGGACCAGGCTGAGATTTCAGCACTGAGCACCACTGGTGCAGTGCTGGCCACAGGGGCTGCCACTGGGAGGATCAGGAGGTACAGAGAGCCCTTGTACTGCTGAGGGTGTCCCAGCACCTTTGTCCCAGGATCTTCTGTGTGCTGACTTTCCTGCTCTGCTCAGCTAAGGCCAAAGAGAAGCAGCCTACGTTGCTCCCCAGTCACTGCTGTGGCCCAGGGAAGGGCACTGCTGGTCACAGTGGTCTCAGTGCAGAGGATGATAGTTCGGTAACAGCTGTTGCTTTCTGCATACAACTGTTTGCTGCAGAGCATCTCGTCATGCCTGCACTGGCCTCTGGTACCTCGGGATGTAGCTGGTTTGCCAGCCCATGGAGGCAACTCTACTTTGCACTACAGAAAGGTCTCGTGCTGCTGCTTTGTGTCTGTACGTCCCTAATGGCACTGAAAGCACAGTACCTGTCGTTGTAGCAATCAGAGACAGGCTCACCCCAGCTTATTCAGAGCCTTTCAGAGAGCCCAAGTCCTATATGAAGTGGGGGAGCACTTGGGCTTTTGTGATGGAAGGAGCAGTTCTGCAATAAATGAGGCACATACAGCTGTCTTCTAACTTGCAGCTCTTCCTGGTCTGTAACCTACTTTCCTTTTCCTCCTGCTGCTCATTCATCTAAGAGCTTTCATCTAACAGGAGAGTTTTGAAAGGACCATTTCCTGATGTAAACCTGCTGTGTCCAGGAGGGAGGGTAAGAGAAGTTCACAGCAGTCTGGTTCAGACCTGGGGTGGGTTTCAGCAGCACTTCTCCCTCTGTGCCAGAGCAGCTGTCACAGATCCATAGTTAGTGCATCTCCCAGGCAGGACTGGTAGCAGATCTCACAGGCAGGACTGGTAGCAGATCTCACAGGCAGGACACAGCAACAGCCTGGCAGTTGCCAGCAGACCTGGTGCATTGACTGGCCACAACACAGACCAGTGTGGTATTGCAGCATGGGAGGAAAATGCTGTGGGGAGCAAAGAAGGCACCCACACTAGAGGAAGAACATCTCAACAGGCTCATCACTAGCAGCAGTGCTAGGTGAGGGGGGTCATACACAGTCAGCAACAGCATGCAGCTCCTTGAGCTGCTCCAGGGCACCTGTGCATGGGGACAGGCTTCTGTGACATCTCTGCTGCCCAGGGACACAAGAGCCATCTTTGCTGTATGCTTGTGGTTTACATGACATGGAGAAGGTCAGGCTTGCATCTGCTCCCATCATCAAGAAGAGATTGGAGTGTTTGCAATGAGGGCATCTCTTACTAGAGCTGTAGGAACAGACAAGAGCTGCCATCAGAGAGGAGTGGTCCAGGAAATCCTCTTTTCCTGCCTGTGCCTAAGGATAAGCCAAAGATACTGTCTCTTTTGGTAAGATTGCAGAGCTCTCTGGAGAGACAAAAACAACCCAAAGTTCACTACAGAGACAGCAGCAGTGCCCTGGGATGCTGTGAGCCAGCGCTCCCCCACCAAGTGACAGAACTGTGTCCTCCTCCCCCCTGCATCATTTGTGAGGCTCTGTGAGGCAGAAGTGGGTGTTATGCAGCTGGAAGTGACTGTTCCAGCTCCTGACGAGCTTGTCCTCATTAATGAGGAGGCATGAAAGCCATCAAGCCCCATGGGCCCATGCTGTTGCCCGTGTCACCCACCCGAGGTCGAGGCAGTGCTGCGTGGATACGTTGACAAGAGGTGCTGGCCACCAGCCCTGCACACTTCAGTAGTTGGTCTCCCCGCTGGAGTGTGCTGAGCAGGGAAAACTTGTTTAATGCATAATTAATTGGGCTACTGTTATTAAATATTAAGCTTTCTCATTTTTGTGGTTTTTACTTCAGACAAGGGTCATTTCCCCCACTGTCAGCCTCCCTGTACTAATGTACCACTGTGCCAAGTCGCTGGGAGGATACGGGACCGGGCAGTGTCCCAATACGCCATGAAATGAGGCTGAGTTGCACTGCTGATGAGCTGGACGCAAACTGGAGGCTCAGGGGCACTGAGCAGAGGTTGCTGGGGCTGAGTGCAGTTCTTCTGGCCACCAAGCAGCACTGATGTCCCCTGTACCTGCCATCCACCTGCCCTTGCTGGCTCCCCTTGGGGATGGGGCCATAGGCAGTGGTGTGCAGTGAGAAGTGTAGCTCTTGGCATCAGATGAAGACCTGTGCGCTCACTCCCCTGCGAGTAGCTCCAGCTCCATGTGTTTATCAGCATCAGGGGATGGCAGTGGCCAGAGCCAAAAGCCCAGTGGGTATTGGCCAGCTGTAGAGAGCCCCTGAGGCCGGGCAGCTGGTCCTGTGCAGGAGGGAGGCTCCCGGTGCTGTGGCAGATGGTGCTTCCCTTTGCATCTTCATCTCTTTGTCTCTCCATTTCTGAACCTCTGCGATGATGACTAAAGGCTAATGGGATTTCTGTTCTTGCCCCGTTTCTTTTCTTTGCAGGTGCCAGTGTCCCCAGTTGCCCGAATGTCTCAAGTTAGTTTTAACTCCTGTATTTATCTTTCGACACCTTTTGCTTTTTCTTTCCCTTTCTCTCTCGTCTCCGTAATTTTTGTTTCAATGTCATGAAGGTCACCCTCACTCACTGCAGACTTGTAGAACGGCACTGATTTCACTTTCTGACATGATGTGTGGGGCCAAGCTCGGGTACTGTTTGCACGGCACTACAGCAGCTCACCACAGCACAGTGCAGAAGGGAAAGCCCCAGGTGCTGGGCTGCCAGGAGGCGCCTGCAGCAGCCCTTCGCCTGCTCCCAGGCCTCCTGACCCCTCGCAGTGGCATGGCAGGCTCTGCCATGGCACCCAGCCTGCAGCTGGCCCTGCACGGGGCCATTCTGGAGAGGGTGGGGAGCTAAAAGCCCCTAATGGACAAATTGAAGGGTGCTCTGCAGCCCGGTGGTTGAACACACACTCCTTCTACCCCAGACAAACTGGCATCCCCAGGCTGGGTCACCTGTGCCATAAAGTTAGGCAGAACAGATGCCAAGGGATGCTGAACTGAACTGAACTGAACTGCCATACAGTTGGTCGGCTTGGCAGTGTTGGCACCAGAGTCCCAGGCACAGAGCAGAGGGACTTACTGCTCTAGCAGGTTGGATAGAGTGGTACCAGAACTAGGGGTTTAACTTCCCCTTTGTCTCTTGTCATACAAGCTTCGGGTTCACTCTCAAACAACCATAAAAAGTCCTCCTTGCTGCTCGATGTACAAGGCATCTGTGTGTGCACACAGGAATGGGAGATGTAGGACAGGTGCTTAGCCCAGGAGCAGAGCCAAGGGCTTTGCAGTCTGCAGCCCTGCAGACATTGTGAGACCCCTGAGCCCTCTAGCCTGGTGAAGAGCTCACTGTCCTCTTGCCAGAGTCATTGGAAGAGCATGTAGAAGTCCAGGTAGTGTGTACAAATCTCCTCTGTGTTGCCCTACACTGTCAGTGGTTCTAGGTTCACCATAATGGGATACCAACCACCTCTTGATCCCCATCTGTTCTTGCAGCTCCTTTGTTGCTGCAATGCTCCTTCAGCAAAACTGAAGTTTGGAGAGACCTCCCCCCTTGTATTTCTCAGCAGAGATGAGCATCTGCAGCTCTGCTGTAGTCCATGGCTCTGCTGGACTTCATACACAACCATGTTGGGATAAGCACGTACTGTGGCTGTGTTCCAACCTCTTTCTTCTTCCAGCCTCACACTTCTGCCTTGGTCCCACGCTGTCCTCCTCATTCAGTTGCTCATCGGTAGCAGCTCTGCACTGCAAAGGCTGCTCCTGAGCTACAGTCTCTGGAGCACTGGCTCTGGCACCAATGAGCAAATTGTGCAGAAATCAGCATCGTCTTTGTGGGCCTGCTCAGCCACCTTGGGGATCTTGATGGGTGAAGTGGCAAACAGAGGATCATTTGCAGGAGGACCTCAGCACGAGGCAGAAAAGGGATCTTTCCTTCTCCGTCTGTCTGTGTGCTCTCAGGCCATCCGTGGATTGCTCTGCACTGTCAAAGCATAGACGGACGTGTATGTGTTGGATCGGGTCTTGCCTATATGCAGCAACGTTAGATGCTTTTGGCAGAGGTGTGAGGAGCCCTGCTGTGCAGCAGCTGTGGTGTAACGCTTCCCTGTTACCACCTAGTGACTTGTCACCACTGAGTAAAATGCACCTACCCAGCCTGGGGACTGCTCCATCACCTCAGTGGCCCATCACTGCCATCTGTGGCAGCATTCAGGCTCCTGAGCAATCGAGAAGCTCCTGGCCATGCTCCAGCTTGTCTCCCTGGGTGTGAATCAACAGCTTCAGCCTATTAATAATCATCATGACCCACGTGGGGTTTCTGGGAAAGCCACAGAGCAGCCGATGGAGTCACGAGCCTTGGGATTTGGATAAGCCAGGCTTTGAATGAGATGTTTCACAGCCACATTGCTGCCAATTCACCATCTCAGCTTCAGAGAAAGAGATTGTGATGGTAGAGTCCTTAGTCCCAGGGCCCCAGTAGGGCTCCTTCCGGTCCCACCCGTACCCCCACAGTATCTATCCCCTGTGCAGTACCTGTGGCACCCCCCTCCTCCAGGCCTATCCCCTGAGCAGGGCTTGGGCTGTGCCCAGGATGAGCCATACTGTGCATCCCTGCTTTAGACAGGGCAAGGCTTCTGCCATGGCTTGAGCTGCATCCCAGCTCGCAGCAGCCTTCCAGAAGCTGCTGTAGGGCATGTCACTGCACGTGGTGCCTTGCACGAGCCAGCCCAGTGGAGCTGGATTTTGGGCCCTGAAGGTGGCTCTGCCTCTGGAGCGCCACTGAAAAGCACTGAGTTACACAGCTGCAGGCAGAGCTGCTCCTCAGCTCTCGGAAAGTTGTGCAATCTCAGACCAGGGGAGCAGCTCTTCCTCCATGGGGCTCTTCTCATCTTTCTCTAGCTCCCCAGGGGCTGGGGCAGCATCTGCCTACCCAAAATGCTGTACACGTATGCTACAGAGGTTTCCACTGGTGCAGGTCTGGGCGAGTTTCTTTTTGGCTAATGCCGTTGTTAGGGGTAAGCAAGAGGATCAGCCTCAGCCCTCGGTGGTGAGAGCACCAGAGAATCAGTGTGTTCAACTTCAGCCCGTGCGGGAGCCCGGGAAGCGCGTTGACAGCGTCTCCTCGGCCTGTTCCTACCAGGGGCTTGCCCGAGCCCCTGCCCGCTGCGTGGCCTGCTCTGTGTGCCCGGTGGCTGTACTGTCCGAGCATGCTCACCCGGTCATGCACATTCTGCACATCACCTTCCTTTTCGTTTCACCGAACCGTGTGCTCTGAGAGTGCGTGCAGCATGCCCTGTGATCTCGCCGACTTCCCATCCATTCCGCCCGGCGCTTCACATACTCACACATGTCCGCCTTGCGCCCACCTTTCGGGTTTGCCGTGCACATACTGTTGTCCAGCCTTCCTCCGCCCTGCAGAGCCATAACTGTTCTCCTCTCCCTCCTCCCTCCTTCTCTTGCTCGCAGGCATGCGTGACCACCCCCCCATCCCCGTGACGGACCTCGCAGACAACATCGACAGGCTGAAAGCCAACGACGGGCTGAAGTTCTCCCAGGAGTACGAGGTGAGCGTGAGAGCCCGCCGGGCGCTGGGGGCAGAGCGATGCTGGCCAGGACCCCCAGCGGAGAGAGCTTGAAAGCTGAGCTGTGCCTCCCCCGCACCGGCATCGCCAACGCGGGCCCCAGGCCAGGCCTGGGATTCTGCCAGCTCTCCCTGCCAGCCCCAGAGTGGTGGGAACTCGCCTTGAGCAGTTGGAGCATGGCTTGTACCAGGAAAAGGCCTTGCAGCTGCAGGCGCAGCAGCCCTCCATGCTCCCACCGTGGTTACGGTCTTAGGAGTGAGTGGGAGCTCGTGTCTACCCGCCTGGAATGGTGCTGTTCACTGGGTTGTTTTGCTCTGCCAGGGTTGCTCTCCATGCAGATTGACCGAGGTATTTCAGTCCACAGCATCCCATGCCCCTTCACTTCCACCTGCATCCAAAGCTTTTGCTTTCTGCACCATCCTCCGCTGCTGACAAACAGGCATTTGGGATTTCATTCCTGCTTTCCTGACCTGCTGTCCCTCCGCACGCTGCTGGACTGTGCTGCCATTAGCCTGTGCCATTCAGCATCTCTGTCACCGGGAGCTCTGCTGACATCCCGCTCCCATGGAGCAGTCCCAGCTCCCCTCCCTGCATGGAGCTCTCCTTGCCTGTGCCCTGCAGTCCTGAGCTGCAACCTCCCCTGCACTGATGAATCACACTCCCACCCTCCTCCCTGTCTCCGGTGGAGCCCCCGGGTAGGTACCATCCGCACCCGCCACCGATGCTGCCTTTTCTTACACATATGGGCGCACACAAGGTGTTTGATGAACCCCCTCAGTCCTGCATTGCACTTCTCCCAGCCCAACCCACTCCATTCCCGTCCTACCCTGAGGACAACTTGCTAAGAGGGCTGCACACATGGAGGGGAAGGGACTGACCTGCAGGAGGGCTGCCTTGCCTTTCTCACCACTCTCTGGGCTTGATGATTAGGTTGAAAACTTGTGAAGTTGGGGAAAGTTCCTGTTCAACCATGAGATCAGCAGCGGCAGGATATATGTTTTCCTGTGCTTACATGCAGGACCCTCTTGAGCTTCAGGGGACTTGTAAATAAGCCCCCTACTGGTATTAAAAAGGGAATAAATTTGGGAAGTGTCCTTTGCATGTGTTATCACTTCTGTTTGAATTGTTATCTGCCTGTGCCTGTGGCCTCCCCTTCCTGCAGCATACCTACACTGATTTATGAGATGAGATCAGAACATTTGCCCATGAGGTAGGATTATATATGCCAGGAAAGGGAAAGCAGATCTCTGTGCTGAGAAGGTAAGGGACCGATTCCAGCTAGTTCAAAGGGTGTGCTGCATGTATCTGAGGAAGACGCAGAGCTCCTTTTTGCTTCAGGATGCCAGGTGGAGGGTTTTACCATCCCTCTGCATACTGCTGTCTCGACCAGAGAGAAGCTGAGCTTTCACCAGCTACAGCATTGCATCATAACTTGGGAGATGTTTGGAGAAATAATGTGCTTCCCTTGCAGTTACCTGTGTGATAGTTATCGTCTGTGTCCTGCCAGCGGTGCCAAAGTATGCAGCCATATCTGTCTGCCCTGGGCCTTTTGTTAGGAGTCCAGCTGAAATGTTAAGCAGGGCTGTCCACTGCGCCACAGGCAGACCGTGCCTCTGCTGCAGGGGGGACTCGGCAGGACCCGGTGTCTGCCCACTCCCATCCTCACACTGGCCTGTGCTGGTTGGAGCCTGAGGCGTAATACTGAGCTGTGGGAACTGATTCGGGGGAAAATGAGCATTAAGTAAATTCTCTTAGCTGTTTTCATGAGCCTCTCTCTTCTCATTTCTCTTTCTTTAGAATATCATGGCTGGTTGAGAGCACCAATCAGTTGTACTTTTCACGTTGAAGCAGCTATTAAGTAGCTGATTGTTGCATGTAATTTTTTTTTTCCCCTGGATTCTGCTGCATTTGACTCCTCATCAGCTAGAAATTACTGAACATGACAGGCTTATAGGGTGTTTAATACTAGGATAGACCCCAAAGCAGAATTGGTTGCCCCTTGTTGGCATGTGGGGATCAGTACAGTCATTTCCCATTTGAGATGCCAGTGGGAAAAATCCTGGATTGAGTTTGCAGAGATCGGCAGCTGCCTGTGCAGGATTGCTGCGGTCCCTGTGCATGCTGTGTGTGCAGGTTTGGCATGGCAGCAGCTCTCTTTGGGGCCTGTGGTTGGAGGGCAGGATGGGCACGGCATGTGTTGCTGAGTAAGGGAAACTGCAGCTCGCATGCGGAAATAGCGGAGGTGGGAGAGGAGTGGGCTGTGCAGCCCCTGCGGGAGTTGTGCTCCCCAGCGTGGGGAGAAGCAGAGAGCCACAGCTCGCCAAATTCTGTACAATTGCAGTCATGGAGGGATGATACAGTCCCAGAACTCTCCCTGGGACTGTGTGAGCCCCGGACCGACTCAGAGCTGAGTGGTGACCCAGCGCTTCAAAAGATGGAGGCACAGACCCTGTTTCCCTGTGGTGTGCTCATGCTGTGGGACTTGGGCATAGCAGGGCTGAGCAGGGAGAGCCGAGGGACAAAGGCATCACAAGTGAACCCCCAAGGCCCATTTGCTGTTTGGCTGTGCTTTGGAATTGTTGCATTTTAAGTGTTTTTGCAGAGCGGTCTAGCAGCCTAACATCTCCATGGTGCGCAGGGCTGTTTATAGATGGCTCACGTTCCAGGAGCAGTGGCACCCCAGGCAGAGAGCAAATATTTAACAGCACTTTTAACCATCGAGGCCAGCTGCCCAGAGCCATCAGTCTGGCGCTTGTCTTGGTTGTGCAAGCAATAGCAGGGTAACCTAGACACAGGTAACACAAAACAAGACCTGTCAGCACCTCCCCGCACGCCTGGGAAGGGAACAGGAAGGTGGCAGAGATTTCTCGGAGCCGTCTGGCCTCCATTCCTGCAGGTCAGAGAACAAATAATATTGCTCACACCAGTTTGCCAGCCCACCTGGCCAAATAGCCTGAGCAATAAAGCCAGCACGGAGAGAGCTGTGCACTGGCTGTGGGTTAATTCCTCACCCTAATGGGCAGGGAGCAATCCCAACTGGACCTGCTGGTACCACTGGTGCGACAGGAGAGGTGCTGGGAGCTGAGCTGGCTGCAGGCACAGTTAACTGCTGGTGGCTGCTGTGGTGTGGGGCATAGCACAGCCCCACCACGCTCTCCTGGGCACGGAGCAGAGCTGGGGGGAGCAGAGTGCAAGGGGCTGGCAGCAGCTCCTGGCCCGGCCACACCAGGAGAGTATTTCATTTTTAGTGTACAGTGAGAGCTACAGTGAATTTACAGTGTGGGATTAATGGAATTAAATAAGTAGAAGGGAGGCAGAGCCCCTTAATTATTTATCTGCAGGCTGTGGCGGGCGCTGCCGCTGTGTTGGAGCTCCTCCTGTGGGCCACCTTCCCACGCTGCAGTGTGTGGACATGAAGCAGGATGCTGTCCTCAGATGGAGGGTACCTGCATTGGTACAAACAAGTGTGACCACACGTGCCATATCTTGCACTTTCACTGTAGGATCCAGCAAGCCGAGTGCTGCTCTTCCCTTTGTTGCTATTAGCAAACACAGGACACAATGGCACCAACCAGGGCTGGTTCCTGCTCCCTTGTGGCTGTTGCCACTTCTGGGCTAGCTCTTGCACCACCTTCCCACAGTTTGTGGCCGTTGTTCCTCATGCCCAGTCCCTTCATCACGTCCCTCCAGTGGGCAGCCCCTGGGTGCAGAGCAGGCTAGAGGTGATGAGAGCCAGGCAGCGTGCCACCGCCCGGTGTGTTGGTCCTTGATAATCATTAGGTTGTGTGTGAGATTTGACTCTGCTCTTGCTTCCCAGTGCCATGGGGAGGCTGCAGTCCCTTCCCCACAGTTTTGTATGGATAGAAACATGCTGACCAGCTCAAACCACGTGTTCACTTGCATGTCCCTTGAAGCCACCGAGGACGTTGCGTCTCCCATCGCCACAGCCCTGGCAAGGCAGCTTAGGTGGTGGGAGAGGTGATTGGGGTCCAGTGAGCCCAGGAGGTGCTGCACCCGGGGTCCAGATAGCACCTGGGGAGCCATGTGTTGTGGGTTTAATGGGCTAATCGGGAAGCTGCCTGGCAGGCACGCAGCACTCACGTTCCGGTAATAAGAATAATAAGGCTGAAGTGCTGCCAGCGATTGATTTGGGAGCGCATTATGTCCTCATTTGAGACGCAGCGTAGATTGACAGTGGTCAATGCCTGTGCTAATGTGGTTGATTTCACAGGAGGCCGGGAAGCACTCACAGCCCGAGTGCTTTCCCTTCCCCATGTCCCTGTGCAGCTGCCTGGGCTGCTGAACAGCACGGGGCCATGGCTGCCCAGCTCCTTGGTTGCCACAGCCAGGGCCAGCCGGGGTGCCAGGCTGTCCCAAAGGTCTGCCTGCCCGTGCCTGCCAGCAGCAGAGGCAGTTGCAGGGACTCTGCATGCAGGGGGATATTGGAGCTGCACCGAGGAAGGGGAGCAGCAAACCCAAGGTGGACTGTATCTGAGAGACAGACTGGCACCCAGGGACGCTTTCAAGGCATTTGTAAAGTGCTCTCGAGTCTGTCGAGGAAGGAGCCTTTTTCCAATCCCGTTTCGATGGTCTGGCTCTGTCTTTATGTTGATGGCAGTAGCAGCAGGGATCCCTGAGCTGCTTTGGAGAGATTGCTCCTTGCACTTCCACGCTGGGAAGGAGGAGTTTTACTAATTGGGCTATTCCTTAATTTGCGCTTGCTGTCTTACAACATCTCCCCTGTCACTTTAAAGCAAAGCAAAACTAAAAGTCATGATGCTTTTAAGTTTGTTCCTGGCTCATTTCCTTCCAATTTCCCAGCCCTTCTGCTTTCTAGGAAGAATGAGTTGAAAGTGTTACTTTGATCAACTTTTGGGTTGAAGCAGTGATTCCCGTGAGCCCCAGGAAGGAACAAGAGCAGACTCCCAGTGCCCAGGCAGTTGTGGAGCGGGGTGGGGAGATGAGGCAGTGCTGCCATAGTCCAGGGCTGCAGAGCATCCTACAGAGATGGGACAAGACTTGCCAACCACCACTCCGTGTAAGGGCTTCAACTACTCTCCAAGCAGCCCATCATCCTCCCATTTATTTACTCATTTGTTTGCCTTAAAGGGGGGAACAGGTGTACATTAATTCATCACCAGATTTTAAATTAAATCATTTTACTTCTAAATGAGTCACTAATTTGCAGGAGTATTTAATTAGAGCCTCTTTGCACTCAGGTGCTGTATTACTTCTGACTTTCTCACCTGTTTGCCCTCTTAAGAGGCTGCTGATGATTACACCATTTCTGCACATCCTCGTTGCACATCAAAGCAATTAACCCTAATGGCAACACCTTGACGCTTCTTTTCGGTTCTGGGGGCTCTTGGCAGCCTTGTCTCCCCCAGGAAATAACCCTTTCCACCACTGTGGCAGGACGCAGACTTGCTGTGCTTAGCACACTGCACCCCACAGCTTGGGCAGCCCTGCAGCCTTTTGGCAGGGATTTGCAGCATAGATGGAGCGCGAACAACTGCACCGAGCTCTCCTTGTCTCCGCTGTGAAGGGAGGACTCGCTCCAGCACCCACCTGTGGCCAGCAGTGATTGAATGTCCACAGGGTGCAAGTAGCCCTACTGCTTTCTCGGGTTGCTCCTCAGCAGCAAGAAAATGCTCCCTCATGTCTTCAGGGCTGGTCTCAGCTCCATCACCATCTGGCCAGCTCTCTGCACGGGCTGTCTGTGCAGACTAAGGCCACCTTTTTGAAAAAGAACTGTTAGTTCTGTCCTTAATAGCTATTGGTGAATTTTCCTCCTTAGCTTATCTGTTTGTGCTTCTCCTTCGGTGTGCTCTGGATTGATTAGACCAGTATCAAAACCCCTCTCACTCCTCTTTAACTCCAAACAGAAAAGTCCTTACACATTTTGTTCCACTTACTTTTTCATGCCTTTGACCATTTCTGTTGCCCATTAGGTGGGCAGCAGTCATCCCTGCCACACAGCTGAGGGAGGGGAGCATCCAAAGAGCTTGATTCAGTGAGAAGCCGATCCTGAAAACAAAATGTAGGTGCCTGAATGAAATGAAGTGCCCCAGCGAGCCATGAGCTGCGCTGGGATGTCTCTGTGCCAGGGCAGAGGAGTGTGAGGGGCTGTGGCAGCCAGGCCAGTGGGTTTCCAGCCAGAAGCGGTGCTTGCGGTCTCCACTCCCACCATCCCTGCTGCAGCGCCTCCGAGCGCTGCTGCTGCCTGCTTATTATGCTGATAATAGAAAATTACAGGTTTTCTGTAGGAAATGTCTATTTACATCCTACATTTCCCAAACTACCTATTAGCATCACTGTGATGTCACATCCTCCTGCGCGTTTTCGTCAGCGCTGGCCCGTCTGCCTGCGGGGAGGGCTGGTGGCGTGGGCCACACGTGGGGACGAGTGACTGCCGCCTGGCACAGCGCTGGCCCGTGCCCTGCGTGTGCTGGGAAGCCCTCAGGGCTGGTGCAGCGATGAGGGTAGTGCCTGTGCTCCATCCCACTGCTGGCTGCTTGGGAAGTGCCTGCTCAGCAGCACAGGAGAGCAGGGGACAGCGATGGGTGTCACCTTGCTCACAGACGGGTGTCACCTTGCTCACAGATGGTGCTTGATGGGGCTGAGCAGAGGGGCCGTGAGGGCCATTCAGGTCAGCCCAGTCAGGGAGCTGCGCTTCCCAGCTCAGCGTTTTGCTCACAGCTGATCCAGAGCTGACAGACTCGTGGGCATTCTGCTGCCTGAGAAACCTTCTGACATGGCTCCCTGCCAAGCGATGAGCGTGGATGCCTGCGCAGAGAATAACATGCGGTGCTTCCCCTGGCCTGTTTGCTCAATACTTTTGCCTGTGGGCCAGCAAAGCTTCGGGGACCCTGAGCTGGAGCATGATTTTAAGAAAACTTTGACTGTGCTGGTAATTTGAGGATGGGGGGGGGAGGATTCATGGGATGACTAATTTCTGCTGTAGCTGCCTGCCCCAGGCTTGCCCAGGGCTGCATGTGCAGAGCAAGTCCCTGCATGAGGCAGCTGTCTTATCTGGGTGCCTCATGTATCTCTCAGCCAAAGAGGCCATCCCATCTCGGAGTGGTGCTTTGGGGATGGACCTTTTTCCCCTTGTTTTGTGCACAAAGACGACAGGAAAGGCTTTGGGAAGGGGCTGCCTGGCCGTGGAGGAGCCGCACACCAGGTGCACCAGCGCATGGCTCATGGGAGAAGCGTTGGGTGTGCAAGGCCAGGAGGCAGGTGGGATGGGGATGTGTGCTTTTCAGGCAGTGGCATAACGTGCGGGCCTTTGGGCAAGATTTATAACCACATCTCTTCTCCAGGTTTATAGTTCCTTGTCACTCTATTAACTCAAACGAGAGATGTTTACATTGCATAAGTAGCTGGAGCAGTGGATAGTAACCTATCAATTTTCATGAGTATTCCCTGGCAAATGCTCATAGGCTGTCTCGCAGGACACTAATACCCAAAGCTCCTGGGGCACAAGACACCCAGGGCTTGCTATATTTCAGGACACTGCAGTTCAACAGCTAATAAAACCACTAGGTCAAGAACTGCGCAGTCAGGTCTCTGTGGAGTCCTGGCATAAAACCAAATTTCTGCTGATGGGTAGCTCCAGAGGAAAGGATGAGCAGGCAGCGAGAGTGGAGGTGAAGGCAGCAGGCTGCCCTAGCGAAGGGCTGCTTTGTCTGCAGGTCACAGGAGGCAGGTCCCACTGGGGACTGGGTTTCAGTGCGGTCTGGCTTGACACTGCTGCTGGGGACACCCATGGAAGCTTCGTCTGGCCTGGGGAGAGGTGTGCAGGGAGACACAGATTTCCTGACTGAAACACACGTGTGCTGCAGCATCCCGCTGTGCTGTAACCGCTCCTGACTCCCTCCCTCTCCTTCTCTCTGCAGTCCATTGATCCGGGGCAGCAGTTCACCTGGGAGAACTCCAACCTGGAAGTGAATAAACCGAAAAACCGCTATGCAAACGTGATTGCCTACGACCATTCACGTGTCATCCTGACCTCCATCGATGGTAAGAGTGACTCTGGAGTGGGCACCCCAGCAAACAGCTGAACTTGGCTGTAGCAGGGGACTGTCTTTTTCCCTGTTGTCAGTCGAGCAGGGTCAAGCGCCAAGAAACATATACAACATCAACACGAGGAAAGGTGTGAGCAAAATGCTGGCAAGAAGAGTGGAAGGGCTCTGCAGAGCTGCCCCTGCTTTCCTGGAGCAGCATGCTCCGTGTGGTTGCTTCTTGCTACTGCTGGTGCCAGCAGAGATGCCTGTCCCAGCAGCCTCCCTTCTCACTGTTGGCCCTGCTGTATGACTTCAGCTGCCTTCCGTGGGACATGGCACTCTTAGCCCTACCACCCTCTGTCCCAGCACGGCTGCAGGGCCCGTATCCTCCTCTGGCACTTGTCAGTGTTTCCTCCCAAACAAGTGCCCAGAGCCGCACAGGATGGGAGGTGTCCCTTCCCCTGGAACATCAGGCTTCACACATCCCTGTGCTCCATGGGAGGTGCGTCAGGCCCTGGTGTTCATAGCACTGACCCCGATGGCTCCAAGAACCAGGCTCACATCTCTGGAGCCTGGGCTAATATGTGCTTTTAGTGCCTGCTTTGCAGTCCCCGTGCACGCAGAGGAGCTGGAGCGCAGGTACCAAAGCGCAGGCTTGCCCCTTCCCACTGTTTATAAATCAGCACCCAGCTCTGCACACCAGAACTGAGCCCGCTCATGGGGGATGAGGAAGATGCAGCTAATTCAATGCACCCCTGCTTGGGGAAGAGGCTGGGGCCTGGCTTTGTGTACAGGTGGCCCTGCAGTCACTAGAGTCCTTTTTCTTGGGATGGAAAATTCTTTTCTAATGCTAATGCACCACTCATCCTCTTCAGGAGGAGGAGGGGGTCCAGGGAGGAAGGGGGGGTCCAAACAGTCCCTGGCAGCAAGGCCTGTTAAGCAGCAGCAGCAGCTATGCAAAGAAAGGGCTGGCGTGCCTGTTCCTGGCCAAACCCTCTTAGACAGCTGTGGGGTGAGTACACGGGGGAATCCCTGTTTTCCAGCCTGACTCACTTGCTGTAAGTAGTGTCTGTGTCTTCCTGGGAACCGTTCCCGAACCACCCTGCCAGGTCCCTGCCACCCATGCCAAGGGAGCCAGGCGCTTCACTCCAGCTGCCGCTGCTCCCCAGGAGCCACCAGCGCTTTGTTTCTGCTGGAGACTGCTGGGGCTGTGGAAAATTCTGCAGGACAAAAGGGCGAGGGGGAGACCCCCAGATTTACTTCCTTCCTCTAATGAAATGCAGATGCACTCTCCTTGGGAGACAAGGAGATTCCTGCTGCTTTCCCCCCTGCAGCCCGGGCAGCCCATGCTGAGCAGGGTTTGGAAACACAGCCCCAGGCCTCTGCTTTGCCTCATTTATTTTAGTAACTGTGTGTTTGCATTTTAAAGGCCTTTACAAGAAAGTCCTTTCCTTAAAGTGGTGGAGGCGAAGTGGGAGTGGAGCAGCCTCTGCCAGCAGGCAGCAGAGAGGGGGTCTCGCACTGAAGAGGGTTTCAGTGGTGGTGGGAAGAAGGGCTCCGGCTCCTCTGGAGTACTCCTCTCTGCAGGAGGGGTGGGAGGACATCCCTGCCTGACATCCCCTGCTAGCAGAGACAATCTAATGAAGCGGCTTCATTTGTAAAAGGTGCTGTAGGACCATAACAAATAGCTGGTGAATTTAAGACAATTATTTCAATCAGTTGCTTGGGGCCAAACGAGCTCCTTAATATTCCTCCCTAGAATTTCCCTTTGTGTGCGGGTGGCAGCTGTCTCTCTGCTTTGGTGCTGCCTGCTTGTTGCATTAATGTGGGAGTTACAAAGGGTTTTTCTTTGTTCAGGCACCATCCCTGTCCTCTGCAGGATCTCTGGGAGAGATTCTGGCATCACCCTGTAAAGGAGACTTGTTAAGAGCCTTGTGGACATGCCATTGTCTTCCCCTGCCTGCAGGGCCAAGCAGAGCGGTAGGCACAGGGTTGTGGCCTGCCCCTGGACTAATGTTTTGTCCTCTTTCTCCACAGGGGTCCCAGGCAGTGATTACATCAATGCCAATTACATTGATGGGTATCGGAAGCAGAACGCCTACATCGCCACACAGGGACCTCTGCCAGAAACTCTCAGTGACTTCTGGAGGATGGTGTGGGAGCAGAGAACAGCAACTATAGTCATGATGACCCGGCTGGAAGAGAAATCCAGGGTACAGTGTGTGCTTCCTCCCTTTTCTGGAGCTGGTGGTGGGGGCAGGAGAGAGGGATGGGAACACTTTACAACATAAGGGCATCCAGGGAAAGGCAAGTCCAGCGGTGTGGCTCACTGCTGCAGGCACCCCAGCAACAAGTGCCCTGTAAGTGTATCCCTGTGGGTCAAAAGGGTGGCAAAACCTCCTGTCTCTGTGCTGCCTGTTAACCCCTGTCTTGCCTGCATGTCTGCATGCCCATCCATTCTTTCTCTCCTCACATCACTCACACCAAAAGGGAGAAAGGAAAGCTCTGAGATGGGGAGTGTTGACAGTCCCTGAAAGCCCGGGGGCTGCATCCCAGAAGCTGAGAAGCTGCAATGGGTAGGTGGTATCAGCAGCATCCTGCCTGACAGGGCCCTGGCATCTCTAGCGATGCAAGGGAATGGCTGACGAGGTCTCATTGCAATAGCAAGACTAATTTGTGCCTTGTCCAATGACAACATGTATAAACGATCGGCTCATACTGCCAAGATTAGATATTCTGATGTAATAAATGCAAAGCTGCCTGCAAACCGTGGGGAAGGCGTGATGTGAAGAGGAAGGAACAGGAGCCCTCGCTGCGGATGATGCTTGTGGCGTCTCATGACAGAGGTTCTCACTCAGCCCCTGAAGGAGGAGTTAGTAAGCTGTGACCGAAGTGCTCCCGTGCCCAGATACACCCTTCAGGCAAAACCTGCCCAAGCAAGGAGGCAGCTTCTGCCTCTCGTGATTCAATTTGTTCCTAAAAGTAAAATTTTAGCGGTGAGCATTTGTACTTGCAGAATATTTTAGTGTTGCCATGCCAACGGCAGGAGAAGGGGCTGTGCGCTCAAGCTGTGAAGCACTGGTTATTTTTAGCCCAATAAGCTCGTTCTTAAGAAGCAGAAACTGTCAAGTTTGGGCTTAGTTAGAACTTTTGCCCGCATACTGTCCCTCTGTTTCAAAGCTTTAGCACCAAAATGCTCGCAGGGGTGTCCTAACCCACGCTGGCTGGGAGGAAGCAGCTGGAACAACCGATCACCGTGGCAAAACAGATCTGCTTTTCCTGCATATACAAAAATAGGCTTTGTTCATGGGCTTCCCCGGCTCTACAAATGCCCTACAGCCTCTAGGGAAAAATAGTGTTCCTCAGAGATGAGCTGCCTCTATCCAACCCCAGCTTTGCACTGTGCTTCCTGCTGCACAGCCCTACCTCCTCTGTCCCATGGCCACCGTCACCCACCCCAGCCCAATCAGGGAGGTAAATTAATCTGACCTGTCCTGTATCTCAGGGCTTGGCACATGGGCTAAGCAAGATCAGAGGCTGCTGAGCAACTGCTCTCTGCAGGTGCGGGTCATATGGGGACTTCTTTGTGCCTTCACATTTCAATGATGGAGCATATATTTGAAGTATGAGGAAAAGCCCTTTTAGGTTGCCAAGTAAATCCATGCCTGGAGTCCTGACTCACTTAACTTCTGGGCTGCTTAGTTATGGGAAGACACTCCAAGGTGCGTGTTTCCTGAAGATAATGGGTTTCCTTTGACCCCACAGGCATTTGTCTTTGCTTGAGACGCCTGTGCTGCTGCTCCGCGCGTTATCTCCCCCCAGCACGCTCCCTGTCATGTCATCCTGCACTTACCTCCTGCAGTATTGGTTTCTGTCCCAAACGTGGTGTGTGTAGTCAAGCTTGTGGTGACGGGAACAGCACTCTGAATCCCTGTCATGGGCAAGGGGTGACCAGAGCCCTCTCAGAAGCTGCAGGCAGCCTGCCTGACCGGGCATGCTGCCCAGGGGCTCTAGGCTGACCCGACGGGAGCCAGACCCCAGCATTCACTCCCCAACGCTGCCTGCCCATGCCCTGCTGGCTCTTTGGCACATCCCCAGCACTAATGAGAAGAGGGCAGTTTTCTCAGGCACTGTAGGAGAGGCAGGTTGCCAGGGGAGGCAGTGAGGAAGCCCGACCACTCCTGAGTCAAACCATCCCTGCACAGCAAGGGCTTCCCTGGACATGTTTGCTGGACCGTGTAGGTGCCCCAGGGCACCCACTCACAGGAGGGGCCTGGTAGGGAGTTGGGGTGTGGACTTGCAGATTATTTTCTCTGGCCTTTTTTTGTTGGCTTCTCCAGCATCTTCCAAGGCAGGATGGCTTTCAACCACCTTCCTGCTCTGCTCTTTCCCGTGCCCCTTTGGTGATGGCTAGAGCTTACTCAGGAGCACACCTTTTTGGGACCAAGGAAGGTCCCATTCACTGCCCATCTCTCCCAGCTTTCAGCGGAAATCACTGTTTTACAGTTTAGTCCACTCCAGAGCCCTCAGATCACATCTGATGCAACCCCTTGGGTTCCTGCAGCATTGATCCTTGCTGGTGTTCACACTGCTGTGGGACAGCACTGCTCCAGGCAGACACGTGGCGTCATAGCAATACCCATGGGTGACCTTGCTTGGAAGTCCCCTTGCCCGAGGGCTTTGGCACAGGCACAGCACTGTCCAGCTGTGGAGCCTGGGGTGGGCAGCAGGGCCTCGTGGCAAGATGCTCAGTGCAGAGCAGGCTCTGCTGCCTTCCCACGCGAGCTCCCCAGTTCCCCTTGGCAATGCTATGTGTAGATAAGCCAACCAGGACTAGCAGCAGCTTTGCAGCACTGTAGGGGTGACACTGCTTTAAAGGGCTCCTGAGCTGCAGGGGGAGAAAAAAAATCTTTAAAGAGCATCAGCTTTTATGGTCTGCAATTTCAGCTGGCTTGATGGTCCAAATCATCCTCCCTTTTTCATGTTTTCACAAAGCGAGAGGCACATAAAGGATAGAAATGGCTGGATTGTGCAATTTAGCTGCCTTCAAAGCTTTACAATCAGTTTCAGAATCATTTAGTGGCAGTTCAGAAACACACATTGTAGATTAGCTTTCCCAAATCTGCGAGCGTGGCGTGTCCCAGCCGGGGTATGTTGCACGAGAGAGGTATTAAAACAGGATTTCTCCTACCCTGGGCTCTCCCCAAAGGCCTGGAAGAGTGAGGTCTCCCAGAACAGCGTGGTGGCTTGTTCTGTCCCAGCCCAGAGCACCAAGCAGCCATCCTTGGGGTGTGATCTCCCCTGGCACTTAATGTCCCCAGGCAGGGGTGCAAAGAGGCTGGTGCCAAGGGCTCTGGGGAAGAAGGGCCTGGCAGCCCCCAGTCCCGCTCCAGCTCTCTCGCTGGCAGTGATGCCATCTGGAGCTTGCGAGCAGGGCTGGGAGCAGAGCACAGCTCTCAAGTTGAGGAGAGGTGCCCGGCTGCTCTTGGGCACAGGGCATCAAAGGGGAGGGACAGGAACCACTCAGCAAAGCTGCAGTAAATGGCTGTTCAGGACATTAGTGTGCTCCTTAAGTTAATGAGAAGCAAGCACTGCCAGAAGAAAACATCTCTTATCTGCTTTAGTGCCACAGTGCATCGGCTTCAGCATAAAATTTACAGAGCTTGAAAATGGGGCATAAACATTATGGGTAAATTTGGCAGAAAATGTGACTGACTCTTATCTGGTCATGAATAAATAATTTTCAATTACCAGCCCAGGCGCTGCTATTATCCCGCACAGGGAACTCCTCTGAAGTTTGTTTTGAGCTCGAGCACACACAGCCCTGTGGCGTGTGGGTGGCAGGAGGGGACGGCTGTCCCTGGGGTGCAGGCTGAGGCACGGGGACATGCTGTGCTGCTCCCCTGCAAACCACACTGACGGTGACACAGCAAGCAGCTGTCCTCAGCGTTCTCAGTGTGCCCTTCTGCCCTCCCCTCACCTCCTTTGGAGAAGGGTCACATCATCCCCCAGCCAGCCAAGGCAAACTCAGGTTTGGAGTTGCAGCTGGAGATGCAGATGCAGCTACTGCCCACTTGTGAGGATGGGGACCAGTTCAGCTGTGAAATAAGGTTTGTGACCTCCAAGTTGTTCGCTCTGCAGCTGCTCGGTGTAAAATAACAGGCTGCTCTGTGCCCAGCGAGGAAGAGAAGTCTTCTGAGGTGCAGGACCTGCCACGCTGGGAGCACAGCCCCAAGGCAGCGCAGGGGACCCTGGGCAGGAGGCAGTGGAGCTGCCCTGGTTGTGCAGGTGCCTGCAGTACCCATCAGGCAGCCTCGCACCAGGCACTTCTGCCAGGGCAGGGCTTACTGAGAGCACACCCCAAAAGAGCAGGGACAGATGCATCCCTCTGACCCCAGGTTGCCGCGCTCCAGCAGCCAGAGTGCAGGATGAGAGCTCTTAGCTCTCATAAGCCCCACCCTGCTTAAAGTGCCTTCAATTAAAAGGCAGAACTTCATTGATTTCTAATTAAGCCTGTTGTTTCCCTTCCCACACATTCCCCTGTAAACACGCTCGGCTAATAATTAAGTTTACTATTCCTTGACAAGCACAGATGATCTTCCATTCACTCCTCTCTCCTAGGGCGGGAAACCATTTTCAGTGCAGTGCACATGGGTGAGAATGAAGTCTTCCTCCTGTCAGCCAGGCACTGCGGGAGCCGGGTGCCAGATGAAATAAGGATGCTCAAGGTGCCAAATTAAATAGGGAGCTTGGGGCTGGAGAAAACAAAACCGGAGGAGTAGTTTGCAAACACTGAGCTGTGAATAGGAGGAGGAGGAGGGCATCAGCAGATGAGCAGGGAGGGATGCACAGAGAGATGAAGGGGGCAGAGGGATGGGGCCCTGGGGATGTGTTAGGACTCTCTGCCAAGTGGGCTGCAGCAGGAGCTGTGGCCAGTAGCTCAAAGTGTTCTGGCTGTGGAGCTGGGAGGGGGGAGATAAATGATGCTGCAGGGCAGGGGGTCTCTAGGGAGTAGTGGTGTTTTCGTGATGGGACAGTGCTACCTGCAGAAAGGAGCTGAAGGGATGGTTTGGCCACAGTCTGTGTCTTCTCACAGAGGGAGAACAAGTTGTGTCTGTGTCTGAGCTGGCATCTGTGCCTTGCTACGGAGCAGTTTTTGAAACACCTGGGAGATGTAGATTTGCAGGGATGTGCCACCTGTCAGAAGGGCAGGTCAGCGTCTCTCCGGGATGCTCAATGCACTTGAGCCTACAACAGTTGCAGAAAGGATGGCAGGGTCAGCCCTGTGGATACAGCATCCAGGCTGGAGGCCTGATGTGGGCTGTGTCCCATCTTTCACCAGGGGGGTTTGTGGCCTGGGGGCCACGCTGGCAGGAGCGCCCTGGGGACTACAGGTGTTATGGGAAAAGGTAGTGCCTGTTGTATTGTGTACCATGCTGGACTGTGTCCTGTCTCAGCTTAGTGTCTCCAGGTGGAGGACTTTGGGCTGGGATAGCAGAGAGCTGGTGGGGATACAGGCTGCATCCCCCTGACTTCGCCTGCCCTTCAAGCAGAGCCTTCCCCAGAGAAACCACTGCTTCCCCTGCCCTGCTTCACCAGCTCTCCTCCCACCAACCTGCACCAGCTGACCTTCTCTCCATCCAGGGGGGAGCTCAGGCAGGGGGATGCTGAAAGCACAGCCCCAAAGATCCCCATCTTCCCAAACAGGAGACAGAGAAGAAAAATTACAGCAGGCATAAATTACTTCTGGCAACTGCTGCAAACTGTCTTTGTACCTGGTGCTGCTCTTGCTGCTGTCTGGTGGCCTGGCCCCCTTCGTTGCTCCCCACCAGTGGTTCCAGAAAAAAAAAAAGAAATCCCTCTTTGAATATGAATCTTGTGGAAAGGAATCCAGGGTGTGCTGCCTTTCTGCTGAGGATTGCCCCCCCTGCACAGTGACTCTTCTCTGTCTCTAACTTTTGAAGGGCAGAGCCCTGTTCCTCACCCCAAATATCCCAACCAGCAGCCAAGCACTAACCTTTTCTCCTCCTTTCTCCACAGGTGAAATGTGACCAGTACTGGCCAAGCCGGGGTACAGAAACCTATGGGATGATCCAGGTGACCCTGCTGGACACAGTTGAGCTGGCAACCTACACCGTCCGCACCTTTGCACTGTACAAGGTATGGCGCTGGCTGGGCTTTTCCTGCTCCAGGAAATGCAGAGCAGCTCCCCAATGCTGCAGGCTACTGCAGCTGTGCCTGGCTTAGCCAAGCATGCGGCTAGTCCACACATGGGCCATTTCTCACAGCTGGGCTGCAGTGGGAGACTGGCTGCAGGTTGTGCATCAGGCCACCCCTGGATTTTGGCCGGGACACCTGATGCTCCCCTGTGTGCATTCAAACCCTGTGGTGGGCCCTGAAGTGCTTGCCTCTGACGAGCCTACATGTAGCAGCTGTCCTCCCATTAGAGGACAACATGGGAAGCAGTGAATTCTTAGCACTCCTGTCACTAATAATGCAAATGGAGGGGCCGTGCTGACATGTGCGCAAGCCCTTCTCTCCTGCCTGCTGCGTACCTCATTAGTGTTAGGAAATCCCTGGGGGCAGTGCTAGCAGCAGCAGTGCAAACAGGCTTTGCAGCCGCTGCCTCTGTATGTGACTGAGTCTGGGCCACACCGGCAGAGAGCACAGCAGTGTGCCATGGGGACACGCTCACGCCCCGGGAAGGCATCTGGCCCCCAGCAGCCACCCAGCCAGTCCTGCAGGGTTGCTGTGTAGATCACTCAGCCAAGCTGAGACAGGAGCAGGGCAGGCTTTGCAGCCATGGGCTGATCAGCCATCCCAGAGAGACCCACGATGCGGAGGAGCAGGGAGGGCACTGGCTGCCATGGCCCTTTCATGCCCGGTGCCTGTTTTTCCCTGAAGGTGCAGTGAGTAGTGACCCCATGCTGTGCACAAAGGAGTTTTACACCTTCCCTTCAGCCTGCTGCGCTCCCACAGAGCTGCTCCACTCTCTGTATCAGCTGCCTTTCCATAGAGCATCTATGTCTACATAGGTAGGCATAGAAGCATTGCAAGCCTTGCAAGAAGCCCACATTTTGCCTCCAAATTTACAGTGGCAAAAGCCCAGTACATGCATGATCACACACAGCATTACGATTCTGTTGCTGCCCAGCCAGCTGGGTACCTTGTTACCCCATCAGTGGGTTCCTGTCCTAGGACGAGACTGTTCTGATCCAAAACAACTCCTCCTTCTCTTTGACAGAATGGCTCCAGTGAGAAGCGAGAGCTACGGCAGTTCCAGTTCATGGCTTGGCCCGATCACGGGGTACCAGAATACCCCACCCCCATACTAGCTTTCTTGCGACGGGTCAAGGCCTGCAACCCACCGGATGCTGGGCCCATGGTTGTCCATTGCAGGTAGGACTGCGTGTTTGTGAAGCTGCTCCTGGCTGCAGGAGCTTTAACTTGTGCAGCTAAAAGTGGGGTGTCCTGCTGCTGCGGGGGAAGGTTTCACAGTAGCATAACCTGTCCTGCTCTGCTTGAGCTGGGAACAGGACAGCACCCAGCAGCAGGAACGCACTGGTGACATTTGTATTGCTACTGCTCTGTCAGATTAAATAGCACTGCTGTATGGAGAGCCCCAGAAAACACTTCTTCCTGCAAAACTGCAATTACCATTTAAAAATGAAGTGATCTGTGCCAGCATAAGTAGATGATACCTTTCAGAGGCACATCATTGACAGATGCGCATGCAGTGACCTCTACGAACAATCATACATAGTATTTACAGTAGAACTCTTCCGTGGGGTAGAAAGGCAGATCTTTAAGCAAAATATTAGCCTACTAAGGCTCAGCATCCTATCCAGGCAAGATTTATCTATACCAGCCAAGTGGGGACTATTACTGAGCAAACCACTCCATCATTGCTGTTCCAGCATACGCCTTACCAGCAGTGTTTAATGCTCTTCTTTCATGCTCTGTTTCAGATGGGAGTGGGGTATAATTAACACACAAACAAGCTGTATTAAAGCCCTGTTAAGAATCTGACTTGCACCATAAATGAGGAAATGTCTAGCTCCCTATCTCTGCCTGTGTTTACATGTCACGACAGCATGTCTGTTGTTTTTGGGGTGCTCTCAGGGTGAGTAGTTTGGGCATTGCTACTGCCCTTCCAACAGTGGAGGTGCATTCCGTGCTTGAGCAAAGGGCTGAGCAGAGATGTGTATGATCTCACCTTTCTGCCTTCCCCTCTCGGGCTGTCTGTCCTCATTTTATGGGTTAGGAAACGGTGACCAAGGTTAAAAGGACAAGCAGGCTTGAAATTATGAGCTTCACTGGTGCCAGGGCCCAGCCTAAGCTTCAGGTGTTCTGACTTCATGCACACGTACGTTGACACGCTCCTGCCCGGTAAACGCATTTCTCCTTCCCTTGTGGAGGTGCTGCCAGCCTCATCAGGGACCAGCAAAGTGACACCATGTCCTTCTCACTCCATCGGTGCAAGGGGGACAGCAGAAGGGCTGAGTAGCCTCCCACATTCTCCAGTGCCTCCCTCCCTCATTCCTCCTGTCACCTCTTGTTTGGGGCTCAGTTCATTAGCCCTCAGTGTGGGGAGAAGCCTTTACTCCACTTCTGTGTGCTCCAGGTTCCGGTGCTTTCTTAAGCAAGAGTAGAGCTTGTGTGGCATCTGTAGCAGACAGCATCATCTCAGGCCACGTGCTTTGTTCCCTCAGTGCCGGTGTGGGCCGAACTGGTTGCTTCATTGTCATTGATGCCATGCTGGAGCGGATGAAGCATGAGAAGACCGTGGACATCTACGGCCACGTGACGTGCATGCGCTCTCAGCGCAACTACATGGTGCAGACAGAGGACCAGTACATCTTCATCCACGAGGCCTTGCTGGAGGCAGCCACATGTGGCAATACCGAGGTGCCTGCACGCAACCTCTTTGCTCACATCCAGAAGCTGACCCAGGTGCCACCAGGCGAGAGCGTTACTGCAATGGAGCTGGAATTCAAGGTTGGTGGCAGAGCCCCAGCAGCCCCTTCCCCAGCTCCCTGTCTCTGCCCACGCAGCCCCACCGGGCCACTTGTCCAGGGGTTGGGAGAGGTAGAGGCGTGGATCATTACAGACAGTTATTCTTTTGTGTGTCTCTAAACCAGGTAGGCAGTGATTTAAAATACATTTGAATTGTAAAGCTTGTGTCGGCCATGGTCCCCCCTGGATTGGCAGCTTCTGGGGAGGATATAAAAGGCAGATGGATGCGCAGTTCTCAGCAGCACGTTCTGCTCTAGGTTCACTGTGCGGCGGGAGCTGCATCTAAAATCAGATGCAGATCGTGTTAGTGATAATTGATGTTACTGTGAACAACTTGTCTGGAAACGGCTCCAATTTAAATATGTGAGACGTTTATAGTCTCATTTCTTCAATGCTGAGCTCAGTTATCTTTTAACCGCCTCAACACCAAGCCGTGGTGTCTAGAATGGGTGAAGGCAGTGTTTTGAGGCACATTGTTTTTAAGAAGCCAAGCCCACATTTTGCTATCCATATCCGTGAATGCCAACTGCAGGTATTTATTACAGCCTTGGAGATGGAAGTGAGCTCTGGCAAGCGCCCGTATTCTCAGATGAGATGCATTAGTCCAGTGGACACATGCAGGGGAATATAGCTCATGCAGGGAGGCAGCAGACCATGCGGGCTGTGAAATGAACACAGCGTCGCCTGGGGATTCCCTCCAAGTGACAAAGGAGCAGGAGAGGCAAAATATTGACTTTCTGCCTAATAGCTGAGCAGCTATGTCCCATGGTTACCAGAGCTGCTGGTGTCCTGGGCTCGGGACAGTAGAACATGCTGCATTAGTATTTCATGGTGATACCTGCCCTGAGAAACCTCTCAAGAGAGCCACAGAATTAGGCTCAACTCTAGCAACTCTATTGTGAGAAAGACAAAAATTTGCTGTTCGTCCAAGGGTCTCTTTAGAACGGTAATAAAACTTGCCCCTCTCTGTGCCCTGGCAGTGTCCACTGTGTGGGAAATGCTGGGGAGCAGGGTATGGGAGGGCCTCACATGGCTGCATCACTCCCCAAAAAGCAACCCTGTCCTTCTGCAGGGTGTCTCTGCCAAGGACTGGCTGCCACACATAGAGAGAAGGGTGGCTCTGGAGATGCCAGGGGAAGGGAAAAAAGAAGAAAAGAAAAAGGGAAAAAAATAAATAAAAAGAAAAAAATAAAAAGAAGAATTTCTGTTTGCATATCTCTGCCAGCAGATCTAAGTAACACATTTACCATGACTCCAGTTTACAGGGCTCAAAGAGAACCATAAAATGTCTCACAGTAACCCAAAATAGATCTTCTTTACCTAAAACTGTCACAATTCTCACTTTTTTTTTTTTTGGGTTCTTCTGGGGTGAGAAGTAAATAGTAAGACGTTGTTGGGAGATGGAAAGCTTTCCTTCCCTGACACCACCAGGCACATGTTCCTGGTTCAGCCCAGTACAAAGCTTCGTGTCCTGGCCCTTTGTGGGTCATAGAGCTGCTGTGGGTCCCCACTCCTCTATGTGTGGCTTTGGGGCTGTGCCAGCGGGTCAGTGCAGGTGGTTCCCCTGCTGTCACCTACAGCCACACACCAAAAGCCAGCTGCCTCTTCATAACGTGGTGGCAGAGCCTTTTGTCCACTCTGGAAAGACCTGGTCCCCAGTGGCTGTCCCTCAGCCAGAGGAGGGAAGGTGGCTGTGCGCCCAGAGGGACTCCTGCCTGCCCTGCCGCCAGGGTCCCGATTTTGCCCCCAGATTGCTGCATCCCCAGCAGGGGTCTGACGCGTCTCCTCCTCTTTCAGCTGCTGGCCAACTCTAAAGCACATACCTCACGATTCATCAGTGCCAACCTCCCGTGCAACAAATTCAAGAACCGCCTCGTGAACATCATGCCATATGAGCTGACAAGAGTCTGTCTGCAGCCCATCCGGGGTGTCGAGGGCTCCGATTACATCAATGCCAGCTTCATAGATGGGTACAGGTAAGGGCCACCTGAGGTGCCTGGGCCAGCCTGTCCTGCCCGATCGGGAACCTGGGCAGAACCGCCTTCTCTTTCCCAAGGACTGGTCCTGAGCTGCCTAGAGGTGGGCTGGGGATCACTTTGTTGCATTTTATCTATTTCCATCTTCTCAGTCGCTGCAGTGTGTGTAGTTACAGTGTGTGAAGACTGCTAGCGAGTGAGCGCTGCCAGGAGGGCTTGTATTGCTGTAGACAGATGCCCACGTGGCTGGGGTGGGAGGCTGTCCTGGCTCCTGCGGAGGTTTGGAGGATCCTGTGGCTTGTGTTTTATATCTGCAGCACCTAACACCAACCTGCCCCACCTCACTAGCTGTAGCAATCAGAGGCAGAAGTGTGCTTGCACTGCATGGCTGGTCCAGGCAGCAGCCCAAGGCTCATGGTCCTATGTCTTGAGTTTGGGGGACATCTGTGAATCCTCACACAGGGTTGGTACTGGACACTGGAGAGCCTGTCACTGGGTTCTACTTCCCAGTATACCTTTTAGAAAGCACAAATTAAGATCTAGTGGGGCAATAGTACTTATGGTTTCTGTATCTAACTGCTGGCATGACATTCTGTGATGGTAAGTGCCAGGAGAGGAGAATGCAGGGAAACAGCCCAGTGGCCACATCTTTTTTCCAGCCAATCCCTGGACAATAATCCAGACCAAATCCCAACAGCAGACATCCAGGGCTCATTACTGTCATCTCTCTGTGCACCATTGCAGTAGGGTCACCCAGTGCAGAAGCAGGGGATACAACAATGGAAGTGGCACACTCCCTCTCCAGCTTGGCTCTGCCCAAATGCTTCTTATGGGCTGGTGACCTCCCAGAAGCAACAGGCACTGCCAAAGGGAACAGATGTTAGTGCAGCCAGGCCAGCAGCCCTGTGCCTCCATTCCTGCTCCAGCAGCTGAGTCCAGGAAGGGTTCCCAGGGGGAAGGGCTATGTGGATGCAAGAGTGGCCAGGGAACAGAAGAGGAGTAACCCTGGGAGCATCCCAACACAGCAAAACCACAGCGAGCCAGGCTTCCTCAGGGTGGGACGGAGCAATGGTCAAGGATGGAGAAAAGCTGTCACGGAACAGCCTCTGCTCCCTCCTGCCTGTGTGGCTCCAGGCCATCCAGCACGGTGTCACTATGGTGGCTGCCTGCCTGCCCACCCCAGTGTCTGACAGGCGGGCTGCAGCCACAGCGCTGGCTCCAGAGCTGATTAAGAAGGATGCTGGTTTTGCCCCTTGGTGGTGCAACAGAGGGAGGGCTGCCAGCATGGCAGGTGGTACCATTTCATGTGCTGTACCATTTCATGTGCTACCTACCCCATCCCTGAAGAGTGCTGTTATCTCTTCCTGTCCTTTCCTTTGAACCGAGCAATCTTCTTGGTATTATCTAGAGATCAGTTGGCCCAAGGTCCTGCAGACATCACTGATGCTGCATCTTTATTAGATTTTTTGTTTCGTTCTGCGCCCCTACTCCCTGCTTTTTATGATGCCTTATAAATCCACTTTGAAGCAGCCCCTGTCTTCATCCCGCACATTACATCTGTCCTGCAGCACGTTCATTAATTTTTAGCACCAGCAGAGATGAAATGCCGGACGGGAGCTGCCACCCTCATCCTGCGGGCTCCGGCGCCCCGCTGTGGTGAAGGGAGGCTGTGTCTCGGCCACCCGTGCAGCCTCAGACCCGTCCCTCGCAGGTGGCACCAGTGTGCCAGGCTTGGTGCTGGGCGAGCCAAACAGCCAACACGCTGGAGCTGGCCCTTCTCAGAGTCCAGAGCACCAAGGGTGCTTTCTTCAGGGTGGGTGCCGGGCTGGGGCAAAGCCAGGCTGGTGTGTGCTTTCACACAGGACGTTTTGGGAGATGCTCTTGTTTGTAGTGGAACCGAGGAGGACAAATTTGGGAGCTTCAGAGAAGCTGGCAACACGGTATTGGTGGTTACCACACTGCCCTAGTTATTAGCTGGCGTGTGTGATTCAGGTGACCTGATCCACTTGCTCTGTCTCTGTATGCAACAGGAGGGACAGTGGGTGCTGCACAGTGTAAAAGTGGTGCTGCTGGGCTTGTCCCCAGGCACAGCCTCTCCTCCCAGCCCGGGTGGGTGCTGGCAGCAGGCTCACATCGGCTGGGTGCCCAGAAGGCTCTCGGTGCAGCAGCGCTAGGGACAAGTAGCAGGGAGAGGCTGGGCTGGGGACACTGTCACCCCAGCAAGGACTAGCAGCCTTGATGGATCCTCCATGTGTGGGGAGCATTTAGAAGATATGCGCTGGGCAGGCTTATCCCTGCCCCTGAGTCCATGGCTAGTCCTAGAGACCTGTCTGCTGCAGCTGCACCATCAGTCCTGCTGCACAGGGTCCCTGCCTCCAGCCCTCCCGGCCCACCAGCCCCCCGAAGCAGCTGCTGTCCACCTCCCAGGAGCTACTCTGAGCACCGTTATGTTTGTCGCAGGCAGCAGAAGGCCTACATCGCCACGCAGGGACCACTGGCTGAGACCACAGAGGATTTCTGGCGGATGCTCTGGGAGCACAACTCCACCATCGTGGTGATGTTGACAAAGCTGCGCGAGATGGGCCGGGTACGAATCGTGCTCAGAGAAAAAGGGGGCTGTGTGGGTGCTGTCTGTAGGCACAACCTCTTGGTTCACCCCAGTCTGTCCCCAGCACCAGCCGCTGTGGGCCAGCCTCCTGTTGGGGTGTCTCTGGCTGACCCTGTGGCCCCAGAGCCACGTGTTCTCCCAGGGAGCGGGAGGGAGGAGCAGCAGCTTGTTGGTGTTAATGTCTCACTGTGCTCCTCATCCACAGGAGAAGTGCCATCAGTACTGGCCGGCGGAGCGCTCTGCCCGGTACCAGTACTTTGTGGTGGACCCCATGGCAGAGTACAACATGCCACAGTACATCCTCCGGGAGTTCAAGGTGACGGATGCCAGGGTAAGTGCAACTGCTGGCTCCCCAGCTCCCCTGCCTCCTGTGCCTCTGCCCCACTGCTGCCCTGCCCAGCCAGCGAAGGGAGTGTGCAGCAGCCTCTGCAGGAACCAGAAAGCAAGGTGCTGCCTTGCACCACAGGCAGAACAGGCTGCTGCCCCTCACCTGCTGCTCCTGTCACCACAAATTCTTCCTTGCCCGCTGTGTCAGCCCTGGTGAGCAGGTCAGCGATCCCTGACAGCACCAGACCCTGCCTTGCCCGTGCTGTGCACTTGGGCAAGCATTTAACATGGGATCCCCTGCACCTGGGGTCTCTGTGTGCAGGGTCTGATGGGCACACAGCCCCTGTGTGACAGTAAATGTGATCCTGCAGTGGAACTGGGCACCAAATAGGACCAGGGCACTGACCCAACAGACCCTGCAGGTGACCAAAGTCCTGCTCAGCTCAGCTGAGCAGGGGTGAACATGGGAGAGCAGAGACAGACCCCAAATGCTCAGTGAAAGATCTACCTGGGCTTATCCATGGCCTGTGCATCCTCTCACCTGGCCTGGGGCAGGGCTGTCTGAGAGCAGGTCAGCAGCACCAGCACTGAGGGGAGCGAGATCAGCCCCTCTTACTGTCTGCTCACTCACAGTTCACGTCTAACACCCCTGTCCCTGCAGGACGGCCAGTCACGGACCATCCGCCAGTTCCAGTTCACAGACTGGCCTGAGCAGGGAGTGCCAAAGACAGGAGAGGGCTTCATCGACTTCATCGGGCAGGTGCACAAGACCAAGGAGCAGTTTGGGCAGGATGGGCCCATCACGGTGCACTGCAGGTGAGTGGGGACAGACAAGCATCCACCTCTGCCTTCATCAGCCCTCAGAGATGTCCCCTGCCTCACTTACCCTGGCAGCTGCCAGCTCCCCTGCACTTGGTGCCCCTCCTGCATCCCCCTGGCAAGAGGCAGGCAAGGGATGAGGAGGTGGCAACATCCATGGGTGCCATTGGCAGCCTTTCTGCCAGGTGATTAGATTGACCCAGTGCCCTGGTGGTACTGATCTGTAGCATCTTGGAAGAGTCCTTGTACAGAAGAGGGTGCCACAGAGGCCCAGAGACAAGGCAGAGTCAGTGGGCCCCCATGGGGCTGAAAGGGCGTTGGGTGACAGTGTGCCTGTGGTTTCTCCTGGATCCACTGAGCACGTCCCCATGCTCCGTGAGCTTGCATCGCCCCTAGGAGCTCTGCAGAGCCTCACTGGGGCTGGCGGGTTTCTAACAGCACCTCTTGCTCCCTCTGCACAGTGCTGGGGTCGGGCGCACAGGTGTGTTTATCACGCTCAGCATTGTGCTGGAGAGGATGCGCTACGAGGGGGTGGTGGACATGTTCCAGACGGTGAAGACCTTGCGGACGCAACGGCCAGCCATGGTGCAGACAGAGGTGAGTGTCCCCTCCTCCCCAGGGTGGTGGGGGATCTGTGGGAGCAGGGATGGGAGGCATCGTCTCTAGACGTGCAAATCTGCTGCCCAGTGTCCTTGGGTCCCCATTTCTCATGCTTCTCCCCTTGCTGCCTTGCAGGACCAGTACCAGCTGTGCTACAGAGCGGCACTGGAGTATCTCGGCAGCTTCGACCACTATGCAACGTAACTAGTGCTTTCCTCCAGTCGCGGTGGGGATGTCTAGGAGTGGAGACGGGTCCCTCTGAGCCAGAGCCGCCCATTCCTCAGTCCTTCTGTACAGATGGAGGTGCTGCCCAGGCAGCAGACCTCCACGCCAACCAGTTCTGACCACGGCATTTAGGATCTTCGCCCCAGCGCCAAACGAGGGAATCCGACTCCAAAAGCATTTCCAGTCTCTGGCTGAATTTCTGCTCATGTGCATCTCTCGCCCTCTCTCACGCGACTGCATTTCACAGCGAGGCTTTAGGTGGGTGGAATGGGATCTTTTTTTTAAACATGTAAAATAGTTACTAGTGGTTTTTATAATCTCCTCTCTCTTTTATTTTTTATTTTTTGCAAGTCTTAATGTTTTGCCCAGGCAGAACTGGATCCGCCAAACCTTTGGGAGTTGGGTTTTTATTTTAAATTTCCTTTTGCTTTTACATTTTTTACTGCCCTGTGTTTATTTCAGCCCAGTCACTGCTGGTTCTGCCCATTTTAGTGCAGCTTCCTTGGTAATTCGCAGCAGCTGGCTTGTGGTTCCTGCCCGGCTCCATTCCCCGTAGGCTGCTTTTTAATCCTCTGTAGAATATGAAATTTCATGGAACTGGACCTAAACTACCAATTATTTTTTTAGCCTTTCCCTCCCCCCCATTATTTCCTGAGTAGGTTTGAGTTTGGGAGGGCATGTGGGGTCGCCGGGGAAGCGGTCCCCTTTGTCAGCTGGAAACCGTTCAGTCCTATTGCGATGCGTGTTCAACCAATGCAGTGACCGTGTGTATTGGCAGATCCCGACATGACGTTGAGTTGTCGTCGCCTTGTTTGTGAGAGACCCGAAATCCCGGGCTCCGGGCTTTGGAGCCTCTTTTTGTGTGTCTCGCTGGGAAGGGGGGCGGGAGAAGCGAGCGGGTCCCACACTTCCCCGGGGAGGGGATGGAAAGAGCGAGACACGGCCCTTTTTGTTCATCCCGCGGTTCTGTGCGTGCAAGCACCATTCTGTCACCTCTCACCAGTGATCAGAGCGTTTACCAAGGCAAGGAGCACAAGCCCAGCCGTCCCCCGAGCGGAGCCGGGCAGGCTCCCTTTGGAAAGCAGGGTACTGCAGGGAAGGGGAGGGGAGTACACATGGCTTCAGAGGTTGGGTGTATCTATAATTTCTGCTATCCTGCAAATGTTAAAAGTCACTAGAATATTGTACTTTCCGCTACTTCAGGACGTTCTAATGAACCAATGTGGCAAGACTACTGGACTTAATTTAATGGTACTATATATTAATACTCCTTATTATATCACGCTTGCACTAAAGACAGGGAGTGAGCAGCCCTCTTTTGAGTGCATTGAGTTATGAATAAAGGTGGTGGAAGGGTATCTAATTGTATTATCACATGTATTCCGAATGTTAAGAATCCAAGCTACGTTGAAATCAGCAATCCAGGGTTGGTAATGTTGGAGGACACATTCATTTTTACCTTGTGGATGCATAGTGCTGTAGGGGTCACTGTTGTATACAGTCTGTTTTCTATTTGTTAATAAAAAAAAAATCTACAGCATCATTGCATAATTCTTGATGTTAATAAATTTGAATAATCGGGTTTCATACAAGCTGGTTTTGCTGTCTGTTTCTTCAGCAATAAGCAGAGGCCACAGAGTCCCTCGGAGATGAGTGTGCTCCCCAGCCTCTTGCCAGAGAAGTCCTTTCCCATGGCCACATCCCAGCCACAATGCCCTACACTTCCCACAGGGACCCTGTGCCGGGAGGGAGCTTGGAGACCCTCTGAAACAACCCTCTTTATGCATGTGCATGCTCAACCTCCTGCCTACCTGCAGTGAGTCCTTGGCCCTTGGCACCTCCAGGAATGGCTCCTGCCAAGCCTGTCTTTGCAGCCATGGCCCTCTCTGCATTCCCTCCACTTCCCAAAGGATGGATCATTCCCAGCAGGAGGAAGGCAGTAGCCACTTCTGCCCAGGCCATGCTCTGCACAAGCTGTCCCGGTGGTGGCTGGGGCCTGAGACCTGCCCTCCCCACCCACCCTACTGCCAGCTACTAATCCTCGGAGAACCCCAGGATGTAGCAGGATGCGGCCATGGGGTGATGCTGAGCTTTGCTGGAAGCACGTTTACGTGCATCCCCTTCCCTGCCAGCGAGCTGGCTGCAGCACCAGGCTGGAGTCGGCCTGTGGGTTGCAGAAAAGAGAGGGGTGGGTGTCGGTGGGTTTTGTGCCAGTCTCAGTCCTGAGCTCTGCCGCTGTTCTGCAGCCCTGAGCAGGGCTGTGTACGGGAGGTTACTGCTCAGCAGTAGAACCCTCTCCTGGCCCCTGACTGCAGAGCAGCACCCGGGTACGTCGGGGTGTGAAACCCCCGCTAGGGTGTGCAGCTCTGCCCGCTCTGCGTGGGCCAGCCCCAGCCCTGCCAACACGTGAGCTGCAGACCCCCGGGTCAGCGCCAGCTCCTCCAGAGAGCAGCACCTGCAAACTGCCCAAGGGAGCAAGGGAAAGGCCAGTGCAAAGGGGCAGAACCTCATGGGCCACGGCCCCATGGCCTGTCCACCCGCCCTGATGGAGCCCAATCTGCCCTGGCCAGCGTGTGCACCGTGGGCGGGAGCATGTGGCAGAGCCGTGAGCTTGTGCCCAACGTGACTGTGGGCACCTTCTTACAGACTCCTCCCTGACTTTGCTGGAGCTCGGCCACACACGGCGTTTCCTGCCAGGCCAGACCGGCGCCCGAGCAGGTGCCAGATGCAAAATGATGTTTCCCCCTCGTCTGGCTGGTTCCTACCCCAGTTCCTCCCCGGGGTGACCTGGGGCTGGCGGAGCCTGTCCCTGGCTCTGCTGTTGGGCAGGATGCAGACGCGAGGGCGAAGCGAGCTCCTGCCCTGGGGAGGCAGCGCACGTGGGCAGGCGTGTGCTGGCGGGCAGGCAGGTGCCAGCACCGCTGGCATCGGGACGCTTCGCTTTGCGTGGCTGCCAGGCACAGGACGGCAAAGCTCCGTGGCCAAGCACACACCTGCTCTACGCGGGGGCGTCTGGGGAGGAAGGAGGCGGCGCTGGGCACTGCTGCCCAGTTGGGAAGCGGGCAGCGAGAACGCATCGGCCGTGCCACTGAACTGCAGCTGGTGAGGACGCACTGCACTGACCACACGGATGTGCCACTCACCGAGCACCCACCAGGCACTGCCCTCTGCACAGCGCCAACCTCCAGTCCGTGTGTCTCGTCCAGGGCTACAAAGATGATTAAGGGTTGGAGCATCTCCCTTACGAAGAGAGGCTGAGGGTCTTGGGTCTTTTTAGTCTGGAGAAGAGAAGGCTGAGGGGGGATCTGATCAATGCCGATAAATACTTAAAGGGAGGGTGTCGAGAGGATGGGGCCAGTCTCTTTTCAGTGGTGCCCAAGTATAGGACAAGAGGAAATGGGCACAACCTTGAATATAAGAAGTTCCACCTAAACATGAGGAGGAACTTCTTTACTGTTCCTGTGCAACCTGCTCTGGGTGGACCTGCTCTGGCAGGGGGGTTGGACTAGATGATCTCCAGAGGTCCCTTCCAAACCCATGTGATTCTGTGATTCTGTGTGGCTTCAAATGCTCTCACCAACCCTACTCGCACTGAGCAATGCAGCTGGGTAGATACTACTGGCTTTTTTTTTTTTTTTT